AGACTGATCATTTCTTTGTCAGTGGGCAAACGTACAAAATCAGCAGGGGATCAAATACTTTTTTCCCTCACTGTAGGTAAATATATCACTGTCCTGGTCACAAAAGTAAAGTTTTTGGGGAATAATAGCCATTTTCTGTACTTTTGAGGCATAAGCAATTAGGAAATAACACTTACTACCCAGGAAAAAAAGATGTTTTTGTTACAGTGTCATGATTGAATTTATCGATCATGTTGGATTATGGCAACACATTGCTGTATTACAATAGCTATAACTTGTTATGTTAAAACGTATTAATGAAATAGCATCAGAAGTTACAACATCCAATTGATATTTATTTTTTCTTGGAGACCCTTACATGTAGGAAAGGCATGAGGAATACTAGGGGTTTAAAATTGGAATTACAATGACTTTAAACTGCAGCAGTTTTAAATAAAACCTGACAGGTTGAATCCATGATCAACAACGTTACCAGGGAGGGGCAATCCTTCCTACTTGGCATATAAAAGCCTTGCTGCTATCATCATGTTTGTCATTTAGCATTAGAGCTGCAATTTACTGTTTCCAATTAAGAACAGGCATGGGTGCTCAGTAATGATACCTAATAATGGACCATCCAGCCGGTGAGGAGGGTACTGTGTGATAGGTCACTCAACTCAAAATTGTAAAGTCATGACTTAATTTTACAGTTGGCGCTGGACTCAGCTTATCATCCCCCTGGGATCAATAAAATAATAACACGAGTACCACTTGAGTGAACACTGAGTAGAGAGAGCGGCCTCTCTTAGTCCGTACACTTTCACCCTTGAGCAACTTGCTTTGAACCCCCATTCACCTATTGTCAAATATTGATTTTCGTCCGATAATAAGTTAACTTACCAATGTTTCCTGTTTCCAGTTGCCAAGAATGGAGCCAATCATCCAAACGATGTGTTTGGACCAATTTACAATTTCGTGTGCCCTTTTTTCTTTACATAAGAGTGGAATTTGTCATTCTCTTTGCTCTGGTGTTGCTTGTAAGTTAATGCACAGTTTTCCCACTAAGAGTGCAGATTTACCATTGCCTATAGAACCTTCATTACAGAGGGTGGATGCAAAAGAAGATGAGGCAAAATGTTAATTATGTCCGAATAGAGCAGTTTCATAATAATTTACTACGCGTACTGTGATGATGAATACTAATCATCCTTGGCCGGTCTAGCTTCACTTGTGGCTGCACTTGACATAACCTGAAGCTAACCTCAAGCATGTTGTGTGTAACAAGCACACCTGGTTTGAATTACGATTTCTCACTCTGCACTGAGGTTTGGTGGTTGAGAGACATGTACAGTACTTACCATCCTGCCTGTGCTGTGCAGTACTGTATACCTTTTAAAGTGTATCCTATCGGATTTTGTTATCCATATACTAACGTCCTAAATATAATTTACCTTACGTCCGTGATCTCAAATTGGATTATTTGCCAATCATATTCAATCATTCATTATCAAATTCTGCCAAAACTTAATTTCTTTGAGAATTTCAGCAAGACACTATGCATATATTCTCTTACAGCAATTGAGCCAGAGTAATTGTTCTTTGAAACTATTGCAAACAATAACACTTATAAATGTAAACAAAAACGGTATAAAATTGTGGCACCTGCGAAATTCAAGGTGTTACGAAATTCATGTTTATGCATTTAAAGTTAAAAAGGCTGCCCATGCCTCCTGTGCGATATATACAATTGTGGAAGCTGCTTTCCTGTTGTTTTTAATAACCCACACAAGTTGTTTCATTGTGTAGACTGTACAAGGAGGAACGTGAACATGTGGATTTGCGGGAAGTGCCGCCCAGGTGGCAAACACCATGCTTTGTACACTTCAGTAGATTGTATTATTATTATACTAGACGTCATTGCTTTTATTTAACATGGGAGTTGAAGGTAAAGAAAATTATCTTATTTTGATTTTATACACATGGGACAAATTAATATTTAAATATTGCACGCGAAACAATGCACCCTCTTGATTCAATTAATGACCTGGAGTCATGGTCATTTGATTAAATAATTTGTTATTTTGGTCTTAGTTTCATGTGGTCTGGTTCTGTCTAGTTCTATCAACTTAAGTTATATTTGTTTATTTTATATCATAAATAGATTTTTACATTTATAATTCTATGCAGGTATCTGGACCATTTGATATTGATTTTAATCGATGAGGCATAAAAATGCATGTCATTTAGATAGGGTATATTGTTATCTGTACAGTATATGTAATGAGAAGCCATTGCTCCATTGCATATGTGCCCAGCTTATAGTGGTATGCTTTCCCCTAAGTGGATGAATTGTACTGTGTAATTATTCTTTGAGTTGCAGTGGTGTCTCTTGAATTGTTCAAGAAAGCATTAAAGGCGAAAACGTAATGTGCAGACTGCCATCTGCCACAATCCTGGAATGAAATCGTGTTGGGCACGTTTAGTAGTGTAACGTGTTAGCCGTGGTACCCAATTAAATGAATTGTGTACGTGTTTGTACCTTTGTGTGCCTTCATGCATTTGCATAGATATTTACAGATTTGTATATATACTTTAAACTTTTAAATAGTGTAATCCAACATGACATGTTTACCAGTAAAATTTGTAATATATATTTTTAAATACATTATAAAGGGCTTGTTGCGTCATGAAAATGAAATAGAGTACAAGGGGGTACCCGATATACGTTAGGGACCGGAAAGTTGCGAGTTATAACGAAACGATGTGTAACGGGGACTTCCCCCCATATGAATACATGTTAATGGGGGAGACGAGGCCACCGTAAGAGTGTAAACTTTGCCTCAGCGACGCAAAGCGGGCCAATTTCTCCTAAAGGAACAATGGAATAAGGTAGGGATGGGGATTGTAACTTAGGGAAATTTGTGTTTCATACCTGGCAACCAAAATATGTACTTTACATGTACATAAAACAGGTACTGTACTATACTGTACAACACAATGTACACATATAACTAATTCCGAGTTCAAGAACATTTAAACAACATTTATATTTCTCAAACGCTTAATTGAAAGCCATTTTTACGTGCATTTCGAAGCAGCCCCTGTGCACTTGAAAAGTTTTCTTTTTTTAAATAGAAAACGTATTTGGGACATTTTTTAAGCAATGGCTCAAACAAAAACTATTTTAGGTGTAAAAAAAGCACGTCATTTTTAACAGCATTTTTTAAAGATTGTACCTTAACCTATGATTTGTATGATCTTACCTTGAGGAGTGGATGAGTTAGTATATACACAAGAGAATACGATGGGACTGAGAAGATGGTGGTGCATGTCCGAGTTGTACACTACACCCCCCCTCCCCGCTTTCAACCGAGTTCAACTGAGCTGAGTCGAAAATAATAATCGTCACTGGTGTTGGCCGTGAGTGGGCTCGTAGCTACGCACTCACGCACAATGTTTTTTAACTCGCCTCAGCGGAACCAAGTCAAAAGCGACCGTATATGCAGGGAAATGTTATGTTGTGTTCCTCAAAAAATCGGCTACATGAGTGTGAAACAATGTACATCGAGATGACGTATGTTGGAGACTCCCTGTATGTTACTACGTGTGAAAAAATTGTCATCTGTAATACTATAGGTTGGTTTGACAGTTGAACATTGTCACTACAATTTGATGATGTGTTTATGCGATGAAAAATGGCTGGGATCGAGTTTTACACGACAGGACATTCTCAATTTAATTTGTTTTTAGGGTTCATTTGTGATATTTTGGCCAAATATATCCACTGACTCCTCCACAACTTGGTCTGGATCTCATGAGCTGAAAAGCCTCAACCTGTTGACACTGCATGTGAATGAATCCTGAGCCAGGACCCCAAATCCTTGGTAATGTGTAGAAACATGTCCTAGTGGAGTGCCCACTCCTGCTCTGTTCAGCCATTCTGCCCTGGTGTTTAGGACCCTCAGGATATATAAATATATAAATGTGCCTGTCTGAATTGTAGGCCACATTGGCTTCCACCCAGGAAATCAGATGCCTGGTCTCATACATGAGATGGCTACTCTGGGATAACCCTGGCAATTGACTCTGAATCCTGCTATGGGGAGGAGGGCCAACAGCAGAACCAAGGCATGAGCCCTGATGGTCGCATGCTCCAGAGCCAGCATCTTTGTAAGTGCCGTGAGCGGTACCCTTTGTTGAGGTCCCCTGTGCGGGACCGACCCGAAGTGGAGGCTTGTGGTAAAGACATTCTTCCATCTCGGCCTTTCCACTGGGTACTTTTCTATTGCTGCAAATGCTATTTAGTGGCTTATACATTTCACCTTTTAGACTTGCAGCTATCCACATTGCAAATGGAAAGTAAAGTGTGTACTTTATTCTGCTCCACGTGTTTTCCAACCACAATGTTTCAACAGTCAAATGGAAATTTCAGCTGTGAAATTTGCATTTTCTATTTAACTTGTGATCTATCCTAGTACTGCATGCAAAATGTCTGACATGGTCACACGACGTTCAAATGTCTACAGCTGTGGCTTAATGGCCTACATTTAATGTGTTATAATGGTGGTACATGGTTAGAGTAATTATTCTGAAACTTTCAGAATCCAAGGCCACTAGCCAACGATATTTCAAAATATAATAATGCTTTGTTTTTACTCGACTGCATTGTAGTCTCGACTAATTGTGGATATGCTCAAATTTAATACAAACACTGCTGAGGGCCTCACCAAACCATTGCAATCGCTCATGGTCCCGCGTCGTACAAATCCACCGAGCACCTGTACGCGAGCTCATTTCAACGCTCCATCTCTAAACATCTCTAGAATGCTTTCCAATCCTTGACCATTGGCTGCCATCCTTTCAAGTGTTTTACTGCGCCTTTGTGATAGCATTGCCTTCTAAACATGGTAAAAATACTAAGTATATAAATAATTTTAGGTCTTGCATGCAGTGCAGTGTACTTTTGCATCACCTTTCCCTGTGTATGTGTGTGTGTGCGTTGTGTCCGTGTGCATCTGCAGAGCATGGCGACGGCGGTGGTGCAGGTCTTCTTTTCGGAGAATGGGGTGTGGCAGAAGAGGCACTGCGGGGTGGCCTGCTTTGTCAAGGACAACCCCAGGAGGTCCTATTTCATCCGTGTGTATGAAATGAGGGTGAGTACTTGTCATTTTGGTGGTCTAGGTGTCTCTTGCAAATTAAACTATTCTGGTCTCTTGAGTTCTGTATGTGATGTGATGAAATTAGCACACCCCCCACAAGTGAACACCTATTTAAGGCCCAGGATTGGAAGTAACTTTCACTACAGGAGTTTAATGCTACAAATAGTTTATTGATGTTTGTAAGTACCAGGGGAATATCGTGCCTAATTATAAAATTTTGTCGATAGCTCTTCAACATACCGGTGTGTTGAAGCAATACAAATGTCCATGTTTGTACACGTGGCAACTTGATTTATTTGGCTGTGTCGGGTGGAGAAGAGTGTACAGTACATTGGCATTGTGCTTGCGCAATGTTCCCCAAATATGTATTATGAATGATAACATTGGTCGTGAAAACTTACGTGTTAAATTTGCTTTAAAAAAATCTGATTTAAATTTAACTTGATTTGAAGCTTTCGTGACTGCAGGAATTACTCTTTGGTTCTTTCGGTAAAGTTACGTAGAAAGAAAATAAATTAAATAATAGAATACAATGTTTCAATTGCAACACAAGCAATTGTCATCAGGTAGAAAACAAACCTAGTAAACTTAGAAATATAATAATAATAATAGTACAATTTGTAACGCGCGCAAATTTGCAGACGTAGTGGCCGCAACTCAGAGGCGCGGAGCCAAGCTCAGAGTCGCTCAAAAGCATGATTGTAGAGGTGAGTTTTTAAGTGTCTCTTGAAGGAGGCGATTGAGGTGATGCTGCGAATGTGCAGAGGGATATCGTTCCAGACTGTTGGGGCTGCCACCGAGAAGCGGCGCGTAGACATGACCATCCTGGATCTTGGTATCAAGAGGAGGTCGTGAGTCGCGCTGCGCAGGCATCTGCCGTGTGCTGAGCTGCAAGTTGTCAGTAATGAAGAAAGATACGGCGGGCAGGCGGATATGAAGGCATTGTGGCAGAGGCAGGCGGTCTTGTATGTGACCCTACTGGCAATGGGGAGCCAGTTGAGAGCGCGGAGACGAGCTAGTGAGTCGAGGCGGGGATGAGTGTGGGCAATGACGATGCGTGCTAGGTTATTTTGTAGTCTTTGAAGCTTCCTTAGGTTGCCAGCGGAGGTCCGGACAAGGACGGAGTTACAATAGTCAAGGCGAGACCCAACTATGCAACATGCCAAAGTGTTGGCAATTTCAGTAGAGATGAGAGGACGTATGTGTCTAAGAGCCTTCAGGTGAAAGTTACATGAGCTGATGATATGGTTGGTTTGACGGTCGAAGGATAAAGTTGAATCTAGGATGACACCGAGGTAGCTGAAGTGGTTGGTGAACTTGATGCTATGACCGAAGATGTGTATGTGTGTGGGGAGTGCTGCTGAATTGAGACGTTGCTTGGTACCTAACATGATGGCCACTGACTTTTTCGGATTAAGGGCTAGGTTGTGTGCAGTGAACCATTGTTGCACGGCGGTGGTACATTCCGAGAGCCTCTCGAATCCAGATGCATTGCTAGAATCGATGGCGGTGAATAGAATCGTGTCATCCGCGTATGAGTGATGCTTAACACCGAAGCTTGCAATGAGTCGGCCGATCGGGGAAGTGTAGGCTGTGAAGAGCAGGGGACCTAGAACAGAGCCCTGGGGAACCCCGCATAATGCTCTTGTTTCAGGCGATGTGGACATGCCCACCCTGACTGAGGATTGCCGGTCAGAAAGGTACGAAGCTATCCACTTGAGTGCTGAGCCGCATATACCGAAGTCGGATTTCAGGAGGGAAGTAAGGAGCGAATGGTTGATGGTGTCGAAGGCTGACGAAATGTCCAGACTTACAAGTGCAACAGTTGAGCCGGAATCAACGATCGTTAAAATGTCATCGAGCACCCTGGTGAGTGCTGTTTCTGTGGAATAGTTTTGACGGTAAGCTGACTGGAAGTTGCAGTAGTTTGCGGAGGAGGTGACGTGTGGTTGTAGCTGGGCGAGGGCTAGTCGTTCAAGGAGTTTAGAGAGGTTCGAGAGGTTAGTGATGGGACGATAACTAGATGGGTCATCCGGATCTAGATTTGGTTTCTTTAACAAGGGAGAAACCAGGCCAGATTTGAGGTTGGACGGAAAACACCCCGAAGAGAAGGAGGCATTTGCGATGTTCCTGATCATGATGGCGAGTTCCGGAGCACATTGCTTGAACAAGGAACCTGGGAGCACGTCGAGTGGAGATGACTTCAAAGGAAGTGATTCAATTAAAGCGAAAACGTCTTTTGTAGACACAGGCTTTAGCATAGTTAGAAGAGTGTCTGGGTTAGTGCTTACAATTTTAGGTACCATGAGCGGGGTACAATGGTGCAATGTGTCAGTAGACGTGCACGAGTTTGCGACGGCGATTAGCTTGTTGTTGAAGTAAGTATTAAAAGAGGTGGCAAGTTTCAGTGAGGCAAGGGGATCGCTATGGTGAGGGACCATGGTGCTACCAGGATGGAGAAGATCTTTGAGAGTTTTCCATAGAATGCGCGGGTTTCCGGTTGCTTTTTTGATGCGTTCCTCAATGTGGGAGGAACGTGAGACAAGGATCAGTTTGTTAGTTTTCCTGCAGGCGACTCTGTAAGCAAGTCGATCAGCAGGTAGACCACTGCGGGATGCGATACGTTCAAGACGCCTCCAAATAATGCAATACAACACAGTCTATATGTGTGTCTCTCTGTGTGTCCGTGTTTTCTCTCTCTGCTTGTGTGTCTCCATGTCTGTGTTTTGTCTCTCTCAAATTTAGCAATCTTTGGAAGAACGTAATCAACCAGGTAGGGTGTTGACTGTTGTGTTAGCCGACTCTCTATGTTGTATTGCATTACAATTCTAAGTTTACTAGGTTTGTTTTCTACCTCATGACAAATGCTTGTGTTGCAATCGAAACGTCGTATTCTATTATTTCATTTAATACATTTAACTCTTTCCAAGAACCCATTTCTTTTTATTCACTGCAGGAAATTCCCTTCCTGCACATCTTGCTCTTTCATCTGAACCTGCTTCTGGAATATGGGGTGACATTTTATGCATATTGATGTGTAGCTCGTTAAAACTAGCTATTCATAACATTCATTTCAGGCATTCATGCAGAGTCTTTGATTATTTAGTCTTAGCCTCCAATTGCTTGTTATTTGTCTGGTTTGTATATGGTATGAGCATCATTTTATAAAACGAGCAGAGCTCAAAGTCTGAATTAATGACTCCATAATTAAACATCACACTTAACATAAAGCAGTTGCACTGGCATAGCACTGTGTTCTGTTGTTTGCCTGCATCAAAGATGACATTTTCAGGTGTGAATTTTACACAGTAAAATTGTTTACTTCCCCAATGTAAATACTTATATCCAAGTGGTGCTTTGGTTAGATTTCAATGTTTCAAATGCAAAACCTGGTTTAGAGTCAACCCAGCAAGTTTATAAAATCAGTACCACGTTTTGAGAACTCAACCGAGTTGTGGCACTGTTCTGGACCAGCACTGAAGATGACATTTGATATCTGTTTATTTAAATATTATGTGGATCACGTTGTTAGTCCCAGACCATATTAAACGTTCCATTTGGAAAAAGTTAAATATATGTACTTGGTTCTTTGAAGGAGCAAGAAAATCAATTGGTTCATTCCCATAAGTTGTGTGGCTTACCTTATTCCAGAAGTGACTTATAATTCACAGCCACGACTGTCATTCCTTACTCTGTGCCATTTTTATTTATATTGGTAATCATTAGAGCTGTCTTTAATTGTATAGAGATCATCCCATGCAGATTATTTAATCTTATAAATGCATCGCTGCCTTCTAAATGCATGCATTTTTACATAAAATTGGCATATACATTTTTGTATGTCCAGTAGGTCACATTTCCTTGGAAGGAAATATGTATTTGCTTCTGGATTTTCAAACGTAAAAAATGGCACCAAAATAGTTAATTGGAAACCAAGTAATGGTTACCCAACCTTAAAATCATGATGTAAAAAGTCTTATGTTATATAAGTCTAGTACTTAAAACATGCTCTCACCTACTTGAGTAAATGGGTTGGATTGAAACAATGATTGCAAAAGGCTAAATAAGAACTCATAGGCCATTCAGGAATGTGGCTTTCAGCCTGACAAGGAAGAGAAAACTAACACACCCTAACTTATGGGCGTCCAGAGTGCTATAAGTGTCGGTACATGCTTGTAGCATTCAACCATTCATACCCACAAAGCAATACCAGACTTGTTCTGCAACTGCATATTTATCCGCATGCCCTGAGGTTTAGCCAACTGCACTTTACGGGTGTCTAATTAGCCATGGATATTTCTATGCCTTTGTGGTTTTTTTCTTTTGAGCCTTAAGTAGTAGCTTTTGATAAGCTCTGCTGTCAGTCAGTGGAGACTGCATTGCGCAACTGAGACTGCAACATCCATGATTAGGACTATTCTGCTAAAATGTCTTGCCGCTTGTGATTTTCCACTTCATTCCACTCCCCTACTATACTGGTGCACATCCGATCATTTGTAATCTAGTAGTACAATAAAGTTGCTTTAATGTTATATTATATGTAGCTCTAATATAATTTCTCCCATTGGAAGAATTTAAAATCGTAAAACTCTGTGCCCCTGGGTAGTTGGAGAGCTCTTGCTCATAAATACGAGGCAACATAAAAACATTTTTCTGCTGATGAGATTGAGGGCCAGCACTTGTGCAGTGTGTAAAGTGCTGTTGAAAAATATAGAAACGGAATTTGCTGATGGGCCAACATGTTATTATATTTTTATTCTTAGGTTTTTTCGGTAAAGTCACGTAGGTAAATTTTTTTAAATTAAATTAATAAAGATTCCTATTTGAAACCTGATTCCCACCACCACCCATCTCAAAATAATTATCTCATCAAAACGCTATACCACAGAGCTCATGGCATTTCTGACCAACACCACCTGGCCAGTGAATTAAGACATGTACATCGGGCCCTCAGGATGAACGGATACTCTGACCGCACCATCCGCCAAGCTGTTTCTCCCACCACACAGAAACAGCCACATGAAACTCCGATCAAAACTATCACGTTGCCATACATAGCAGGCGTGACCAAAAAGATCTCCAAAATTCTAAACAAACATAAGATCCAAGTCCGATTCAGTACTGTACATAAAATCCGTGATCTAATTCCAACTGTGAAAGATGTCATTCCTGACTTGGAGTCTACAAACTCAGTTGCAGTTGTGGTGATTGCGACATTGGATGAAACGAAACGTCATCTCTCTGAGCGTGTCCGTGAGCACAAGTCAGATCTGAAACACGGCAAAACTGATTCTTCCGCCGTTGCCGATCATTGCTACAATGCCGTGGGCTCACATGAAATTGTCTTTTCCGAGACCAAGGTGCTCTGCAAACCTCCTGGCTACCATCAAAGGTTTGTACACGAAGCCATCCAAATATACAAACAGACATAATTTCAACCGTGATGATGGGCACAAACTTAGTAATCATTGGAAAGATGTTATTAACCATGCAAAAAAGATTTAACTACACATATGTGGACCATCTTATTTGACAGGCACTATTCTTCATTTACCGTATAGTTTCTCCTTTTTGCACACACTGGTTTTCTTACTTTAAGTTTTACCACACATTTGGCAAATCTAGAATTAATCCCAGCAACGTAGCAAAGTGCTGTTTCATCTACATAACAAAGGCTCAGTCCCATTCACAGCAGCTGCACCTTTACATCAGCCGCACCTTAACAACTCTTAGAACCTCCCAGTTCAACCAGTCTACACAACAAAGACTCATTCCTAGCAGTGGTTTCAGCCACACCACCTCTACATAACAAAAGGCTCAGTCCCATTTACACGCACCTTTACATCAGCCGCACCTTAACAACTCTTGGAACCTCCGAGTTCAACCAGTCTACACAACAAAGGCTCATTCCTAGCAGCGTGCTTCAGCCGCACCGAACCTCACAATAATAATATCCAGGGGCCTATCTTGGCTCCTCCCACCCTCAACCAGTATATATACAAGGACTGTTTTCTTGGAATTTCTCTTACTTGATACAGCTATTGTGCTGTGACGGTTCCACCTGAAGACGGAAGCTTGTGTTGCCGCCGAAACGTTGTGATTTTTTTTTATTAATTTTAATTTTTTACCTACGTGACTTTACCGAAAAACCTAAGAATATGAATCCTTGCAGTCGCGAAAGCTTCAAATCTAGAATGTTATTATATTCCTACTTGACGGACATTTTTATTTTTATTATTTCATTAACTGAAGTCTACCACGACAGCACAACACATTTTGTAGCAATAATCGCCATCGCCAATTTTTCCATCTCCAAACACTAAAGTAACTGTCGGACTCGCTGCAGTGATGCTGTAATACAAAGTACGGCAGTCACCCCACAGTAATTTTAAAGGATTTTTTCCTTTACAAGAAAACTTCAAACTCACTTTCGACCACGTGGTCCACGGAGTTTACAACAAGAGCCCTGTCTTTTTTGTTTCTCAAACCAAACTAGAATTAACCAGTGTGCTTTCTGTAGCAATGGCATGTTTAATTAACCAGTGTGCTTTGTGCAGCAATGGCATGTCTTATGTCAATTGTATGGAAACCGTATTTTTTAATGTTCTAAGAAACCTTATTGAGCAATTTCAGGTAACCTAGTTAAAGGTCGTTTTTTCCAAAACATTGGGCAATTTCTCTTTGTCCAGTAGTGTTTAACTCCATTGTGTATTGATTTCAAAAATGTTATGCATCCTGTGTGCTTGTGTGTGCCTCGTATATTTGACTTGAACAGTCCGTTTATCAAGCTTTTGTATAGCTGTCTGCACCTACCGCTTGGTACATTTGCATAGTGGTCCAATGAAAACGTCTCTACAAAATTTACATTTGTCATGCGTATCCTATTGTGTTCTGTAATATTTGGGGATTGAGTGTAGGTACCTTAATGGCAAGATAGTGTAAGGAATTACAATTTATAAAAAAATGTTACAGAAAAGCATTTTTTTAAAGTTTGTATTAGGAGCTTGATGTTGATGGGGGCAGGGGTGCAGGATGGATGAGGGTGACTTACCCAGACAGGCATTGGAGTCGCACTAAAAGGTCTGCGAGCAATGGGAAGACCTGAATTCATGGAACAGTGCTGTGAGGGCCGACCTAGGAGGGTGGATGTGAACTGCAACAGCTGCAGGGCCTGGTAGAGTTGAGAGCTGGGGAGGTTTGGTGACCCGGGTGCTGCTGCAAGGTCCACTTTCTGCCCCGCCTCCTCCCCCCCCCTTCTCTCTCTCCCCCCCCCCCCTACTGCCGAGGCCTATATAACCTCGTGCTACGGCAGATCTATCGCCTACTTCAGCAGTTGTGATCTATTATTTTTCTACCTACGGGACTTTACCGAAAAAACCAAAGAGTAAGGTTTGGTGGCTGCAACTCATTGGCCATGATGAACTCTTTATTTAGATTTTCAGTAATATTTTTTCTTCCATTCCTAATTTCTCCAGTTAAATTATTCTTATTTCCCTGTACTCCCCATTTAGCACGGTTGGCTACATATGGTGTGAAAGAAGTACAACATATTTACACATTTCTTAACTGTCGTGACATACCTGTTATTAACAAATAGTTAATGATGTAATTTTCCCCCCTTTTGATTGAGCAATATGTATTTGCCATGTTCTGTAATTTCAAAAAGCGCTCCTAATAAATGAAGAGACACCCTTCAAAAAGTTGTTTTTACCATGATAAATAAGTGGATAATATATCTCCATGTATTTGTCCCTCAACATTAAGAATATAATTATTTTTTACACTTTCCATCAACCACGTGGCCTTCTGAGAGTGCATAATTTGAGTAATATTGGTACAATGCAAGCTGTGGACCGGTGTCAACATACTGTCTCGCCTTGTGTGACTTTATTGTAATTTTCATACATTATTAGAAGGCCTACCAGTGTGGCATGTTCTAATCACACCCATCAAAAAAACCCACTTGTTTGCATTTTACAATCTCTTTGGTGATGCAAATTTAGACTTTCATTTTTATTATACACACTTAAAAAATAGTGGCCCCCAGGCGGCAGCAGGACCCACAGTAAATGGCAGCATGCATAAAGGTCTCTAGCAATGCTGTGAATGTAGAAGAACGCTCAGCAGCCCAGCTATGCTCGGAATGTAACTACCTCATTGAGACAACTGTCCTGTCTCCAAAACCGGCTTCTAAAGAATGTGTCAAGAATGTGTTGCATGCTTTAAGAGGAAGCTGTTCGTAGTGTATATGCCACCATGAGACCAGTTAATAATCTCTTGTTCACATACTGATATTCGTTTACTTGGGGCCAACGTTTCTCCTCCCTTATGGACGTCACAACACCTAATTTATGCATGCATTTTAAACAGTGCAGACATTGGTTGTACTTGCAGCTTATAAGTGGTTAACAGTTACACTAACTTGCAACCCTATATACAAAGCAGTAAGGAAGAACGCAGGTAGAATACATGAGTTAATAGGGATCAACTTGAGAGGGTCTATGAAAGGCTAACATTTTTGTATTGAGAGGGCTTATAAAATAGGGTCTACACTGGTAGATCTACGCTTATACTTCAGGTTAGTTATCTGGATTACAACACTTCTGCATTTATAAATTTACAAATAGATTACTGGTTGCTGTGGAGGTCGATAACATTTTCATCGCAGTCCCAAGGGGTCTAGTACTCTAAAAGTTGGCTGTAAATGGCAATAGCCTCTTCCATATACAATCCATATAGGCTGCCACGGTGGCGAGATGTTAACTACCTCGCCTGGTATACAGGAGGTCGTATTATTGGAGTTTGCATGTCTCCCTGTGGTCGTGTGAATTTTTCTCTGGCTGCTATACATTACCACATGATAAACCACTTTGTTGAGCTATCATTTGTGGCCAGGTCGATTATTAAAAAGAGCTTAATAGCTCGTTGGTCCTTACCTGGTAAAATAAAAATAGTTTTTTTAATATGCACTCTGGGAAATGCATTTTGCACCCTTTGCCAACACATTTGATTGTCCAGACTGTGTAGCACATATGTGACATGTACGAACTTTCCGCATTGTGCAAAAACTGCTTGTCTGCTTCGTGTCTCTGCAGGACACAGGGCATCTGTGCTACGAGCAGGAACTCTACAATAAGTTTGAGTACAAGCTACCACGCCCTTTCTTCCACACCTTTCTTGGCGACGTAGGTGCAAAACTTGCTCCGTCAATGAGCGCCATCTTTACCCATAAAGTTAAACAGTTTAAATGTGTTCTCATTAAAGCAAATGTGGGAAACCGCACAGCTCTGAGCTAGTGGCCATAATTCCACGTTTTTATATTAGACAATTCATGTTGGCTTATTTACTGAAAAACACATAAAATAGCTGCAGAGCCTGAATATATATTTTCCTTGAACTATTTGGTTTTTATTACCAACTGTACTTGTGGGGATAGTTCTGTCAAGAGGTACATTAAAGAAAGGCCTTCCATATTACTGATTGTTAGCAGAGCTGCATATCATGCCAGGGCATGACTGGAAGTTGGATACTTGCACAGCTACAGTGAGGGAAAAAAGTATTTGATCCCCTGCTGATTTTGTACGTTTGCCCACTGACGAAGAAATTATCAGTCTATAATTTTAATGGTAGGTTTATTTGAACAGTGAGAGACAGAATAACAAAAACAAAATCCAGAAAAACGCATGTCAAAATTTTTATAAATTGATTTGCATTTTAATGAGGGAAATAAGTATTTGTCCCCCTCTCAATCAGAAAGATTTCTGGCTCCCAGGTGTCTTTTATACAGGTAATGAGCTGAGATTATGAGCACACTCTTAAAGGGAGTGCTTCTAATCTCAGCTTGTTACCTGTACAAAAGACCCCTGTTCACAGAAGCAATCAATCAATCAGATTCCAAACTCTCCACAATGGCCAAGACCAAAGAGCTCTCCAAGGATGTCAGGGACAAGATTGTAGACCTTCACAAGGCTGGAATGGGCTACAAGACCATCGCCAAGCAGCTTGGTGAGAAGGTGACAACAGTTGGTGCGATTATTCTCAAATGGAAGAAACACAAAAGAACTGTCAATCTCCCTCGGCCTGGGGCTCCATGCATGATCTCACCTCGTGGTGTTGCAATGATCATGAGAACGGTGAGGAATCGGCTCAGAACTACACGGGAGGATCTTGTCAATGATTTCAAGGCAGCTGGGACCATAGTCACCAAGAAAACAGTTGGTAACACACTATGCCGTGAAGGACTGAAATCCTGCACGCCTGCAAGGTCCCCCTGCTCAAGAAAGCACATGTACATGCCCGTCTGAAGTTTGCCAATGAACATCTGAATGATTCAGAAGACAACTGGGTGAAAGTGTTGTGGTCAGATGAGACCAAAATGGAGCTCTTTAGCATCAACTCAACTCGCCGTATTTGGAGGAGGAGGAATGCTGCCTATGACCCCAAGAACACCATCCCCACCGTCAAACATGGAGGTGGAAACATTATGGTTTGGGGGTGTTTTCTGCTAAGGGGACAGGACAACTTCACCATATCAAAGGGACGATGGACGGGGCCATGTACCGTCAAATCTTGGGTGAGAACCTCCTTCCCTCAGTCAGGACATTGAAAATGGGTCATGGATGGGTATTCCAGCATGACAATGACCCAAAACACACGGCCAAGGCAACAAAGGAGTGGCTCAAGAAGAAGCACATTAACGTCCTGGAGTGGCCTAGCCAGTCTCCAGACCTTAATCCCATAGAAAATCTGTGGAGGGAGCTGAAGGTTCGAGTTGCCAAACGTCAGCCTCGAAACCTTAATGACTTGGAGAAGATCTGCAAAGAGGAGTGGGACAAAATCCCTCCTGAGATGTGTGCAAACCTGGTGGCCAACTACAAGAAACGTCTGACCTCTGTGATTGCCAACAAGGGTTTTGCCACCAAGTACTAAGTCATGTTTTGCAGAGGGGTCAAGTACTTATTTCCCTCATAAAAATGCAAATCAATTTATAAAAATTTTGACATGCGTTTTTCTGGATTTTGTTGTTGTTATTCTGTCTCTCACTGTTCAAATAAACCTACCATTAAAATTATAGACTGATCATTTCTTTGTCAGTGAGAGTTGCTTGAAAGAGCCATTCTTACCCAACAGCCAGTTCTTCATCATAATGCAGGGTTTTCTCATGACAAACCTTACAAATTGGCTGTGTCGGATGGTGGCGGGTAAAACGACACGGTTATATATTCATGCGATCTCGCCCAAAAAAAACCTGTATGGTTGATATTGGTCGCAAAAGCCTACGTGTTAAACAGTTCTTCACCACATTTCAATACTTCAGCAATTAATTTTAATCTCTCAAAGGTAAACTACCATATATGTAAATACAGAAATGCATTTTTACAAGACGAATTGTTTGAGCTCTTGTTGGTGATTCGGCTAAGATCTCCATCTTGATACACTTGAAAATCTAGTTTAACTGTGCACGGTTGCCTGGGTTTGAATCCAGGATTCGGCGGTGCTGGCTCAATCATTTCGCGCAGTATTACACCTCCAAACCACTTGTCTATTTTCTCAATCAGAAATGCCAGGTGGGGCTTAACTTCTGCAACGAGAAGGAGGCAAAGACCTTCCGTGATGCCGTGGAGGATAAGCTTCGACTCAGGCACCAGAAGAGCGGTGAGTGCACTTTTGTTGTCAAGTTGGGGATGGAGGTGCTCATGTTGACAAGTCAGCGGTGGACGTTTACGTGGTCTGAGCAGATTAGAGTAGGTGGCACATAAAACATTGCAGACCGTGCCTTCTTAAAAATAGTCATTGCTGCCATATAACATTTTATAAGCGAAACACTTTTCATTATTTTGTGAGCTACTTGTTGACTCAAGTGCAAGCTAAATGTGTTCTGAATGATGTAACGGGGTGTAAATGAGTGAAATGGCTGGCATCTGTAATAGCACTATGGGGGGGAAATGAGAGACTGATAAAAATTACAATGATGTAACTGCAGATACAGATCAAAGAGGCTGGGGAAAAAATCACACATTTGTACATTACATTTTACGTGCCTAAAGTCGTTTTTATGATGGACCACATAAGTGGGCTTAATAAAGACAACACATCGCTTTAAGGGATGATGGTCAATGGTCAAGGCTGCTGATGGAATAGTAGCCAAAGCAGAAATGACTCCCTCAAGGATTATCACCATGGACATGGAGTAATGTGAAACGATAATGCGCAGGCATGAGATGGATGGTAGTAGCATTATCGAAAGACCATGTGGAATGGTATTGGCCTGGGAATGCTTTCATTCAGCAGTGGATATTTCTGAGCTGATGATGGTCTCACACTTGTTAATATTGCCCTGATATTAAGTGCATGAATATAGACGCAGTAGCCAACCTTACTTATTCAATCTAAGCCCTGTGCAGCTTAAATGGAGGTGCTGTACCTGATTGTAAATCAAATGCTACTTCATTCCATATCAAAGGCACAAAACAATAATGCAATAAAATACAATGCGGGAATATAGATGAGTTAAAAATAAAAATGTGCAAGCTCACTGTATGAAAAAAATTCTGTTGAAAAAAATTACTTGCTCAAATTATTAAATGACCTTCCATTACTCAATGTGCATATCAAATTACTGTTTTTTGTGACTAAAGACAATGAAAATAATCATTGCTGAGATTTTTTGCATTGATTTTTTTTCATTTGCTTGTGTACAGTATATATTACTTTCATGTTATTGTTTTAAATAGAACGAAAACGTAATGACCCAACGCCACCTATTTCACGGCGTGACTCCACAGGTAAGCCTGGTGATGGGTTTAAGTGGTGCGTCTTCTCTACGATTGCCTTGATCTTTGCTAAGATTAGCCAAACATGTGGATTCTTTACTCATCCATCCCTCGAAGTTGGCTGTATCACTTGGGTAGCTAATACCCACATTAGAATGAGCCAGCACCGTTTTTAATGCCAGACAGTAAAATGGAATGATAGATTGATCCATTGATATCAGTATCGATTTCTCATGTAATTAAGCATGCATTGAATAGAATATAAAATTTAAATAAATGTATTTAAATGTGAATGCAATGGGCTCAAGACCACTGCAACATTCACTACAATGTTATAAAAAACAGATGATTTGATTTAATTGTTGCTTTAAATTGCTGTAATTCATCTAATCACTAGGTGGAACGAATGGTGACATTATTGTTCCACCTCTATCAGACAGCCACCTTGAATTTTTTTTTCACTTAATTTGGATTCGACCAACTCTGAGAGTGAAATATAAGTAGCACATGTCCGATGACTGACACACATTAAACTGCTCTAATGGAACACAGGAATGTGCTGGTTAAGTGTGACCTTTTGAAGAGAAGCCAGAAGACATTCTCGTGGTGTTTCTTCTGGCATCTTTCCTAATTAAGACGTTGCTCTGCTGCCAGTAAGAATTTCCCTGCCTTGTGTATTAGCTTCGATATTACAATTCAGAACATTATTAGTTGTGCATCCAGAAAAATAGTAAGATAAAAATATACATGCACATAAAAAATGTGCTCAGACACATTTGGCTAATCAGGGTGGAGTCTAAGGTAAAACAGTTTTTTTCCTCGTGGAAAAATTATTGAGCAACTGCACTTTTTTTTACTGTAACCATCTCTGCGTAAAAAAATGGCATTGTCTAAGCGTATCGGCTTTCCCTGCTCCTTGGCCGTTTGCTCCGAGTCTGGCTCTTTGTGCCCTTGCCCAAGGCCTTGCCGTTACTGGACACCTGTGCATGCTTTCTGCATGTCTCCAGCATACCCGCGTTCTGAATGAGAGCTACACTTTCCCTTGCTATTGAAAAGGTCACCTGCATTATAGCTTAATTTTGGTCTTGCTTTGGATCATAACATAGTTTATAATTTCTGTAACCAAGTGGGTTTTGTAAACAGGACTTATTGGCATATGCTACACAACTGCTGATGTGTTCCCTTGACATTTTGTTATCTTGCTGATTGAGTATTCTTCGCCAAATTCAACGCGTCCCCAGATGCTCAAATTTGGGTTTGATGGTCCTTATTTCTGTTAGCACCTCTGAGCTCGTGATGGAAACTCCATATTCCTTTTAGTGGGGCCAATCCTGTCTATAGCACAACCACAATTGAGCTTCTATGAAGTGGAACTTGGTCAACTATGTATTTGAAGTCGAGTGGCCAGTTAATGTTAAACATTACCACATCTTATTATTGAACATGATGGCATTCTGTACCATCAGTGACACACGATGTGCTCTATTGATAATTATCAAAGCAAGCCCCTTCATGCTTTTTTGGTTTTAAAACTGTTGACGATGTGACATTTTAAGCAAAGGTGTCCTACAAATAGTTAAGGTATGGCCACACTTTGCGTGTGGAAATTAACTGAAACATTCAAAAATAAGATTGTTGTGCTAATTTTTTCTTAGCTGGTTCTAAATGTGAAACCAATTGAGAACCAGGAACTAATTACATTTATAAGTCAAGCTTTATTGTTTTCTTGTCCTGAAGCTCAGTATGTCCTGTTGCCTTAACCCATTCCTTCAGCAATTATTCACTGCTTGTTCTATTTAACAACGTCAGTATGCAGTGCAGTGGGGAAAAATCTTCCAACGAAATTGTAATACTCGCGTTATTATGTTTCTTGTGTGCACAGTGTAATGTGCGAGTCTCGTGTCCTTTTTTTTATCAGGGAAGTTTATCTACATTTGAGCCATGAAATTGGCACAACCATACAATCTACTGTTATGTGGCTAAGATCTCATGACGTTTGTGCAGTGTTGAGATAGCACATATCTTCTGTTTAGAAATTACATCCAACCAATTGACAATATTTACCAAGATGATGATAATAACTCTTTTTTTCCAATGGCTTTTCCTACTTAGTCTTGGGTTGAATTGGCTCATTGCCCTACAAGGTCATTTTGAGAAGCTGGTCCTTGCCTATTCTAGATTTGAAGCTTTCGTGACTGCAAGGATTCATACTCTTAGTTCTTTCGGTAAAGTCACATGGTCCTTGCCATCAGTTTGTGGCATTTTCACGGGTGGCTTCGACCCACCATTGGAGATGAGCACAGCTCCATGCTCGTTAGAGCAGGAATTAACTTGGTCTTGTTTGCACAGAGTTGGTATCTTCCTAGTTCCCATTGCATCACGTGGCTGTTATGGTTAAATGAAGGACATTTGTTCGATTTTATGTATACAGAATTTAAGTTGTTGCATCTTCACTGGCTTTATGGATTTGTCTTCTAATCTAAAAGTTAAGGATGCTGTACTTCTTATTCTTGAAATGTTTGTATTTTTTTCATTTGAACGAAACTCAATTTTTATAAGAGGTTTTTTTTCTTCAATTAAGCCAACTTGCAGATGATATCCAGAATGTGAAAACTGAATGGCAATAATTTACACTTCTAATGCTGCGGTGTGTAAATAGTTATTTGTAAAGCTAGTTCATTTTGACCAGAGCTTGTAATATTTACAAGCAATAATAGTCATTGTTAACATCATTAAATATATTTTATCACTTTTTAAATAATTTCCTTTAATATTCAATTTGAAAGTTTAACATTTAAAGTAATTCCAATTTGTATTGGTAAAATACTAACTATTCATGAACAATATTTCACTTACTTCAGCAATAGTTTACACTCTAAAAGGTCCACTAGCTTTCATTATTACATCATAATTCTAAATCATAAGTGCAGTTTTTAGGTCATTAAGAGCAGTCCTAAAATTGGAAATTTCAAATACTGGAAGAGTGTTATGCATTGTTACTCAAACAACTGAAATTTGGGCGATGGCTTTATCCATAATACCTGCTTTGTAGCCTCCCCTAGTGGAACACAGTTGCATTGCCCCCCAAGGTGAAGCTGGGATTGTGCAGCACTTTCCAATTTCAGCAATCTACCTCTTTAATGGGGCGAGGTATTGCAGCCCGAGACCATCTGGTTACGTGACAGAGCATTGGCTTTGCCAGGGTGATTGATGGGCCTCGTTTTGAGATAGTGTGAGTGGGGGCATATGTTATGACCCAACACCATCATCAACATCACAGCTGTAGCACTTAAAATTAGGGATCCCATCACATGCACATTCGTACAGAATACAAATGTGACTATTCCTCGCTGAGTCTTGCAAATATATCTTTTCGCAAGATACTTTGATGAATATAATGCAATATTCAAGTAACGCCTGCAAATGACTTATCATGGTCTCTTTCAATTCTCACTCGGTTAAACTAATTATTATCGGTTTAATTTAAATGCTAACTAATTATTATCGGTTTAATTTAAATGCTATCGTATCAGCCAGTTCTAATCGATTGCCATAGCCAAATATGTAGATAGATGGCTATAGAGATACATGCATTATATTATTGCACCAAGTAATTGGAGCTGCTAATCACGTAATTACTACCATGTAGTTGGCTCCACAGATTTCACTGCCAGGCTGGGATAGGTTCCAATTCAAGGCAATGTGTGGTATTATTTTATTTTAACAGTTCTTGACTGGTTCACTTTAGACCGCATCCAAAATTGGTTTTGCCTTTCCCCATCACCTGAATATATTCCTGCTCAAACTAACATGAGGCAGTGCTCCTTTATGTAAAAGCAGCAGTCTGAGCCAGTGATGCAACCTCTGCATTCTGATTTCGAGGGACCACTTCTCCCAAGGACAACCATTATTATTGGCTTCCCACAAAGTAAAACTCATTTTATTGACTGCCAAGAAGGTGACATGTCAGCTCTGACAAGGATTTTAACCCATAATCTTCTAATTGTTGGTTATACCCGCTGTGCCATGCAGACATTACATTTCTACCACAAATCAGGATTTCACACTTTTACTAATACACTTTTCCCCCAAACTTTATTGAGGGTTCAAAATTTGTACCAAAAACATTGCTTTTAAAAGTAACTACTATTTTCATGCTAAACAGATAATTATCTGCATTCAACAGCAGCATTTGCTATGGCAGTTGCACAAGAAGGACTGAACTCAATGTGTGTGTGTGCTTTGTGGTGGCGGTGGGGTGGGGTGTGCTACATGGGGCATGCAGGCCCGATGCTGCCTAACCTCAAGATGCAGGCAATGGACATCAAGAACCCGGACATCACCGTAAACCGCTACCCCATCAACTCCTCCTCCTCCACCCCCACCAGCACCAGCACAAACTCGACATTTAATATGATCATGGACAGGACCAAGAAGGGCAAGGGAAAGAAGAAAAAACTGACCAAGGCGGACATTGGCGCGCCCAGCAACTTCCAGTGGGTGCCTCCCAATGTTGGAAGAATTGTCTTAAGAAGCGATTCATCTTTTGTATTGATGTGCATTTACAAACCAATGTCGGTTGTCACCATGCTTCATTTTGCACTCGTAGAAAGGGAAATATATCATCCTGTTTTAATCCTAGTAATGGTACCAGTAATGTTATTTTAATGAATGCATCTTAATTTGCACTCAAAGAGTCAAGTTAAAAGTATCGCCATGCCCTGAAGAGAAATGGAGCTTGCGCATATGTCCATTGTCAGCTCTGAGCCAGTGGTGGGGACCGTTGTCTCAGTAGAACAACCGTGGTTGACTTCCCTCTAAGTGATGCTCTTGTGATCGATCCTAGATGGATGATGTTCTGAGTCAATCCCAAACCGGGTTTTCAACTCGCAACTTTCCTGTTGTGAGACTCTCTGCACGACAGTGCTCATTGGCTGGAAAACAACAGACTGGAAGTATTACTGAATCTGATAATTGGTTCTTTACCCTTCTATCTGGCAACAAAACTGACACCTTTTTGCAAGGAGTCATGTTTGCATAGACCGCAATACCTGCAGTCATAAATACAAACAAAAGACATAACTCTGATAATGTGCACTGTCCTTGAAGTTGATTGGTCCACACCCGAGACAGCTTTCCTTGTCTCATATGGGTTGGACCAGATGACGCCAAAAGGCGTCATCTGGTCCCCATAGAGTATTACTGAATCATTGAATGTAATCTAAAGAATGTACATATGGGAACCTAATGTACATGTTGATGGAAATGCCATTTAAACATGATGTGATCAAAATCATTGGCATACAAATGGTCATTATATTAAAGCAAATTTATTTCATTTTGATATAAATTGTTTCATAAAATGCATCTTTTTATTCCAGGCATGTTGGTCATATTGGATGGGATCCCAACACTGGGTTTGATGTAAGTATATGTCAGTGTAAATATTACTCGGTCTCCTATGTTCTTTTATCAACGTAGTAATTACCGAAAGACCCAAAGAGTATACGGACAGTTCTCTGATCTTGACTTTCAAAAGTAGATTGATAAACCACTCGCTAATGATGTCTTTAGGTTATAGACTATACACCATTATTTTGTGCAGTCTGAATAATAGACTGACAGAGCAGACGTTTATAGTCTGCATTAGACTGATAAACTGATCTCTAATGGGATTTATTATAAGTTAAATAATTACAGGTTTTTTTTTCTATATTGTCCATAAAAGAAAGGAAGATCTTGACATTTCAGGCAAACAGCAGACTGACACACCAGTCTGAAATGTCGCCTTGAGACAATTAACTGACAGACTGAATTCTTGGTTGGGTCTCGAGACAAACTGACAGACTGATATCTTAGCAACATTACTTTAACAAAGACAACGGTTTTATGAACCTAGTGACACGTTTTAAAAGAGTGCTGTGTTGTGCATGCATATCTCTGTTGTTCCATCCCATTCTCTTAACCCACTGCTTTGGGGTGGGCAGCTGAACAACTTGGACCCAGAGCTGAAGAGTCTGTTTGACATGGCGGGCATCACGGAGTCGCAGCTCAAGGACAAGGAGACCTCCAAGACCATCTACGACTTCATTGAGAACTTCGGAGGCGTGGAGGCTGTCAAGAGTGAGATGCGACGCCAGGGTGAGTGGTTCGAGCAGGTGGACGCAAATGTGAACATATCAATTCATTAAAATCGGAGCTGATGAGCAGAGAACTTAAGAGTGTAAAGTGTAGCCAGGAATGGTGGTGCCCACCTGTAGTGCGGTGGTTCTTTAAAATCCTTTATACTAAGTTCGCGTGCTCGCGTGCTCGCGTGCTCGCGTGCTCGCGTGCTCGCGTGCTCGCGTGCTCGCGTGCTCGCGTGCTCGCGTGCTTGCTTGCTTGCTTGGGACCGTGCAAATATTTCGGTCGTTTTTTAACCCACTTCCCGTGACCCAATCGAGCTGACATTTTGCACACAAACTCGTTGTGCTTGACCATTTTCGTGAAATTTTTTTTCCAAAATTTTACACTGTTTAGGGAAATTTTTTTAAATATTTAATTATCAATTGCTTAATTGTGGCAGACAATCATCTGACCCATAGGTGGCAAGCTATCTCAAGCCAGAGGACGAGAGGACTGTAGTCGCCCGTTTCATGATGACGCAAATGTTGACTAACCACATGGCATGAAATCCCTGCCCCCACGCTGTACACTGGAGACTATTTATAGAGCAGTTACATTGAAGCCGCCAGGTTCTTGAAAGTGGTATAACGGGTCAACGCTAGTGCCCTCGGGAATATACGGGGCATGTCAAGAGGTGATCTTTCATTTTAAATCCTTTATATTAACTTCACTTGCTTGCTTACTCAAGGAAAACAGAAATGAATAATAAAATGAAACCGATGCCACGCATATAAAGGATTTATAGTGAAAAACTTTGTTTTTATGGGTTAATTTTTTGGTGGTGATATTTGGTGGTTCACTGAGGGTTGTGACACTCCTCTAAACCTGCTGGGCTGCACAGTGGCCAATGACGTTGCTGCACAGTGGGTCATGAATTTAGCTCTGCAGATCTTAGAATTTTATCTGCTTGTTTGTTGTGGTTTTATGCAGGTACTCTGATTTCCTCCAAAATGCAGAACATTCCCTCAAAAAGTAAAACTTCCCAAAGAAAGATCCTCCTGAAAAAGGTTAATGAAACTCATTGAGGCTTTTCTTGATGATTTAATGCCATTCTAAGGAAGTGTTCAGCAACAGAGCTGGAGTTATGGTACTAAAGAGCTGACAAGGCTGCTTTCATTGAGTCCGGTTATACGAGGTTAAAAAAGATTGAGATCAAAGTTCCATGAAGGCAATTCCAAAGCAGAGAAAGATAGATAGGTGCTTCATGTATGCATGGGTTTTCATGGCGCATTCCAGTTTTCTCCTACATGCAAATATATATTTTATTACAAATGGTCCAAAAAATTTGAGCTGTCCTGAAATAGTCTTCAAGGTTCACTGAGGCTAATGTGGAATAATCAAAGGACTTACATATATACTATTCTTTGGTCCAGTTATTTTTTGATACTTCGTAGTAGGCATCTTTATCTGTAAAATTAAACAGTATTCCTTCACATTGGTGTTGAGCGAAAAGTGATGATGACACTCTGTTGACAGGGCAGAGGAGGTGGTCACGTGAGTATACGTTTGTGCATTGCCTGCCGTGCCTAAGGATTCGTATTACTTAGTGTGCTGTGACGACGCATGCAGCATTGCTTGAAGAGCCCACTGGCTCATGAAGTGTTTATTCAATGGAATTAAAAGTTTACTCCGTAAAGCTGTGTTCTGTGCAGCAAACTTAACATTCCACACAAAGAATAACATTTGGTATTCGTGGCAATCTTCTAGTGCAGGACTGTCTCGAGAGCACTTGCACAATTTGTTGTAGTTTCATAATAGGGGGCGATGTTGCTGTGTAATCCTAATTTAATAATTTTCAGGTATTTGTTTTAAATTTGCTAATTTGGACCATGATTCTGGCACACAATGTCCTACTCTTTTCGAATTACACAACAGTATGTTTATTGTCTGCTTGTAAAGCACATATTCTATCGTAAATACACCGGCATTATGAACCATTATGAAGTGTTACCCAATATTTCAACACAAAGATACTCGTAAATTGTAGTAAAAATGTAGGGCCATTAAAATGGACGTGTTAAAACAAATTCAAAAACAATTTACTCCGTATACAATTTACTTTGCCAGTTTCTGTTCCTTTCAAAATAATAGATGTTAAATGGCAGTATAAACTAAATTACAGAAGGAGCTGAAATGTCTGCCAACGTGTGTGGATGTCATTTGAGCAGCCTTGTCTCTAGTGGCTCACGGTGACCAGCATTCGATTCCAGTAACCATCGTACAATTACTGACCAAAGTTTAAATCTGTAAAACCTGTCCTGGTGGCCAGATTGTGGCTCTGACCACAACACCCCACCCTCGTGATGTGTCGTGCCATCCTTAGCACTTGCCGCAACAGCCTCTAAAGGACTCTGCGCGTGGGATCTTTGTGTCTCTTGTTTATTTATTTTTAAAATCACGGTTGCTCGGCACATGCCCAAAACGTCAAGCGGCCAGCAACGATGATCTCGTGATGGTGTGAGAGAGCCTTTGGCCAGGTTACAAGAGCTTTGGAAAATAAATTGTTTGAAATTCCATTGCTGAAAATTGTGAGGAAAGAAGCCGAGATTTGTGTTCACCTGCAATGTGGTTGTTGGTGAACACAGTGTGGATGAGATGAACGAGTCATTCTCGTTCATCTCATCCACATAGTTGAAGGTATCAAGGAGTGAAGTTTGGAAACGATAACAGGGTAGAAGGGAAATAATAAAATAATAAAAATAAAACATGTGTATTTTATTTTATTTTATTATTTCCCTTCTACGTGACTTTGCCAAAAGAACCAAGAAGATCAATCCCTGCAGTCCCGAAAGCTTTAAATCGAAAGATAACAGGGTAGTCGTGATAAGAGTCACCTGACTGCCAGTAAGCGAATGACATGGCGTGAATCGGTGAGGGGTGGATCATGAATCAACCTCACTGCTTTACATTAGTTCATGTTGAGCACAGCCAGCTACAGATTGCACACTCCACTCCAAATAATAAAGCAATATCTTAAATGTCGCCTAAATGTGTGCTTTGTCTCCTGTGTGTGTGCATGCGTGTACAGCTCCCCCTCCACCCCCTCCCCCGAGCCGCGGCAATTTCCCTCAGACGCCGTCCTCGGCTCCCCCCCCTCCTCCGGTGCGCGGGCGGAGCGCCCCACCCCCTCCACCCCCCAGCCGAGGACCTGCCCACCCGGCGGGGCCCGCACCGCCGCCCCAGCTGCCTTTCCGAGGGACCTCCGGACCCCACCCACCGCCAATGCCCACCATGCCCCCCATGTCTGCAATGGGACGGCAGCCGCCACCGCCCGTGCCGCCTCCTTCCATCCCGGAGGGGCCGCCCCCTCCCCCACCCCTGGTTTCTCACGCGCCCCCCCCGCCTCCTCCGCCGCCCCCGCAGTCCCACGGTTACAGCAAGCAACAGCTACGGCGGCGGCAGCGGCGGCGGAATCCCGCAATGCGGCCCTCCGCCACCTCCGCCGCCTCCGCCGCCGCCCCCACCCCCCGGTCCACCGCCTCCACCGAGCCCCATGGTGCCGCCGCCGCCACCGCTCTCTCTAGGACCTGGCTCCGGCCCTGGCCCCGTCTCCGGCTCGCGGGGGGCCCTGCTGGACCAGATCCGAGGGGGCGCACAGCTGCGCAAGGTGGACGAGGCGGCGGCGGCGGGAGGTGGGGCGGCGGCGAGGCCGGTATCCACGTCGGGACGTGACGCGCTGCTCGACCAGATCCGCCAGGGCATCGCGCTCAAGACGGTGAGTGCTGATGGCCGAGTTACAGGGAATGGAGGAGTCTATGCTTTTCGCATATGGGGAAGCATCGGAATGTCTCAGGACTTCCAATAAGAAGGTCCTGCGTTGGGTTGTCAGACATTTATTTGCATTTGGGATCAAAAAATTCACGTGTGCCGCAAACGCATGCAAAAGGGATGACACTAAAACCGCACTCGGATATCCTGGTAAGCAACTTGCTGTCCTATGAAATGTGCATGCTAGTTGGTAGTAGGATTTGAATGTGATTGCTATAATATAAACTAGCAAATTTTCCCAAAACAACCCCTTGTGAAATTACTCTTCAGACTCAACGATGCTTTTATAGATAAAGAGCACTTTTTTCAATCATGCTCCGTCTATGATTACTAACATTTCTAATATTAATTTAATCATTATACGCTCTTGTTGAACACTAAACAAATAAAGTTTTTACATTTTGTGTACCCTTGCGTTAAAATCCTGCACAGGGGTTCGTACAGCCCATCATTCCTCTGGGGGGAGTAAAATGAACATCTCACTTCATGGTGTAATAGGCATTGGTTGCCCTATCGACAACTTCTATCACGTATCTGGGGTTTAAAGCTACTGAAAAAATATAATATGCGCACTGCTTATATAATCGTGGCGCTTTTACATTGTTGCAATGTTAACTACCTTGCCTGGTATACAGGAGGTCGTCAGTTCGATCCTGACTCCTCTATATGTGGAGTTTGTATGTTCTCCCCGTGGTCGCGTGGATTTTTATCCAGGTCCTCTAGATTTTCCCTCCACATTTAGAAACTTGTGTTTAGGGTATTTAGCTGCTATAAATTTCCACGTGATAAGTTACTTTGTTGAGCTATCATATGTGACCAGGTCGCTTCTGAATAATATGTATATAGCTCAGTCGGCTTTACCTGGTAAAATAAAAAAATAATTTAAATAGTTTGTCTGGTAGTCCCACAGGTCAGTTGATTAAATGTAACAAAGGTTATCCTGTCGATTGCCTTTGTTTCGCCAGGTGACGGAATCAGGATGGAGCTGCCTCATCAACCCCAACAGTGGGGATCGTAGGAGCTCTTATGGAGGCCATGCAGAAGAGGAGCAAAGCCATCCACTCCTCCGGTGAGATACATCACAGTCATTGCCGAGGTGGTAAATATCTCGAAAGCAGGGCCTGTGGTCGATTATCTACAATTACAGCAGCATTGTTCGCCGACGTTAAAATGACAATTGCGTTGTGATTTCAATTCGTAATCAATGATACAATTACAACTGTAAATGCAAGAAAACACCTGCGGTGACACCAATTGGTAATTTCATTGCAGTAACTAGCAACAGTAAAATTAAGAATACGTTTTTGTCAGTGTGAGCAAGGCAATCTATAAGATGCAAAATATACTGAATATTTATAAAAGTTTGGATATTAAAAACCACTGCTTACCGTGCATAAACGGTTGCCATCTAGCACTGCTAAAGTGAGGACAATGAAATGTAATCTTTGGGGCCATTCCTTGACATGATGAGGCTGCCTCTTACAACTGCTGTTAACTTGTGTCCCAACAGACGAGGATGATGATGACGACGACGACGATGATTTTGATGAGGAGGACGAGTGGGAAGATTGAGCTGGCGAGGCTGCTACCTTCCCATGTCTCTCCGGACCCCTCCACCTCGCCACGTTCCAGGATATTGTGCAATATTATCCGTGCCCCTCTCACCTTCAAACCAGCCTTCGTCTCTCACCGGCTCACCCTTTCTTTTCCCTCACGCCTCCACGTGTGACACCAGCATGGGCATCGTGAGTGTGCCACCATTGGCGCGAGCACTACGGCCTGTAGACCTGCATCAGAAACTTGCCCACTGCAGACCCCCTAATCCGAGAGAGAGAGAGAAAAATATCGATCAACGTTTTTACAAAGTTAAGCGTTTTAGCGCAACGTGTGGTTTAGCCTTCAGCTGCGCACACTACATGAGCATTGTGTTTTCTTTTGAAGTGTTTAAAACTGTTTTTCGTTGAGGGGTTCTTTATCAAAAGATGCTTATTCAGGTAAATGCTGACCATCAATTGGGTAAAAAGAAACTCCCACTCTTGCACAAAAACTAGGACATTGTCACCTCGATCTGCTGTGCGTCGGAGGAATTTGCCGGGTGCTTCATGAAAATCTTTCATGCTCGTCGTTCACGGTAGCGAAAGACAAAGTAATGTTAACCAACACACATCTGTTGTCGCATTATCCAGGCAGATATTACTTACATACGTGTCTGTTACCTGCTCTTTCAACTTGTTCTTTTCATTGCATTTCTCTCCATGTTGATTTGTTTGGCTCTGTTTTTACCAAAAGGTTGTACAGCATGGCAATGCTGGCTCCATCTCTTACCGCAGTGCTACCGTGTCATTCACTCAGGGCATCTCTATTAACCATGCAATTCTCTGCACAAATATACACACGTGGACGGTATATTTGTTTGTGGCAGTTGTTCATTCATACCGTTCTACTACAGTATTTAGATAGAAATGTTCCGAGTCTTGAGGTGCCCAGATATGGTGGAGTCGGGTGTTGTGTTGGTCCCACTGCACGTTGCTCATTATTGCAGCCAACACTACACGCGCTCTATTCAATATATCTCACCACTGACGTTTTCATCACCAATAACTTCATAAAAATCTACGACTAATCAATCTATAGTTTCTATCCCTCAATCATGAACATATAATTATTATGACAGCGTGAGTGGTGAAAAAAATTGTTACCTGCATTATAGACCTTTAACAATCCACCAGGAAATGAAGGCCTCATAGGGGGTTGTTTGACACATACTTCATGCTAAATGGTGCCGGTTGGTGAAGAGAGGATGGCAGTTTACCATTTGATAATAGCCACGGTTGAAGTTCATTGGTTTGGCAAAGGGCTGATGAATTAGCCGATTTAATCATTGATCGATAGGTGCTGGTCATCCACAAAACTGAATAACTCATTGGAAAAAGTAATTTCCACTCGCCTTAAAACTAAGCAGTTGGTAAAATCAACAAACTGATGTGTAATAGTGGCAGCCTTCCCCAACATGAGAGTATTCTGCATGCTGCACCCCTCACCACCTCCCCAGAATGGACACTCACAATGTTAACTATGAAATACAGTGGGGAAACAAAACTATTTGGATAAAAAATAAAACTGATTGACATATTGAATGAAATATACTTTGGTGAGTTAGGAATAGCATTGGTTAATATTTTTTGTTTCAATTGCATCACTATCTAAAAGTTTTTCCATTGTCGAGTCACGCGTGATGTAGAACGTTGTTCATATGCAACGGTAACACAGAAAAGATGACCTCGGAGCGGTCAGGAGATTCGTGATAAAAATGTGTTATATTGTAGCCATTAACAGGTGATGGGTAATTGACATAAACTTTTGAGAGTTTATTTTTGACACTGGTCTGCATGTAATATTTAAAATTAAATCAAACCCATGCCCAGAGATATGACTAATGCTTCTGTACCAGAATAAAAGCACCTACACATTTGCAGTTTATATATTCACATCGGCTCCACTCGCGCTTGTACCAAAGATTAATGCCCCACCTAGTTTTCATTGGTTTACCCCTCGCCCCCATTGACACTACATTGTACCGTTAATCAGATGCATTGTCTCTTGGAAAAGGAACAGAAAGCCTTGCGATTATAGCTCAGCAACTTTGCACGAGTCTTGCAGAAGCAGACGTCAGTGGTTGTGAATGCGAGTTACAAGTGCACATTTTTAAACAACAAGCAGTTCGCTGTTTTTGTGTCAATATTCACCTGGTTCTCATAGGTTCATTACTTTGTGTTTTGCAAGTGTTGCTTGTGACCCAGCACTGTTGGTCTCGCTGGTTTCATGACACTCGTTGTTTCACGACCAAATGTAAAGCCTACACGTGATGTAAATACGCACATGCAGAGACCCCCGTCTCGGGGTTCTAAAGACGGTCTGCCTGCTCTGGCGAGCGTTGAGCAGTGCTTGTCGCTCTGGGCAGCCCTCAACCACCGTCAACATCCCTGTGGTGGGGAAGGGGGGTTATTATACAGAACAACCTCTGACTACCTAGAATGTGGTACTCATTTCATTAACCCTGAAGGTGTGGTCGTGTAGGTTTGAGTCTGAAGCCCACCCAAATGTAAGCTTTAGGCTCCAACCACAGGACCGTGTCAGCATTGTGGTTGGAATGAAGCATAGTCAAAATGCAGTATGACGTCTATAAAGTATTTTCAGCTTTTGTGTTTCTGCACCACTGTCAGTTCAGCCCCTAAAACTCGTATGCGATGTTGACCTGAAATGGGCCGAGCTGGGCCAGTCTTGCAAATACAAATACCACCTATGGAAATGGTGGTAAAATTCCCAAGTTGGTCAATTTAATTAGGACTGCACGTTTTGCAATTATGCATTTTATCTCCCATAGTGGCGTTCAATTTGAGCCTAAAGAGTCGTATGTAAATAGATTTTAATTGCGCAAAATGAGCACGTGCCACTTTTAACGCGCAACGCGCTGCAGTTGTCGCGCCGGGCCCCGTGAGATTAAAGTTGCGTTCTAATTTTTACCGTGGCGTCGCCTGAGCCACAGTCGTTCCACTCCTCGCATGACAAGCAAGGTAATCGCTTCAACCGGTTTCACTTTGAGTTGTGTTTAACTTTAGCAATCGTCGCATTGGATGGAGTCTGCACCACCTTAGCTGCTGCCAACTCTTCTCATTTGACAAAAACGTTCTCATTTTGACAAGTACGACACTACATCATCACTGCAATGTAATGGAAAATGAAACCCAACTTTTTCCTCAAACTTTTTTTTATCGCTTGTGAAACTGCATTCGGGCGTAATATGTGATTGTCTGAACTAATTGTTATGCTCGCGTGTGTACATTCGGGATTGTAATGTAATTTATAGTTTTCGTCTGATTCCAGGAAATCCAGCTTCACTTGTCAAAAAGGCCAAGTGGGCACGTCATATATACACACAATCATTCGGAACTACAGAAACGCGTTCTAAATTTTAACCGATAAATTTGGCCGAGTTTTTAAACTACAGTGCCCTTTATATAGCCAGGTGTGGTAGCCCTTTGAGATTGTCTTTGGCAAGGGGGGTGTGGCAAATGTGTAATCTCTAGCATAGGTAATTATATATACTTATGTACAGCAGTGCTTTTATTGCAAGGCTGCTTGGTATGAGTGCTGTGAACTTATGGATGTGCAGCGTCTTTGTTAAACCTTTGAGTCACCACTAAGGTCATTCTCAGCCACCCCACCAACCAGGTGACATTCAGGGCTTAACGGTAAATGGCCACCGCAAGTATTCCTTATGCGATTGATTAGACATACCTTGACTGATAGCATGGTACAGAGGCATGGGGGCTTTGACATACACTAATTATTTGCAATCAGCCCTTGGCCACTTTTTATCCATTATTTAGGTCTGCCAAATGCAACACACGTTGAAAAAAGCCCCCCACCCCGTGATGTGGATTGTTATTAATATATTAAAATGTTCGATTCATGGTGATAAGGAAACTTCATTTTTTGGTATGCAGGAAGATTTTGATTTAGAGCCCATTGAGAGAAGTGGTCAGATTATTGTGATAGCAAAACATGTTTTGTCATTAATTTCTGGCATATAAACTGGCAAGTGGGAATAAAGTGGCACCATTCTGGCCACTACCAAATATCGGGGAAAACCCCGTTTCTGTTCAAGTAGACAAGGGGACTTTGAGAAATATCGGTTCATGGGTATAGGGTGCAAAATAAGTACATACATTGTAAGATAAAATCTTGATTTGAAGCTTTCGTGACTGCAGGAATCCATACTCTGGTTATTTCGGTAAAGTCACGCAGGTAAAAAAATATTAGATCACGACGTTTCTATCGCCACAAGCAATCGTCCTCAGGTGGGAGAGAACGATTGCTTGTGATCGAGACGTCGTGACTTTACCGAGAAAACCAAAGGGTATTTTAAGATCAACTTAAGCTGCTTATTTTGATCACGAATATCTAATTGAGCTTAATTTTAGTGAAACCAATGCATGTGAAGTTTTTGATAACGTGTTTTTTTAATTAATGTGTTTAAAAAAATATATATATGACCTTGGCCTATAACGGCAAACTATGTATAATGTAACAAGTGCTGGGAATGTAACGTTTTTAAATGCATTCGTGCTGTGTGAGAGAAATCATTCATATTCATGCTGGAGTCCTGGGTATGATCGTGTCCAACTTGCGCCAATTTGGTTTCACGTTTTACCGACTAATGGTGAGATTTCCAAAGCGTAAATGAAAACGTCCGCATCGTGACTGCAAGCGTCCACACAAATGTCGAGGGAAGATGCTGTGTGTGATGTTAGTTGTACCACCAGAATGAGAGCCAGGCGAGACCAATGTCATAGAATCTGTTTCGCATGAAATGTGAAGAGGTGTGCATTGGCTTTTTGAATCAAAATGGTTTTGGGAGTTTTTTGTCTGTTGCAATTTCTGCTGGTTTCTAGGTGTTTGTTATTGCTCTGATTTTGTATAACTTACTGCAATAATCAATTTTAGGTTTCTTAATTTGTAAACGGTGTACACAAACTTATTTAGGTGAAGGGTAATGTCTAGTAAACTTTTGACTAGCCATGAATTTAATAATATACAGGAAAAAAAATCTACTCCAATAAACGTACATCCCTAACGGTTGTTGTTTTTATAACAAGAACTGTTGTAAATGAATGCGCTACAGTTTGCCCAATAAGATATATTTAATTAAGGTGTAGAACAGAATACTGTATATTAAAATATATATTAAAAAAACTCACAAAAAAGGAATTGTGCAAATCTTTAACTATTAACAAGGTGCGCTTTGTAAACTGATTAAATATAATGACGCATTTAGGGATTTATCGGCATCATATGCAAGTATACTCTCCATGTATGTAAAAGTATGTGTACTATACTCCCGTGTGAATTCTCACAATCTCATAGGCGTGTGAACTTTGTGCTTTGTGTTGGTGGTTACGTTTGCACTATGGTTGCGTCCACACAGAAAGCATTGCAAATTCTTAAACCAGGGAATTATATTCTGGTCCCTGCAATCCTCCCTGCCCCCCCCCGAATGTGCCTTAGCTTGTCACCAGTCTCACTGCACAGTACATAACATCGCTAATAAGTACATAATAAACCTCATTTCCTTACATGCCGCGTGTGTTCAGTTGCCTTTGCACCGTCGTCAGCTTTCATTTTATATCGCGTCATTCATGGTAATTGCTTCCCACGACGCTGTATATCAATTATATATGAGGGCCAAATTCAATTTATAGCGACTACCAAGAAAATGAACACCCTCAATGACAAACAAATAAATTTCACCAAGAGAAAAGGCACGAACAAAAAAGTTATCACAACAGAGAAAGGAAGCCCCATTCCAAACCACAATCCCAACTTGTCACACATTGCCCAGGAATTCTTCACTGCAGTGACAGCTGGTGGCTAAACGTGAAATAAAATGCTGATTAGAAACTTGAAAATGTGCAGGAATGTATTGTAACCGCTTCCCTAGGTATACAATTTCATTTTTGGAAGTCCTGCTCGAGATCGGTTTTCCTACGGAGAGACTGTCCCGCCATAGGCGAGTGGAAGTTCCACATCTGGCTCGGGGCGACCAACAAAGGTGAGCGTCACTGATATATATTCATTGGAGCTGCGAGAATCTGCAACCTGTTTGATCTGTATGCAGTTTTCCGTATAGTCCATGAGCCAGCATAGAAATTGGTGCCACCTTTGCTTGCAGTTGTCAGGCATGTGGATGCATTTCAGAATCTGAATATTTATACTGGAGGAATCTGATGATCTATAAAGCAATGTTTTACATGTATCGGGTAATATAAAACCCACTCGTTTCAAATTTTCACAATTCCTTTTTATTGGTCACAATTTGAACCACTAAAGTAATTCGCCTTCAGGTGGTATCGACATTTGAGATACAGTGTATGGTTTGGGATCGTGTCATTACTGTGGGAGGACATTTTATTCCACGAGAAGACCCAAATGCATCGGACCGGAACCTAATCAGGCATCTACTGCCCTCCACAGGTGTCACTCAATGCCATGCAGTGGGGCGTGATACCTGCGTGGCTGCTGTACAGGTGTTGGCCACCACTCCCTGCATCTGAATATTACCATAGAGAGATGATATCCACACCGCGCTCGGTCCCAAGGGTCGCAATTAACATGGCAAAGAGACCTCTCATTCACACTAATTTACCACGGGGATGCGTCTTGACATTGTGTGTGACTCGTGATAATTCAGTTCTCAGTTTAATACTATGCTATCTAATTAGGCTAACGGAGGTGTATTTGCACAGCTAATTAGAGATTAGTTTCGCATAATCTTATGCTAATTGTCAACATAATATCTTAACCGTCACGTAAATGATTTGGGATATCTCCAACATCACTGCTCGAAGTCTTAATTATTCTCTTATATCTGTCGCCGAGGCGTGTGGTTAGTAGGGAAAACATTCACAGTATTTGGCTTTAGAGCTGTATTGACATCTTTGAGCACGTTATCAAAAGTGTTGTCACTTAAAAATGAGTGTTCACGATCTACCCAGCAAATTCAGTTTCGAGTGCTGCTGTGGTTAAGGCGCAATTCGCAATCAGAAAGATGGAAGCTCACACCATGATCGGGGTTCAACTCTGCATTTTATCCCTCCAGGCCCAATAATATGAGTACCTGTGGTGTCAACGGCCTCGCAGCAACTCTACAAGCGCCGCGACCCCCCCCCCCCAGGCCCCCACACTGAGCACACGCACGGAGTGTCCTGGCGGGGGATCGCCTGGCACAACGGGTTTTAATCCCAAGGGTCCCCAGGAGGAAAGTCCCACGGTTTCCCTGTGCCAGGGGATTGGCCGACCCTCGCAGGTCAGGTCACATTGCGGTGCCCCTTAGTTGGCTTAATATGTATTGGCGCAAAAACAGGTTCACTGGGCCAGCCGCAATGAGTCATTCACGTCATCGGGAGGGGCTGGGTGGAATATTAAGCGAGAAGGGCAGACCATGAGATCATGGGATCGCAGCGCCACGACCTTCCCCGACCAGCAGACCGAATACACAAGTTGAGATGGAAGCTGATAAGATATTGGAGAGGCGTTCTGCACGCTCACATTGTGTGAAGAGCAGCAGCTGCCGGTGTTGGTTTACCAATGGTAGCTCCGAGTGGTCAGAACAAGACCAAATAAGCTACACAATCACAGTTGAAGAATATTACTACTACGGGTATGTATACAGTACTTTACCGTTACATATGTCCATAGTTTAGTGTAGATTAATTGGTTGCAATGGCAGTTCTCATAGAAAAAACGCTGCATTTTAACAAGGTTGCTGCTTGATTTATGCATTGTTTACATTTAAGGTTAATGTGCACTTCTTTCGGATGTGTACAGTCGTCTATTCGTTTTGTTATTGTTGTTTTAGTTTATGTTATTTATTCTACGTGAAATTGCAAAAATATAATTGTGTCAACACTCAAACAAGTGTGCGGCCCAGAGTCGGTGGTAGAAATCCCACGTTCCTATGGGGGGGGGGGGGCAGTCTTTCTACACAATCACCACTGCTGACGTTCCCAGTGGGGTAGTGAATATCTCGCCTCTCTCATCTCTCTGTCCCTCCTCGTGCCCTTGGTTCCCCATCCTCTCTGTCTGCCCCTCCTCCTGCCCGTGCCCAATCCCGTTGTCTATCCTCCCCCTCACACCCCTCCACTGGAATAAACTTCCTCGGAATATGAAGCAGTCCCCCTCCTTGACCTCCTTCCGTCCCTCTCTTAAAGCCTCACCTCTTCTCTGTCGCCCATTCCCTTCCCTCCCCTCGCCCCTCCACTGCGTCCCATCCCGTTCTTCCCCTCTAGCCCTTGCATTGACCCCACGTGCCCTCTGTCGCGGTCACTCATTCCTCGGCCCTTGTATACCCCTGCTTTTATATATATAAAATAAGATAATATACTATCCTCAATGGATGATAGGCTGAGTTGACATCCAACCAGGATTTTAACTTTCTGATTTACAAATTAAGCTCTCTAACCGGTGCCGAGGTAAATACGATCACCATTTGTTCTGAAGAGTTTAATCATTACAGATTGGTTTTAAATATATGCTTTAGTTTGATCATGGCTCCCAATTACACACGGTCCCACGGTCGCGTGCGCTGGGAGCCTAAGCGCCCAGTGTAACCCTTTGGGCTTGGTTCGTATCTGGAAGCCAGCAAGGGTTGGTGTAACCCATGCCGGGCTCTGCAGTGTGGCGATGAGATGGCAGTATTCATTTCAACAGGAAGGGCCCAATGAGCTGTTCGGCTCTATTACATGGGCGTCCTGCGATGATACCGATGATATACAATTTGTCCGTGAACCTGCCGTTGAAGTGTTACCCCTCGTATGTGTGGATTTTCTCCTTACATTCTTGTCTCTTCCTGCATAAAAAGAACACTGCAATACAGGTCCCTGGTGGAAATCAAGTCTTCAGACTCATTGAGGCTTATCAGGATTAATGACCCGCGTTAGTCTTTGAACTCGCAAATCACTTAATTGGAATAACCAAAAGCGACGTAACCCCGACTGGTGAACCAACCCCCAAGTGTGGGTCGGTGCTGTGAATGCCTCGTGCTGAGCAGGGACAGCTGCCATTCGGGAGTCCCGTCGACCAAAAAACGTTCGCTCCACGATGTTTTGTTCCATCATGAGCAAGATATAAATTCAAGTTTTATTATTATATTATAAACAAATTGACTCGAATGATTTAAATAGACTTTATTACGCAACGACAAGGATGCATTGCACAATGCTACGAGTATCGGAAAAGTTATAGATAATCGACTAAACAGGGAGTGCAAGAGTTGTAGTCACAATGTGTTTCATAAAATGTGGACCGGAGCCCACAACACAACATTAACCTCGAGGCCGTGTTTGATGTGGCGTTCATTCTGCAAAGATAAATGGGAGGGTGAAAGTATACACACGGCTGATGTAGTAGCTTCATCGCTCTTTATCATAAATGAGTCTCAGTGCTCCCATCTACACAGATTGCTTCCTGCCGACTGCGTTCTTGACCACACAGTAACCGATCTACCACAGGAGGACTGCCTCACTTCTTTCAAGAGCTGTAATATACAGAAAGCACCGAACAAGAAGCTGTAACAGTAAACAAGCAGGAACATTCTGTAAAATGGATTGACATCAGAATGGATTGGCATCAGAATGGATTGGTATCAATCCATTTTAGGCTATGTACAGGTGTGAAAGAAGTTCTACATACACAATGTGTCCATGGCCACATTGTGCTGTGATGCACCATAAATAGTCCTGGAGTGGTGACACATTGCCTGCATTCAAGCACTTCGAATGTGGAGTTGATGGATTACACAGATTCATCCATCAGGCGCTGTTCCTCAAAATCCAGCTGTGCTGCAATGTGATCAAGAGATGGCAGTACAGCAATTGATTCTGTGACCCTGTGGTGCAAATGTAGCATGGTTTTTCCCTGGATAACTGGAATTTTTTCTCACATGCAAAACACTGAAATAAAACCATAGCCAAGTGGAAAAGAGGTCGGTGCTGATCTGACACTGCTGAGATCTTGGGTTTAAATTCAGGCAGCCGCCTGCGATTAAAACGACGTTTTGGTAGTGCAGAGAGTTGATCGTCCCAGCCGAGTTAGCAAACAGCACGAACAACAATCACATGACAGTTGGTTCGTAATTTGGCTAAATGATAGCTCTGAGAATTAGATATATCAGTTTGACTGTCATGCAACATGCAACAAACATTACTCAAAGTGCCAGAGGAGGTGGAAACGTTTGGCCCTATTCTGTGTAGAACAGAGGTCACTTTAAGAGATCTCAGAGGTAGCTCTGTGGTGTCTGCTTTCTTGGCCCTTTCCCAACCACGAAGGGTTGCACTGCTCGGCAAGAGATCCGAACAGGTTCTTTGTTTCTTGACTCGAAGCACATATTGTGGAATTCCCTCCCGTTGGAAATTCGTTTATCCGATTATGTGGATAAAACACATCTTCTTAAGTCAGATTATTCTATTTAGCTTCTCCTTCTCTCTTGGCCTATCCTTATTCTTACAAGGCGCCTTGAGACATTTGTGGAAGGTGCCATACAAATACATGTAAATTATTATCATCACAATTGTAAAAACAATACTTCTTTTATCGAATAGCCAAATATGGAAATGAAAACCCCTTTTGTGACTTTCCTGAATGTTTTACCGACTTTAGGTTTCTAGAGGGTTTCCCATGTCAATTCAGACGACGCGTGTTGACCGTTAGGATACACGTGCGGATAGGGGAGAGCTACCATGTTTTCCAGATCGAAAAACATACTTTTTTTTCCCCTGCATTGTTGAAGCAGACTTTGGGGGTACGTCCCATAACCCAGCAGGTAGGTAGATGTGTGTGTGTAACCATAATTGTGTAACTTTATTGACGCCAAGCGCATGTTTGTGTTGCGTCTTACTCTTCGGAACAGAATTCTATTCCGGAGAATTTGGTAATCGTGAACTCACAACGGTGCCGTTAGCATGCAGGAGGAGGGCGGCTCAGTAGAGGGTGTTGGGCCGGCGCGTTGAGAACCGCGGGCTGTGCTGCTTGCGCAGGACGCGGTGGGGCAGCGGGAAGCGAATCTTGGAGTTCTGTAATCGCACGCACGCACGGGTGGCCTTGAGACGATCCCTCCCATCAGCACAACACAGCACTGTGTTATCCCAGCAGGTGGCACTGTGGTCAAAGGCATGAGCTAAAGTCTCTGATGAGGATCGAGTCAGCCTATCATCCCTGAGGTGTTAAAAGAGATCACTGTTTTAGGAAGTCTGTGATTTTAAAAAAACATCTTCAGGAAAACCTCACGCAGTATCAAGTCTCTTTCCTGAGGCTTCTGTATCGGGATGCTTGGTCAACAGCAGCCCCCACCCGATCGAAAGAATGTCCACCACTGGCTCAGGGCCACCAAGGGAGCCAGAGTACTTGAGTATGGTGACAGCATCATTACTTTGACCAAAGGAGAGGCCAAAGATACGTCCTTGCCATCTGAGCTCAATGATTCATGTTCTGCAGCACCAAGTGATTGTCTCCCTTTTACTCTCTTTCCTTCTAATTTCCCACAAAGGCATTGCTTAGAACACGATGCTCAAGTTCTTGTGTCCGTGCACACAGTGTACCATACCTGTTAACCCATATGGTTTACCCGTATTCTTGTACAGGGTCCATATCGCACACGACCGTTTCAATACGGGGGGGAAATGTGTTTTTGTCTATTTGTTTGTGTTTCTCCCGTGTAATGGGACTTTGTAGAATGAACGTTGAGATTTATAAGGGCACTGGGTGACCAATAAGGTTTAAATTGATCTGTAATAAGGTAGGCAATGATAAGGGGTTTACAGGTACGGTGTACCATTTTCCTTTTTCGTGTCAAGTATATTTAAAAGTGTCTCCACGTTTAATTTAGTTTTGGGATGGTTCTCGTATCCATTGGTGGCCCTAAATGAGAATTGACAATTTCACGTTCCTCTTGCAGAGGCCAACTTTTCCACAAAACAACTCTTTCTGCCTTTCCACAACGTGGTACTCATTGCATCACTCCTGGAGGTATGAAAAGCCGTTGTCAGTCCCAGTCAGTATTTGAACTTGGAGCGTTTTGTACATTATTAACCTTCCGGCACACAAAGTACCCACGAATGCGACCACAGCATTGCTGGGGAGAGGCGTGCAGCTGGAAGGGTGGAGGGCACTCACGTGGAACTGCTTGACGCCCGGGCGCCGACACTTGTTGGCTGTGATCACCTCTACCTTCATGATCTGGATGGAGTGGGCCCGTGCACGGTGCCGGGCTCCCATGTCTCGGTCTGAAGCGGAGAAAGTGGGAACGCGAGAACGCGAGATCTGGTGAATTTGCAGTCGTGCGTGCCCACTTCACGGCGGAGAGGAGGCAAAGTACCTCACCTCCCTTCCACTGCACAGCCAAGCCATGCCAAGCCAGCCCGGCGCGGATCAAGAGGAGCCCAGGTTTTTTTCCACTGCAGAAGCCGCGTCGTGCCGCTGACGTCACACGCAGTGAGCGGGTTGAGTCACGTGTGGATGCGACGTACAACAAAAGTTAGATCGGTCAATATGGAGGAGAGCGTTATGAGCCCGCGGTGAGTGAGCGGGGGCTTAGTTACCAACGACTGCACAACACCCACCATATGAAACTTTATTCATCACTTAATATCTGTGGGCTAAAAACCATCTTGATTGCCATTCGAAGGGCAATGTTCATAAGGGTGAGTCACTTGAGGTGACCGGGTGGCTTGGAGGTCACTGAGCTGCCAACCCAAAGAACCTGGGGTTTGAATCCAAGCAGTATACCATTTTGATTAAGGAACTGCTTGATATAGTGAATGATCTCAGACCAGATACCAATGACTGCACGCAAAAATCTAGAACCATAAATATGCTTCTGATCTTAATTTAGCTAAATTCTGCAAATTAAATATCGGTTTTCTGGCAATGGACCAATATTACTCTCCTAAAAGCGTTGTGCTCTACTGTGAGCCAGAGGTTACTTGAATAAATCTTAGAAATAGCTCTGTGATATCCACTTCTGCGGGCCCTTCAACACAAAGGGATACACTGGTCTGTGAAACATCTGCATGACGATAGCACAATCAAGATAATATTTGGGAAAAATTACAGTTGGTGTACTGTACTTCTATGTTCATATATGCTTCACTCCTTCCCTAACCTGCTCCAACCTGCGTGAAGGATGATCAAACACCCCGCATGTCCCACGTGGTGTGTGGATGCCCACAGTCAGCAGTAGATTGACAAAAGGGCTGTGAGATTTCCAAAAGGAAATGTTTTCGTTTCGTCTTATCTTATGTTGTATAGATTTATATAGTGCATTAATCCAAGGCGATTTACAACAACAATAAATTGTACATAAGATAATAGTGGTCAAAATAAAGAGTGGAGTTATTAAAAGTGGAGGCGTAGTTATGTTGACATTTAGGAGGACCGGTGGAAGTGGTTACAGAGGGGTTGGGGTAGTGATTGGGGTTGGGGTAGTGATAGGGGTTGGGGTAGTGATAGGGGTTGGGGTCTTGATTGGGGTGGTGGTAGTGATAGGAGTTGGGGTCTTGATTGAGGTGGTGGTAGTGATAGGAGTTTGGGTCTTGATTGGGGTTGGGGTAGTGATAGGGGTTGGGGTAGGCCTGGTCATCGCTGGGGGGCAGGGAGTAGCAGCAGCAGGATGATAGGCTCGGGAAAAGAGATGGGGTTTTTTATTGGAGGAACGGAAGCAGGTTGGTGAAGATGATTATTTTGTGTGTAGTGGGAATTGGTTCCAGTGGAGCAGAGCGACAAGGGAGCAGGAAGGAGAGCATGACTAGGCCGTAGGGCGAGGGAGGTACAGAGAGGGACGGTAGAGACTAGGAGTGTAGCAGACGGGGTGGGACAGAGTACTAAGAGATGAGAGAAGCAAGACCATGGAGGGAATTACAGACGAGAGTGAGAAATGTAAACATGCGGTGATAGTAAATGGCAATCCAGTGGAGTTGGGAAAGTGGAGCATAAGTGTGGGAATTGTGGGGAGTTTATTTCTACTGGACCAGGGAGTGGGCACTGGTGGTCATGAGAAGCGAGGGTGGTACATACAGCAAGCGGTGACGGCGCCAGCGGTGGTGAGGTCTCTGTACTCGCGGTACATGTTGTGGGTTCCGCTGCGGGACTCGTAACGCAGCCAGATGCCAAAGTTCTTGATCCTCTGTGGGAACTTCTCGGAGACCTGGCTCGGGGTACGGAAGCGGAAGAGGCAGAGACTGAGGTCAAGCATTTGTCGATTCGCGTGGATGTTTGTGGTTGGGCTGCACAGCTCTCACTATGTGTTTTCGAGTTGTAACCGGAGTTGTTTGGCACAAGGTCCACCGTTTCTGAAGAAGCTCCCAACCGCCTTGGGCGAAATGCCAGACATGATGAACAGCATGCATTAGCGCCAGAAAACTCGTCGCATTTGCCCATTTATTTGTTCATTAATGTCGAGTACTTCACAGATTATGAACATATTGCTCTAACGACATTGCTATGTCCTATGACCAAATCCCATCCCCATGGAATATTCCTGATCTCGTCATGTCACGATAGTTAAGCAGAGCAAAACCTGTACGGTGCTTGGGTGTGCAACCACCATGCATAACAGGTTGATAGAGGCTGTAGGACTACGTGGTGGGCAGCAAAGATCAGTGCAGCAAAATCCATTGTTGTACTGTACTTCTATGCCCCCACATCTATTCTTCCCGCGTTAACCTACTCATACTTAGCAGCCCAGTGAATTCAGTCAAATAACTTTCACAACCCACACATTGTAGAGAGGCCCTCATCCAGCAGTAGATTGCCAAAGGGCTGTTGCTTGTGATAAATTCAATCGATCAAAGTGTCTGCCTGATGGTGGCCTTGAGCTAGAATGTTACGGGGCCAGTCTTTCCACAGGATGACGACTACTGACTTCCCACAACGTGGTATGTATTTTATAGGTCCATGAGGGTTGATGGGCTGAGTCAACCATGGCGAGGATTCATTATAAATTGATAGCCTGGCTGCATAATAAAGATACGCAAATCATTTATTTAACAGGACGTCCAATTATAATGTTGCATCGCATTTAATTCATGTGGTGGAGGCTTTAATTGCGAGGCTCAAGATAATCGTCATGTAGTAGCAGTGACTAATAGGGGCTTACCTGCGTTAATTCTGAGTATGTTGACACTTGCTGCGATGTCGGTTTGCACCGCTTGGATGCGATTGACATTTAAATATATCACGTGCGTGCTAATGCAATTACGTGCTGATTAGCGTGTTTATGCTTTTGCGTTTCTGATTAATTTTATTTAACGAAGCCCTGTTCAAACTGATGGTTCATTTAGATGGCGCGAAAAAAAAATCGGATTCAATGACACTGAGTATCACAAGGAAACCCATGAATGACCCGTTTTAATTAAAACTAAGTTAATTGTTCTCATTTGTATTGGTAAAAATAAACGAACAAAACATTTCCTGGACCCATCTATGTACCTTTTAATCCCAGTCCGTTTTTGTGTAATCAAAGTGTGCATTTTGTTCTGTCTTTAAGTTGTCAATTGAAGAACAAATACAGTGCGGTACACACTGTCACCCTTTCATTAAAAGCACAGCATTCACCGCATGGCCAAGTAACCATGAACTCCAAAAGAAACCAGATCCACAACATAAAATATTCATCACGGGTTAAATTTTGTATTTGTTATCACTGCGTGGAAGATAATCTCTGAATCACGTCACATGACCTGCTTGTGGGGCCAATCCTTCCCTCGCACCTCCAATTATCACAGTTGGCTATACACGCTGCGAATGCAGTTCTACATATTAACAAGCCACTGGCGGAAAGGGCCACATCCTCAGTTCAGATGAGCCCCTGACCGGGATTTGAACTTGCAATGTTCCGATCTTGGATCAAGCACTCAAACCACAGTGCTAACCCGCCGGACAATGCACAAGAATGTGTATTTTTAGATAAAGAAGGGACTGACAGGGGTTACAGTAATATGTGTGTGTCTCTCTATCTCTGTGCTTGTGTCTGTCTGTGTGTCTCCGTGTCTGTGTTTTGTCTCTCTCTTAAATTTAGCAATCTTTTGAAGAATGTAATCAACCAGGTAGGGTGTTGACTGTAGTGTTAGCCGACTCTCTGTATTGTATTGCATTATATTTCTAAGTTTACTATGTTTGTTTAATTCATTCTTACCTGATGATGGTTGCTTGTGTTGCAATCGAAACGTCCGGTATTCTATTATTATTTATTTATTGTCTACGTGACTATACCGAAAGAACCAAAGAGTACAGTAAGATGATTCATCATTATAGTTTGCACAGCAGATGCAAACTCAAGCACAAGCACGGTAGATCACAATTTATAAACCGCCAGATTTTTCCAGATGATTTTGTAGATAATTTTGCTTGAAAACTTTTAACAGTTATTTCTCTAAAGTTATTGGTGCTTCGAATTGGATTTTTGGATGGGCACAACATGTCAATGTGGTGACCCTGTGCCACCACGTTTATACAAGTGGACATAGTTTAAACATCTATTGGGATAAAGATATACAGGAGACTAACTATTATGTAGGTATTTGTATGTTTATCTGGCACCAATAAAGTAGATCTGGCCAGGTGGCACAGTGGTTAGAGCGTGTGGCTCGCAAACATTTCCACTCTTAGTCGGGGCTGACTCAATCCTTCATCCCTCTGAGGTCGATAAAATTGGTACCACTTTTAGAAATCAAAAGTGGGTAGATTCTATGGACAGATTAACACCCACAAAAAACATTTTGTAATTTTCACCACTGGTTCAAGGCTGTATTTTTATTTTAGTGGAAAACCACTGACTTTCTGAAGATGGCAAGAGTAAAAAGACTTATCCATACTTAATCTATAGCTTCCCCCACACGCACAATATCTTACACCCTGGCGTGGATAAGAATGTGCTAATCAATTTGCAGCATGTTCAAAATTCGGCTGCTGGGGTGTGAACTGGAACACCTTCTTCACATCATATTATACCCGTTTTGGCCTCCCTGCATGAGCTTCCAGTTTCACGCCGAACACAGTTTAAGATCCTACTGTTAACTTACATAGCAGTGCACCATCGTGCCCCAGCCTCCATCACTGACATGCTGCACCCACGTGCCCCAGCCTACATCACTGACATGCTGCACCCACGTGCCCCAGCCTACATCACTGACATGCTGCACCCACGTGTCCCAGCCTCCATCACTGACATGCTGCACCCACGTGCCCCAGCCTCTGTCACTGACATGCTGCACCCACGTGTCCCCTCGAGGTTCCTAAGATCTGGGGATGCAGATCTTCTCTGTATTCCCAGGTCAAGGTTTCAGTTTATTGGGTGACAGCTGTTTCCCGTCTAGTCCCCAGGATATGGAATGTTCTTCCACGAGATATCAGCGATCTATTTTGAGTCTGTGAACATTTTAAAAATGCGCCTTAAAACCTATTTATATGCTTCCACTTATTCAATTTTTTGTTCTTTTAGTCAATGATTTTTAAAATGTATTTATATACATTTTATGCTGAGTGTCTGCTGCTGCTGTGTCCTGTGCAGCGCTTTAAGATCCTTGATGAAAAGTGCTATATAAATGTAATTATTATTATCATGCATCTGAGCTTACATGATGAATTACCCTCTTTGATTGTATTACCACCACCACCTTTGCTCACCGTCCCACAGTACACCATCTCCCCAGACGACTTCTTGAGCTTGCGCAGCACGGACGCAAAGTACCAAAAGCGGGATTTGGCCACCACGTGGTTGGGTGCGAAGATTCGCATGCGGTACAGAGGGGGCCTCGGCTGCTTGGGTGTCGGCACCCGCCTCCCAATCACCTTGAACTCCTTGAGCTGCACGCTCACACACGCAGGTGATGGTCCCTCATTGAGCGTCACAAGCAACACGTGCACTCGGGACCACGACGCTGCCGATGTCATGACGCCATCGCTTCCTTCATTCTGCCAGATTTTGGAACGAACCTCGAAGAGCTGACCTTTTCAATCCCCATCATCCGAGTTTAGGTTTTCCCCCTGGTCGCCAACCTCTGGGTGCCACCAGTGTTTGTCTTGATAACCTCCCCTCATCTCTCCTGCACACATGCTCTACCCATTGCGACCTCCTCGTCTCTAATACTTCTGCAATGCTTTCCTCTCAAGTTCTATTCCAGACGACAAATTGTTTATCCTACCCCACCACACGTGACCCGCTGTGATGTACCCATTTCTATTGTCAGCTCTGCTGACTTCATGCTATTTAAATCGTGCCTAAAGACACAACTTATTTCTCAGGTATTTTTTCTACTTTTTGAATACTTTGTTTTTGGGTTGGCCGTTATCGGTGTTGAGCCGGCACGCGTCTTCGTGTGTGTCTTGCACAACGCCTCCTTGTGACCTCCGAGTGAAAGGTGCTTTATAGGTGTAAATTATTATTTTAAAAACACGCCTGTTGTTTAAACTGGCGCAGGGAGTTTTAACGAGGAACTTCCGAGCTTGCAAGCCCAGTGTGATAACAATTACACCGTGGCAGCATCCCAAGGAAAATCTACATATACATGTATATGTTATTGAACGATCAGTACTATCCACTTCTTGCGCACATCAACAGAAGCCACTTTCTGCCCACTCAGATCGGCGTGTGGTCGTGCTCCTGGTGAAAATTCCACAATCCTTTGGTGGGGGCTACTCTTGCCATTGAATATATCCACTGTTGGATGAACAGTGCAATAGTCGTGAGCATAAGCTATTTCCATTGTGGTCATTCTTATAAAAATAGGTTATGTTAATAGTGAACTATGGTTGGTAGAACAAATGAATATGTGATGAATGAACAGTGCTGGTTGGACCAACATCATTCGTGCCTGGCCAACTTTTTCTCACTATTTCTCGTATTACCGGCATTCTGCACATATCACCTTGGGGAAGTTCGTACGTCGATCAAACAGCGGCTCGTGTTGGTATTGTGCACGGCCAAGAATCGACGCCTCACACCACTTCACTTAAAATGCGTCCATCTCATCAGATCTCAGAAGCTAAGCAGCGTTAAGCCTGGTTAGCGCTTGGATGGGTGATAACCTTGGATACAAAAAGGCATTGTGGGCAGTAGAGAGCAGCGCAGTTTCCTCTACTCCCCCCACTTGTATCCAACCCGCACGAACCAGTGTGGTGAAGTATGGTCAATATATCCCACATGGCCCGCACTCAGCAGTGGATGGACACATTGACTGTGCACGTACATGGCCAGGAATACAACCTGGGCTAGACAAGACATTTTAAAATGTATTGGTACGGCACAGTAATGCATTCATGAGTGTCTAAATGCACACGCATGTTTTATGCATGTATTTAGAGTAACCCACCTTGCGCTCTTTCCGCTGCGATGGGCCAAGCAGCATTGAAAACAGCAAGCAGTGATTAGCAAGCACGATGCATGCAGCAGCAGCAGCAGCAGCCTTGCCGTGCATTCATTGCCCTGCTCACTCACTCGCACGTCTGCATGGAACACTGAGGAACACTCAGAAAGCCAAGTGACGTTTGCTACCACAAGCAGACTTGCTTCACATACAGTATAATATTTTGCGTCGTCAATACATACAGCATTGTTTCTATGCAAACACACCTGTAGTGAATTATACTGTGCTGTACACACAGTGCTTGTTTATGTACAAACACCTCTGGTGTACTGTACAGATAACATGTGTAATGAATTGGAAAGTGCAGTACTGTATAACGCATCTAAGAACTGTACAACCCGATTTAAAGGCCTCGGTGCAAATCACCTGCAATGTGCCCAGGCTTGCCAGATCTCAGAAGCTCAGCAGAATTAAGCTTAGATAATGACAAATGTTGAATAGGTGACCGACACGCAATTGTACTGCATTTCTATACCCCCCCCCCCCCCGTCTGTGCTCTCCACCTTCACTAACCCGCACCGGCCAGCATGGTGAAGTATGGTAAATATATATACTCCACAACCCGTACAATGTGAGGATGGCCATAATCCAGCAGTGGAATGACAACAGCGTCTCGGCTCGGTTACCAAGGCCTGGACGTATAACAAACAAAAACATTCGGATAAATAAATGCTTTAAATTCGGTCTTTTAATTTCATTCCAAATTCCATCTACTAATAATTAACAATACTATATAGGTTATACTGCCATGCGATGAACATGAATGTGAAGCGGTGCATGCAGGAAGTGCAGGTTAGCCCTGGGTCACTGTTGAAAATGACACCACACGACTGTGTCTTCGTCTCTTGAGTGCTCAGCTGGTAAACTCATGTTTTACATGAAACCGGTGTCTGGATAATAAAGTACATTGACGAGATCTCAAAATTAGTTCTTTGAGAACTCCTTCCGTGGACCGTTCTCTAATATGGGGTGATGCACTGTTCCGCGAACATTCTGGACAGACAGTTCGTCTCAACATGACACCTTTCGGAAAATTTGATTCAAATTGGTCGTTTTTAAGAACTCCAGGATGGTATTGTCTCGTCTCACGTCGCAGGCTACAACGCACGGAACTGCACAAGTTGCTTAGTTCTGTTATACAGATTCTGTGGCTATACAGGAGGGTATATGACTTGATGAAAGCACTAAGAATAAAACGCACAATCTAACTGGTTTGGGCCAAACACCCCAATACTGATAAATGCATGATCTGCATATCACTGTACTCAATTGGGATTACACATAGCAATAAACAAATACAATTAATCGCAGGTATATATTTACAATGTTTGTTGAAGTGTGACTCGGTGTTTTCTCTGCACACAGTATGTGTCACTGGACACCCTTTCAAACGACAGTAGTCCAGGTGACACATAAGTCGTTTGGTCACACGTTGTGCCATCCAGCTTGGCATTAACGTACATTGATGGCATTCGGAGATGTTACTAACGATGTTGAATACTGTATCACACACACTCGGCTACATACAGCAGCCTGCAATGGAGCTGATGTTCGACAGAGTACATGCAGCATGGAGCTGTGGCGCAGTGGTTCTGCGAACCCAGCGAGCGACCTGCAATCGATTCCCAGCCACGGCTGACATCAGTGGCGAGTGATTTCTGATCCATGCAGCTCTAGGACCTCCGTCACCAACACTGACCGGTGTGGTGAAGTATGGTCAAACAACACCCATGACAGACACGGTGTGGAAGGCCTTCATCCAGCAGTGGATTGACAGAGCTGGAATTATTGTATAAACTCAACACATTTGTCAATTACACTACTTTAAATTATACACACAATAGACCAAACAACATAAAACACGCTCATATATAATCACACATTTTAACAGGCAATGCAGCATGCAGTTTCATAGCATCCATCATTGTCAAGGAATATACATAACCCAACAAAACCTGTATTATAGAGATAATATAAATGTTTGGATCGGCAGTATGCCTGATACGCAGCATAGCGAACAGAGCACACGCGTGTGATTGTCACGTTACTGACGCGATTAACACGGCACCAGCATTATCATCATTAGCACGCGGACTGTGTAAGAGGATCAACACTGGCAGTGTTATCCAACAATCAATGTCACCGCATCCTTGCAGAGGGAGGAGCAATGCCCCCATTATGCAACAGTCCCAGATGCAGCCCTCATTAACGCGACATTTATACTCCCCAAACTTACAGATCATGTATTTGTAAAATACAGCTTTATTTATAGCTATTGAGTGTAAAGTTACGTTAATCGGCGATTGTGATATTTACCACTCCTGTGCCCATTCCTACAGCTGCTGCTGCTGCAATGTCCCAAGGATTCTGCAGACAGAGCGCGATGACGTCACAATTTAAATACCTGCGAGCGCGGTGACGCACGTCATACGTACTGACGTCACGCCGCTCTCAGTGACCCGACTCGCACGTGCGCGATGATGTCATGATTCTTAACTCCGCCACGGGCGCGGTGATGTCACCGGTGGCGATGTGCGTACAATGCGTGATGACGTCACGCACGCCACGGTCGGGACCCCACCTGTTAATGACGCATTCGATCGACTCCTGTGCAGCAATGGCGTCACGTTTTGTATTTAGGGGAAATTACGTCGCTGGCGCACTAATGTAAATGTTAATACAGTCTCCGTCATCAGGTGGGACCGTCACAGCCAGATTTGCTGTATCAAGTGAGGCATTCAGCAAATCTGGCTGTGACGGTCCCACCTGATGACGGAGACTTGTGTTGCCTCCGAAACGTTGTGATTTTTTTTATTAATTTTAATTTCATTTTTTACCTACGTGACTTTACCGACAAAACTAAGAGTATACCGCCCTCTGCTGCCCGCCCACCACGTGGCCTCTCAGCCGCCCATCACACCTGGACACGCGCTGCGGTCACCGATCCGAGCTGCTTAGAATTAGTCAAATAGAATCTTGATTTGAAGCTTTCGTTACTGCAGGAATCCATACTCTTAGGTTTTTTCGGTAAAGTCACGTGGGTAGAAAAAACTAAAATAAAATATCACGATGTTTCGATTGCAACACAAGCGGTCGTCCTCAGGCAATTTTTTTTTCGACCTACGTGACTTTACCGAAAGAACCCAAGAGTATAGCCAAATATAAGCAAACATCAAATCTGCTGTCTTATATATACCATCTCGTACAATAATGGATGTAAAGATCACAGATTATATTATTACTCATTTATAGTTTCCCAGCCTAAGAGTGGGTTGGGCAGTGCGCATCTGTTCGAAGTCCAAAGCCAACGGTGGAAATTCCACGATGCCATGACGGGGGCCAATATACAAAATACACTCATGGTAGACTTCTCACGAAGTCGACCCCGGAGGGATAACGAGTTAAGTTGGCCATCCACACACCAACTTGGTACTTTCACTTGCAACACTTGACCACTGGTCTCTTGCGTTATTTACGAAGTAAGATATTGCTCGTAGGAGGAATACGTTGTTCTTTCTGTACAGGAAACCCTTGGTCGAATGAGGCCTGTATTTACTGTACCTATAACCAGGTGAATTGCCATTGCAAGGTGAAATAAGCGATACAAACTACACGCCGCTAACCTTCCCACGTGTAAACAGACGACAAGAGGCAGGGCAGTGAGCATTGAAATCCTCGCCCTGATATATAAAAACTCACCCTTACATTGACCACTCTTGGTAATAAAGACATTCCTTTTGCTTAAACACATACTACTGGTGAACAAACGTCCGTAAAGTGAATTGGCCGATAGACTAAAACATTCTGTTATGTGGAGGTACGGTTGGACTTTGATAGAATTATGCATAATATCTACAATTTGACATGAAATTGGCTTGGGGGGGGGGGGGGGCATTGGTGCCATGAACCCGGAAAGCTGAGTTCGCGTCTCTCCCGCGGCAAATTCCCGAGATGAGTGATGTGGTTGCTGATCAAGCCACACACCTCACCAACCCGCACTGACCAGCCTGATGAAGTAGAGTCAAATAGCTCTCTGTGTCACCAGTAAAGTGTGGGGAGGCCTTCATCCAATAGTAGAGTGACAAATGTGTGTAATTATATTTCTTCATTAATTTGGTCTAAAGATTTGTATTTACTAAAACTCGCCACCTAATTATGCAACACTGCCTTATAACAGAACATCTACTGCAGACGAATGTGTTATGGCAATGGAACATCTGCAGAAGAAACATGACAGCAGCCAGATTGACTGAACTGTCGTGGTAAAAGTCTTATAACTTGAAAACATCATGGGGAAAATTACATTTGGCTAGTTATCAATTGACTTACGAACACATTTTCATGAGCAAATGGATGAGTAGAAAATATGTTATAATGTTTAAACAAGTCAAAGGGGACACATTAAACACGTCAATATCATTTTTGGATTCGATGCTTTTAGCATCGCAAGAATAACTTTGTCGCCTCGTCGAGAAGACAAACGCCTGGCGGCACGAGGTCTGCTTCACTCTCGGCTTCCCGTGTTCGGATTAACTTTGCGTGCAACAAAATAAACATAGACAGCAGGGTATGAAGTAGCCTTGTATGCTCCGCTCCTTTCGTGAGCTACTGCTCACTTGTAACCAATGTAAAACACAGACGACACATTCCACATCTGCCACTCCGTCCCATTCCTCATTCGTGGCAGGTCAGCAATGAATACAGTCGACGTTTGTAAATCCTACTTTACATCCCGTTTCGCATCGCCCGTGCTTTTGTTTAACACTGGCCCTCGAGCACCCCTGCCCATTTCCGCGGATAATCATCAAGAGTTCACTGCAAATGCTTCCTGATGGTTAAGCCCCGTTCAGAACTCAATCTGCGCAGGTGAGGCAACATTTGCATGAACAATGGGCCCCGCTGTTCCCGGCACGGCCGGATTTGCATGAGGTGTCTGCGTGCCACGTGCAGGACTCATGCTGATGCTATATATACACGTGTATACTTTTCGTTGTGATGTATTCTCAAATATTTGTATAACATACAATGCCACTTTCGAAAAAAGTATGGATATTCTAAGAACCGTATGTCAGTGAATTTGACCAGTCCTGTAGTTTGGACTCCGCACGCTTCATTAACCCACAATATACAATTATTATATTTATGTAGCAACGTTGTTTGGAACACTGCAGGCCACGACTGTGCCATTTATAAGTAGCTCGTACCGCCTCTGTCCACCAAGGAGCATAAATGGTTTCACCACAGTCGATTGGCAGGCCACGTGTGGTGGGGCAAAGTGTGGGTGCTCCCACCGCTTTGAAGACGTCTGCCCAGCGTGGAAGAGTCGGCCTGGAGCGAGGCTCTCTAGAGCCCCCTCTAGTGGACGCCTTTTGCCAGCAGATGTGTAAACGACCAATTGCAGAGTAGCACCTTCACCTTTTTACTTGACCAAATAAGCTTTTAGAACTTTTCAGGATTTAGTGGAACGGTTGACCAGCCAAGAGCCGGGTAACTAAACTAAGGAAACCTTTTGATGATTGTATGGACAGTGTGAGAAATGTTCCAAGCTGCACAGTTGCCTTGTTAACATATTTGCCCAGGTGAGTCTCAATGAACCTGCAAATAAAATACTTTCCTATATATGTGAATGCTGGTACCATCACTAGTATATGCAGTACTATATAATATATCACAGCCATTTGTCGCTGCTGGAGGAAGGTCTCCTCATGTCTGTCGGTCACAGTGGTTTGTTTTACCTTCACGCTGGACCATGCGAGTTACTGGGAGGAAGTGAGAGCCAGTTAAGGACCAGTTCAAATATAGTTCACCACTTAATGTTAGCCGTGGACAGAAACTGAAACTCAAGTCGCTGGGGTCATAGCAATGCATTATCTAAAAAGGCAAATAAAAATGAATCACTATTCCAGTATATTGCTTGGTATTGTTGCAAAAAGCATGTAAGCATCAACTTTGACCATTGTGTAACCATTTACAGCTTTGCAATGACTGCTGACGGTAAAACAGTCTGTGCCAATTTGCTCTACAATTGGCACTGGCAAATGTTGACATTGAAGGGCCATTAACCAAATTGTGATTTTTAATTAAGACATTTTTTTACTTATATTTGAATTTCTGATGCAGTCAATCTTAACCTCACATACGAGTGGGATTCAAAAGTTTTCCCTTCACCATGAAGGAATTAATTTGTAACAGTGAAACTCGGTACACGTGTGGCATAGATTAAACTTAGGCATTCGCGTGGGATTAAAAGTGTTCATCCCTTTCTGCACAGGGACCTGCAGTCATTAAAGTGTCAGGCAGAGGGGCTCCATGACTAGGCCAAATTTTTGCCTCACAGCCAAAAGCATGAATTCATATTCCACCATAGCCACACAGCAGTCTAGGCTCAACAGAGCCTAGTCCAAGACAATCCGGATAGCTGGCGCCCATGTACTGTACACATGGACGTGTGGCCGATGGGTAGTGGAGATGTAAAGCAGAGTCTGATCTGAGTTTCAGGCTTTCGGACATCATCTGTAATGATGTCAGAAACTATCGGACTATCCGTAGTTGAATACAACTATTGCAAGCCATTCGAATAAAAGCATTGCAAGTAAAACGATCACTCATCTGTAAAGATCCGGAGTGTTGGCAAATGTGTTACATGTGGCATTTATGCAATTTAACGCTGCACTCTTTTATGACTATGAAGTCCAAACATTGTCGGTGTAATTATCTTTCAGTATGGTTCAAAAATAGATTACTTTATAAAAAGACACAGGTGGTTGCGTAGTGAAATAGTACAGTTACTAGAATTACTTATTCAAATCGATCATAATGAAACTTAGAATCCAGAATGCCACCACGTGACTTCTTACCCACACGGATACATGAGTCAACATCACCAAAATACTATCCTCAGATTCCTCATCTTGCTCTCAATTCAGTTGCTCTCCAAGATTATCCCCCACAATCTTAAAGGTCTTTGATGACGTTATTTCTGACGACCTCTACTCCCTCATCTAACTATATCCCTTCATGTGCTCTCCACTCCAATCGCTTTTGTGAACAATCCTCAGTGAACCTTCACTTCGTGAGAGAGAGATTGCTCTTTCTCAGATGCTGCCCCCATGAAATGTCCTTCCTCTGTCCGACTCATCCCCTTTTCAAGTCAAGGCTCACGATCTTCCTCTTTTCTTCTGCCTATGACTGTCTCTCTCTCTATGAAGGGTCTTTATTCACACTTCCAGCATATATTGTCTCGGTCGCCTTTCTCTCGCCTGCAGCACTGTAATCTGGTTCTCTTTCTGTGCCCAAAAACATTCACAAAAACAGCTCTTATTGAACCTCTTGAGAGGCACACGCTTCCCGATGTGTTAGTCTTTTTGAAATGCAGTCACGCTCACATGTTCTTAGGTTTTTTCCAGTAAAGTCACGTAAACATTTTTTTTAATCACATGCTTTATGAAGCCAACTAGGATTGCACTATATTGACACATTTCATTAGTTAATGGGAAATTATTCAGCTTTTTTGCAAGTGAAATGTTTAATCTTGATAATTGTTTTTTTACCCTTTTTTCTGGCAACAAAACTGACACCTTTTTTTACAAGGAGTCATGTTAGCATTGACCACAATACCTGCGGTCGGAATGCACACAAAAAAACACAACTCTGATAATGTATGCAGTCCTTAAAATTAATTGGTCCACACCCGAGACAGCTTTTCTTAGAGCCTAGTCTCACATGGTGTTGGACCAGATGACGCCGAAAGGCGCACAACTTAAAGACAATGCACCATCAGAGTATGAGAGCTCGGGGTGAAGCATTTACACCATTGGAACCTCTTTTGCCAGTAGCAAAATATGATCATTGGTTTTTTACCCTTTTATCTGGCAATGGTTCTCGCTTTAATGTTATTTGCCGTTTAACGTTCCTACAAACGAAACAATCCAGCAATCTTACATTTTGAACGGTTTCTGCATGACGCAAACATTTAGTTCGAATTTTTTTTTACCGTTTTCGTGTCCTAAACGCTACCTAATGTACCACATTTCAGCTTCCCGTCTTGTCGGGAAGGACCCAAGAGGTTTGTGAGCCGTACACATTAAGAGGGGGAATTCCTTGAATGATTCAGCGTTAACGACACATCCTTGACTTTAGTCAGACACCACAACAGCAGCGAATAATCCCCCAAACCATGGGGGGGACGGGGGACGCCGGCTGTGTGCGTCTGTTGCGACTTCCTGCGCCTCGTCGTGCGAGTGGCGCGCGGGTTCCCGCAATGGTTGGCGGAGCCGAGCTGGAAACTCCGCATTCCTGTCACTCCCGCGCGCCAACGTCGAGATGTCGTTTCGGCAGTTTAGCTTTTCAGGGCACATCCTTTAAAGCTACGGGTCACAATCTAACAGGTCACCATCTTACACAGATTCCCCGTGTATAGTATATATCCTTAACTGTAGGGGCAAGTGCCATTAGCGAGCACCCATGAAGGCCGGAACGGCACACGAGGGCGTGGGTGGCCAGCACCACGCTCGGCCGCCTTTGTCTCCCCAGTGGCGATGTTTACACACCGCACCAGCTACTCGTTAAGGCTGAGACTGCCTAGAGGAGGCCCAGGACCGGTTCAGATACTTGTCACCGGTGTTGGCCGTGAGCGGGAATGGAACTGCCCTCGTCACAGTCCCACGGCTTGAAGTGTCCGCCACTACAAATGCTACGCTTTATAGGCATAGCGACGGTGAGCAGAACGAGAGCGCGCACGTGATTGGCTGCTCGTCCGCCCCACGGCGTTCTTCCCACCAATGGGAGGCCGTGAGACGGAAGGGGCCGCCCGGGCGCGCCTATGTGGGGTGCGGAATGCAAAGAGCGGCGCTGAGTCGTGAAGCGGCGACCTCGTCCCGGCTCTGTGGGTGGCGGTGGAGGCGACGAGGAGGCGAGGAGGGATCTTCTCTTGCGTTTGTGGACGACGACCAGCGGACTCACGTAAGTAGGCGGCAACGCTAAACGCCAGGGAGTCGCGTTCGGGAAGAGAGCCGCGACTGCCGCTCGGTGGGAATGATTCCGCGTCGTGGCCTAGCGCCGCGAGTCCCGCACCCACCGGCCTGGGATTGACGATCGCCCCGAGGCTGCCCGGCTGGGCCTGGGCGCCCCGACCGGTCCCCCTCGGTCGGCTCCCGCCAGGAGCGTTTTCAGGTTTTCTTTGTCGTTCTTAATCTGAAGCGTGCTGCGTTGGTTTATGATGACGTTTAGATATATAAATGTGTTTTTTTTGTTTGTGATAGGATGTGGACTCTTAAGCAGCGCCTGTTGTCTGCTGTGCTATGATGGGACAATACATTACGGTAGTTACACGACTTTGTGCAATATAGTACAGTTTGAATTTATCAGCCTGGATTTCTAACAGCATATACATGCGACCGCATCGCAGAGTGATGTGAAATTCGAAGAGACGTGTCCATGTGGAGAGTTTGCTGAGCGATACTTTTTAGATGTCGGTGTTTTTGAAAGGTCTTTAGAAAGAAACACTGAATGCTACAGTCCATACAGTGACCTGACAGGTCACGGTATGGTGGCAGTGCGAATGAAGACACTTGGCATGGAGAGGCAGTTCTAGGCAGAAGAAGAAGAGAGGATGATGACATTCAGCCTGGAGTAAGGGCTCAGCAATAAGGATGGCGAGAGGGAGGAAGGCGATTGCAGACAGTGGTAGCAGCAGTGGAGGAGGCGACCTCCCACCGAGCAAATGTTTGACAGAAGGCCATTGTTGTTGTTGTTGCTGCTGCTGCTGGGGCGAGAAGGTTGGAGTGAGATGAGTGTGTTGCCTTCATGGGCTCTCGCCCGGGTTTAAAGGTCCAGTGGGAATATTGTGCACTGTTTTTGCATCAGGTCGTGGTGTACGCGCTGTTTTTTGCTGCGAAACGAAAGAGATGTGCAATGTGGAGGCTCAAACGTCAACAAAATTATATTTTTATAGTACGCTATTACAGACGATAATAGCAATGCTGTATGGTGTATAATATATACCATAGTGTTGCTTTCACCCAGCCTCCGTGTGTGTCACAGTCTGCTTAAGTAATTTAACTAGGTACACTAGTTTATCTCGCTACAATATTTAAAGAAACCATAGTTGTTCGATTTCTAACTCAACATAAACCTAATTCCCTCGTTTATTTTAAAGCAACGATTGGCGGTTGTGCGGCGTATCGGGGTAGGTGAGTGTGAGAGACCAGCTTTGTATGACTATTGACACCGAGCACAGGTTCATGTTGTGTTCTTTCCGGAGAGTTCCATAAGCAGTACTATGTATATTCAGTACAGTATATATTAATACTGTACAAAATTATGTACAGTATATGTTATTACAAAATTCTGTACAGTAAGGAAGTGATCACGTTTGATGTGTTGGTGTTAAGTGACTTCCTGGTGTAGTTCACTTCCTGGTACCCGGACTGCTGCTCGCGTTACAATGTGACTTGAGATTTTGACTTTAAACTTTCGTGACTGCAGGAATTTATATTCTTGGTGCCAGTGCGCTCATCGAGGTTAATAACCAGGCTACAGTCTACATTATAGACTGCCAGTACACTCACCCAACTTAATAACCAGGCTACAGTCTACATTATAGACTGCCAGTACACTCACCCAGCTTAACCAGGCTACAGTCTACATTATAGACTGCCAGTACACTCACACAACTTAATAACCAGGCTACAGTCTACATTATAGACTGCCAGTACACTCACCCAGCTTAATAACCAGGCTACAGTCTACATTATAGACTGCCAGTACACTCACCCAACTTAATAGCCAGGCTATAGTTTACATTATAGACTGCCAGTACACTCACCCAGCTTAATAACCAGGCTACAGTCTACATTATAGACTGCCAGTACACTCACCCAGCTTAATAACCAGGCTACAGTCTACATTATAGACTGCCAGTACACTCACCCAGCTTAATAACCAGGCTACAGTCTACATTATAGACTGCCAGTACACTCACCCAACTTAATAACCAGGCTACAGTCTACATTATAGACTGCCAGTACACTCACCCAGCTTAATAACCAGGCTACAGTCTACATTATAGACTGCCAGTACACTCACCCAGCTTAATAACCAGGCTACAGTCTACATTATAGACTGCCAGTACACTCACCCAACTTAATAGCCAGGCTACAGTCTATATTAAAGACTGCCAGTACACTAACCCAACTTAATAGCCAGGCTACAGTCTGCATTATAGACTGCCAGTACACTCACCCAGCTTAATAACCAGGCTATAGTCTACATTATAGACTGCCAGTACACTCACCCAACTTAATAGCCAGGCTACAGTCTACATTATAGACTGCCAGTACACCCCCCCAGCTTAATAACCAGGCTACAGTCTACATTATTGACTGTATAATGTGATATATTTATAATAAATTTTATAATTAGTAATGGAACAAATTACGATTTACTCTTATCAATACTGTCATGGTGTGTATTTTAAAATCTATCAGATTTTCATTCCTCCCATTGCTGCATAAAATTACATCCTTTGCCGTTAAAATTTACAAATCAGCAAGTGAAAACAAATGCTGTGTACATGCATTGTGGGCATCTTGTAAAAGATCAACGTTATCGTGCAGTTTTTTTATGGGGCTGTGTTTTAGTTGCTCTTAAGCTGACAAGTATTTATTGTAATGTATGCATATTTAAGGGAGGTTGGCAGGCCATGAATAATCACACATTGAAATCTTTCCCTTCTACCCACTTAATTACGTCCTCCCTTGCCTGAAAAACCCACAGCAGCTGAACACGTGGTCCGTGACGCAAAATGCAGAGCACGGCCAACTACCTGTGGTGGACCAATGACGTTCTGGGACAGGGGGCCACAGGCAGCGTGTACCGTGGCAGAAACAAGGTTTGTTCCACACGATATCACTATTTATCCACTTATTTATCCATGAAACCTACTCTCAGGCATATGACTGTGTTTCAGGAGGGTCTTGCGTTGGGTTTTTATATTAAGATGTGTTTAGCCAATAATTGAGTTTTTATACAAGTGGGAGGCACCCGGATAAAATCCCCCTACAGATGGAAACAGATGGCTTTAGTCCACTTGCTGTTCTGCCTTTTCCTGTCAAGCCAGGATATGGCACCTCTGTTTCCCACATACTCTGCCAGGGCAAAATCCTACCACCATTAAGATATTTAAACCCTCCCACATCTTAAATCAATGTTATTTTCTTTTTGTTTTTTAATATGTTCTACGCATTAATGCTGAAAGTTAATTTTTAAAAAACATGCTGATGAATGTATCCTTTAAAAGAGCATATATTTTATAACATTTACATCCAAATCTACACAACATAAAAGGATTACAGCTAGCTTGCTTGCTTAAGGTCATGTAGTTTGTTGTATAGCATTCAGAATTAATGCATTCTCTAATTGTGTTTGCGTTAAAAGCGTAGTCGGCAAGTTATCCAAGAGCTTCCCTAAGGCCTCCTGTAGATCAAGTCAGCCTAAAATAAATATGTGATGCCAATATCCGAGTTGAGGACACATGTCTCTTAATAGGTGCTCACGAACACCACGTTTTTCAAAAATCTGCCATTGTGATTGGGCAGATATTGCTCATGTATTAATTCTGTAATTAATTGATGAGTTGTGTTTAAGTAATTTAGTGATTTATTTAAGTAGAATAACAAATATTCATTCCTGAACTTGTACAAACATCCCAATGCATGACCTTACTGAAAAATTATCTTTAAATGTTAAAGATATTCCAAGACTTTCTTGGATTGATAAATTAGTTTTATTTTAAGTAAATGCCAATATCATTGTTCAGTCACTGAAATAGATGAATTTTAAATCTATAGGTCTTCCTGATCTAAATTATTCCATAGCAGTTGATTATTAAAGTAAACTTTGAACCGATATTGTACTCTATTGAATGTCATATTCAAGATATGGACTTGTTAACATTTTTACGAGGTAGTTCCATGCTATAGATAAGAACAGAGCACAAAGTTGATCCCAAAGCTTGATTTACACCAATCCATTGTACAAATAGTCACCGAAGCAGAACACTAATTGCCAAAATACAAATTGAATAATGTGTAAAGTAGTTGCTATTGATTGCATAATTTGAATTATGATAATTTAGTTCATTTGTATTACATTTTTTGCCTTAATGCATTTCATTAAGAGTACTTAATTATATAGATCGACAGTGGCTGCGTTTTGGAGAGAGACTGGCCTGTGTTGTGAGAATGTGGAATACTCACCACCGGTTCAGGTTTCTCAATTTAGAAACGAGTGCTGTGCTCATTTGAGCAGGAAGGCTCTCTTAACACTCACTCATAAATTATTATTCATAGGTCACACTGCTGATTAGATTCAGAAGGTTAAAGACAGTCCAGAGATTTCCTGCTTAAATGATTCCTGTGGAAATCATTGGTGAAGGCCTATAGGCTAATGGATATAAATGTTATTGTATCTTTACTTGGTGGAACAGACACATCTTATCTTGTTTATTATGTGTATTACTATTATTGTATTTGGTTTCACACTCGTACTCTGATAATGTTGTATAATTGTGACTTACATATGTACTTTGAAAGCAAATTAACAAAAAGCACTTAATATTTTCCATATTTTTCTCATTTTGTGTGACTGTCTCTGTGTAGAAATCGGGTGACCTCTTTGCAATAAAGACTTTCAACCAACTCAGTTACATGAGGCCGCAGGATGTTCAGGTGCGGGAGTTTGATGTTCTGCGGAGACTCAACCATAAGAACATCGTGAAGCTCTTCGCAATCGAGGATGAGGCAAGCCCCTGTGCCACTGCAACGATCCCACTCTGCGATTCACATCGCCGCCAGCATTGCTGAATCTACTGCTGAATCCAAGGCTCCTGTAGTCAATGCCACTGCTATTGGTACATTTTCAAGGAAGCCTTTTGGAGCTGCTGTGGTGTAATGGTTATTTGCCTTGCAATCCAGAGGTTGCCGGTTGGATTCCAACTTCCGGCACGGCGTCTGGTCAATGTAGAAGAATAGGCCAAATACCCTCTAGAGTTTACTCTCATGGAGGCCCTTCCAACAACTGTGGTGTAAATATTGAAGCACAGCATATACAGTACTTCAGAGTTGGTGGTTCCATGGCTGAGTGCTTGTCTTTGGGTAGATATGATGAAAGAGTCTGGCCTCTGCCAAAGGCAGGTGGAATTTGCACTTTGCTCAGAGCTTCAAACAGGAAGAGCGCTGCCCCATTGCTCATCTTAGTATGGGGATTTATCAGCTACATGTGTTTAGACACATTGTTTTATTCCTTTAATAGCTGCGGTCATTAAATGTCAAACATGTCTATGCAAATTGTTGCCATGCAACTGAGTTCAAGGCGGAACCATCCTAGGCTCACATAGGAAATTATTAATTGGTGCAGAAGTTCAAGGAAGGCACTTTAATGAATACTAACTTTTATTTTTCTATAGCTCTGCAACTATAGTTTGTAAATGTAAATGTGTGCCCACAATACAGCAGATGTGAAATTTAATTCCACCGAGTGGTGAACCTCTGATGCTGAGCTTGCAATGGGGGTTTTAGTGTCGTGACATCTTGTTTTTTCCATCAGCTGCTCTATTGTGGTATTCCATTGGCGAGAAATGAACAGCTTGTAACGGGCTACTAAACAAACTCCTATTCATGCGAAGTTGACATAAGCTTCTTATAAAACTGCTGTGGTGTTAGGTGTGGCTCGTAGTTGAAGTTAGGAATGGTATTGGAAAGGAAACACGTGTTTCTTTACATATGTATATTTTTGATAGTGAAAAAATATAGTTTCCATGGCTTGGTTCTTTCAATGACACCAATTAAACTTCAAGTCAAGCTAATTGCCTTCTCAAAGGAGCATGTGGTCATGTTTTAATGTCACTAAGTACCATCAACTATTTATCCTTTGTGGAGTAAGTTCTGGCATATTTGGGTGTAAACTTTTTTGTATTTGCTCTTGATGTTTTGCACATTCTTACCTTACATTTCCAATACATATTATTCCATATCATATCAAGCTTGGCTTTTGTGTGTACATTGTAAAATATTTTTTGCATAATTGCCATATTATTTGGTAATTGGATGAAAAGGTACATTCAAGATGTTATTAACTTTTTGCAAGGGTCACTGTAATGACCTTGGAAATATTATTCTGATAAGTCAGAATTGGTCATCCCATAGAGAGATTGGCACTCCCTCCACAACTGACTCAAGGCCACATTCCTCGTTTGAGCATGGTGGCATTTTGACTTGACTTGAATATGCCAGTTGAAGACAGGTTACTAAAGTTCAACCACATATCATTAGTTTTGGCATAACTCTGTTTCTTCATTGTTTATTCATTGTTTATTCATGGCATCAGCCTTCTTCCTCGCGCCAATGCATTTTGATAATTTTTGGTTTTTTTTGGGGGGGGGGAGGATGGGGGAGGGAAAATGATCCAAGCCTGATTGTGGTCTCTGGGAGAGCATGCAGCTAATGCGTTTGGTGCGTGGGGGTTTCCCAGTCACGTGACATGAGCTGTGGTCGCTACGGGAGGTCGCACAGAGTCACGCCTTCCCCTATAAACACTCGTGCGTGCCCTTTCTTGTGCTGCTTTTGTCCGCCTGTTTGTTTTGTTCTTATTGCGCCCAAAGGTCAAACAGTACCTGTGCTTCATAACGAAGCGCTGTTGCTCTGGCCAGTAATAGTGACTCGCACTCATGTTTACTGGAATCAATTATACTGGTAGTCTGTTACAGCAGTTGTCAAGAATGCTTGACTCGCCAACAAAAAGTTGCGAGTTCAATCCCCGGTAGGCATTAACTCAGCCTAACACCACCACCCTGCTGAGAGCCAATTAAAGGAATACAATGGTTTGTGGGGAGTCGACGTTTTCCGTGTTTTTACTGAAATGTGTGGTAGGGTACCGCACGTAGATGAGGGCCGCAATAGTCTCGTTTGAGCAGGGAGATGCATGATTTGAATGGAGGCATCCTGCCCTCTGGATAAGGTGAGCAGCATCTGTAAAGACTGCACTGTACTTTGGTGGCAAGTAAGTGGTTGAGTCATGGAGAGACTCCTTCGCCCCTCGCGAATGTGGAGATGTTGCCTTTATCTCAAGACCAGCAGCAAAGAGGAGCACTCCCAAGAATGCCATTTTAAAGGAAAACAACCAAAAATGCAAATCTCTCTTGGATATTTTCACACACTACCACCTTACACGATTATTTTTTAAGATTCTTTCTCTGACAACTTCAGTACACCTTGAAGGCCAGTTAGCAAAACACCAAGATCTTCCTTTCCACTCAAGTTATCGCGTTAAAAACGTATTTATTATTAATTAACCTTGTGAAATATATCGAGACTATTTGTTCCAATCTGTCCAATGCGAGTTTGAAGTTTTGTTAACAAACTAACAAGACTACAGTTTTGTTGAAACGTGCTATTATATACCTTAGTGATATCACTGCAACATCACTCCCATGCATATGAATTAGTGCATCATAATAACTGAACTTAATAATAGCAAGCAACATACCATGTGCCTAAATATGAACATTTTGTTATTGGTATATGTTGTCTGCTTTAGCATATGGATCAGAAACATGAAAACTGAAAAAGAAAATGGAACAAATATAAAAATGTGTGGAGAGATGCATGCTTGGAATTGCAATCAGAGATTGAAAGAGGAACGCAAGGATTAGAAAACATCTGCAAATGCGTGACATTTTGACTGTTAATAAAAGTAAGTGGGCTTGGTCAGGACACCACTGGAAGGGATGATTGCCGATGGTCAAGACTAACAACAGAGTGGCAGCCAAAGGAGATAGCTCATTTGGCAGCCACTGTCATTATTTCTAACATACCAAGGATATGTTCATTGGGGAGATGGAGTGATGATATCAGCTCACGTGCAGGTGCTAGATGGATTGTTACACTTCAAGACCATAATGGATTGTGATGGTAATTATACCTCGATAGTGATGCCACTTGAGTGGTGTGGTAGTGCAGTTGACCAGACCTTGAAAGTCTCTTCTCATTTATAATTCTAAAAACTTGTGTTAGACAGGCAGGAGACGTGTATAAAAGATTGGTTTTGGGGTGCAATTTGTGCCATGTCTGTTGCCCTTAATCTTTAAACTGTTCATCCCTTCTGCATTCATTGTCAGTAACAAGCACACGCTCACCCAGTGGGAACGATTTGAAAAAGCCAGTTTCGAGATTCTTGTGAGAACATAGTTTGGTCAAGAGTCATTAGTCACCGCTAGCACTCTCATTTCATTGTAATCCGTTTGGGAAATTCCATTGCATAGTAACATTGTAATCCCCCTGTCCGTTGCCCCAAGGCATCTTTTAATTGCTCATTCACATGGCTGGATATAATATTTTAACCTTATGGCGGGACCCCAGGGTCCCATAAGCCCCCGTCTCTCGCATAAACTGCGTTGCGACGTCATTTTATGTCTGTTGAAGGCGAGCGATACGTCAATCTATTCCTCTCGACGAGCTCTACACGATGCGCTAATCAAAGTTTCAAAGTGTTATTTATGACTATGGCAATTTTGGCAATGACGGGTGCTTGGGGAAGAACTAGAGGATTGATTTCTGGTGGGTCGCGGCGTTTATGTGCGCGATGGGACGGAGTCGCCAAAAATAAATAATCAATTGCGGTTTTTACTTCTGTTTATTCAGGACCCCGGGGTCCCGCCATAAGGTTACTTTACTGATTTCCACTCAAACTCCCATCATCATTGAGGCCAAGGTATCCACAATGTTAGGGATATTTTGCCCCATGGTGCTGTGTGCTAATGTGCTTCTCAGTGCCTTAGCACACAGTGATGGATTCATTGTGAAAGTTACATTTGCTGGGTGACATGCATGTCTCCTAGGCATTAGACTTTGAAACAAAAGAGGATGTAGGATAGTGATTATGCAGGCATTCATTTATAAACTCTTGTACTGATAATGGTAGTATGGATAATAGCAGTCTGTATGTTACAGCGTCACGTATTGGTTCATGCACTGCTTGATGAACCAAGAGACCTGAATTCAATTCCCATTCGAGTGATAACTGAACTGACCCTGGGTTGCTGTGACTGTCATAGCTTGGAGAGGCATTCATCCAGCTTTTAATTGACAAAAGGGCTGAAAATGATTATGTTATAAACACAAAGGACCCAAATCCGCCCTTGGCGGCAAGAATAGCTCGGGAAGCTAGTATAGTGTGAAGAGCGCGCCACACCAACCACCTGCAGCAGCACGGAATGGGAGCTAGGACAAATGGCACACCGTACATCATAAAAAATTGTCCCCCAAAAAAATCTAATTTAGAGATTCAATATCCCTAAATACGAATTTAACATAACGTGTATTGAATTTGTTCCATAGTTTCTAAGATCCGTGATCGCACAATTCTGTCTTAAGTTTTTGTATAACGAGGAATGACTATAGTCTCATACTTACTCATGTACAAATATTGTTGCAATTAAGTGATCATTTGTATTCAAAAGTCCAATTTACAGTGTATTGTTACTCAAATGAGCAATGGGGTAGCACTTTAGTGTCGATTCCATGTTCCCATGGTGGGAGCCAGTATGTCGTAGAATTACTCCATTTGATGTCTCCCACAGTGGTACTTATATTATATGCCATGTATGAATGATGGGCTAAGTCAATACCTGACCATTTGAATCTCCAACCTTCCAATTGTGTGTTTGGCATTCTCTTTAAAGTGTTTCTTGGCTAGATTTTTTCCATCTGAGTACTTTAAAACAATAATTTGAAAGTTAACTTTTGTATAGGTGGCATCATTACAGATATTAGGACATTGCAATACTTTGTCCTTCGGGGATATGTAACATCGCATATAAAAATTAATTTTCATAGTTGTGCCTTACTACATTGCCACATGGAGCATGTGTTGTATATGTTGTCTGCATGGGTAGGGGTATCCCAACAGAAGGGGCCATCGCTGCATTACGTGTGTAGTGACATTGCGGGATGTCCGTGTGATGCCGGCCCTAGAGGGGCTCGGTGAGCGCTGACTGACGGTGCTGGATAGCACCACGCTCTGCGTGCAGTGCTGGCCCCTACAGGATAGGGTGCGTGAGTGCCGGACAAGGGAATGGGGTTACTAAGGGCCATGGCACTCTGGTTGACCCCAGAGGACACGTGACCGGTTAAGTCTACAGAGGGCCCCCAAGTGGGGGCTAGGGGTGGTCACGTGTCAGGGTCGAGATCCTACTCGAGGATTCTAGAAGGTGGATATAAGCCGGGTCCCCCAGAGGGACCGGCTGCTGTTGTTCATCCTGAAGAAATCTACGTCCTACGTCCCACAGAGTCTCCAACACGTGGACCTGGACCCAAGCTGCGGTCCGGTCCGTTGTAGCTAGTCACGGTGTAGTTAGTGTAGTAGGCCTGGTGGTCCACCACCATAGGTTGTTATCCTGTAAAGGGGCAGCTACCCCGTATGTTGGTGTTCAGAAATGTGTTGCCTCCAAAGAGTACGTCTGCGACTCAGTTGAACTCACTACACATGCAATGTTTTGTTCCTCAAATACAGTTATTGGGAATGAGAGATTTGTTAGAATGTTACGTGAAATCGTTGCACCTTTAGCTGCTCTTTCACTTGGTTGCTGTGTATTTGAAGCCCTGTAAGTGGTGTGCTCTGGTCTTTTAGAACAGTGACTTAAAACTCTGAATTGTGCTCTCTAGTGGAAAAAGCGCTTGTCCGTTTGAAGGTAGGGCTTGTCAAACTAATAGACCTGACTCTTTGCAGATTTTAGCCGAGAGAAAGAACATGCTGAAGGGGACAACATAAGTGGAGATTGAGCCACATATGTGGGGAATTTTTAGGGATGACAGTTTATAAATTAAAAACTCATTTCTTTAGATCTGCTTTTTGTGATTAGTTGTCTTTCCCCCGCACCTCTGATTAGCACAGTTGGCTACATACGGTGTTTAAGAAGTTCAACATACATACATACATGGTTCTGTTTAATGGCCAAGAGGCAAAGATACAAGATTGGAGATGCTGGATAGGTAATGGATTGTTGGTGGTGAACTATATGCTATTGATAATTTAAGGTTTGTTAAAAAATATATAGTGTTTTTCTGTATTTAAAAGGATATTAGCATTATAACCAAAAACAATTGACCACATATTTTTTACTTAAATATAGAACATTTCAAACTGATTGGTAATATTAGTGTAATGTTCTCTATCAATCCACTGCTGAGTGAATATCATGGGGGTTATCTGACCATACCTCACCACGCAACTTGGTGAAGGGATGCCCATAACCAGCTCAGACATTGCTCAATGCTAATGTTAGCTGTGTTTGGGAATCAAACTCAGGTGGTCAGGTTCATATCAAAAGGCATTAACCGCTGTGCCACGGCTCCCTGTGCATATTGCATGATTACAACAATGCCAGTGTAAAGCTACTATGTATACAAACTCTCTGTTGTGCTTAAGAAGTATTGTGGATCTTTCCATAATGCTGTGCAAACTGAAGATTTAAAGTATCTGTGCATGGAGATGAAATTGGCTTGTTAAGTTAAAGTTGTGGATCGAAGTCTGGACTTCTATTTATAAAAGGTAATGGCTCACAGGTGAGTTTCACATTTCGGGTCATCCTTTGGAGACACTAAACTCACCACCATCATGTGGATGATGAATTTAAAACAATGGCTCAAGGCCACCAACAGAGATGATCGCCGGTAACCGTGCTCAGTTGATCAGGGCGGTAGATAGGCTGTGTGTTTATTATACAGCATGATTGCTTTGGCTGTTGTCTGTCATCTAGGGAAATGAGTTGCATGCATTGTGCCATTGTGCACTCTGACTCATTGCTGGCTGTGTTTGACTTGACAGAACAACACCAAGCAGAAGGTGATTATAATGGAGCTGTGCAGCGGAGGCAGCCTTTACACCATCTTGGACGAGCCTGAGAATGCGTACGGCCTGGCCGAGGGAGAGTTCCTCATCGTGCTTCGTGACGTCGGTGAGTCTCCCTTTGCACCCGCGGTCTCGGCAGCACGGGGAGTTTACCTCGTCTCGCTGTAGTGATGAAAGAGAGCGGGTGTTGGGTTCATGCGCACCGTGTTTTTCGCCATGAACCTTTGCTCCTTTCCTCATCATAAACAATCGGAGAGACTGTAGAGTGTAGAGTGCGCACACAGATCGATTGCTGAGACTCCTGAGGCTGTGATTTAACTTGTCGTTTTGTTGCCCAAGTTGTTCAATCTTTGGGGAACTGCAGATCTAATTTCCCTTGGCTGACAGACAAGAGGCAATTCAATCAGAATTCTGTACCGTTTTGAGATGCAGTTTGCATGAATGATGCTATATCAAGATTAAATATTGTTATACAGGAATCATGCCTCTATAGCTGTCAGCAGAAGGCAGGTGGTGGTGTCTTAAGGTGGGCAGTTCCCCCTTGGGCCCAGAACAGGCGGGATACAGCAAGTGCATAGGGCTCACAACGAGGCTATTCGCATCCCTAAAGGTGTCACGGATTAGAAGAGTTTCAGAGACTTTTGTCTAACAAGCCTCTTGGCCTCACATTGATGCAGTTTCATCCATCTGCCCTCTCGCATCCCGCGCTCCACCTCGGTAGTGTCGGGCATGAACCACCTGCGCGAGAAAGGCATCATCCACCGAGACCTCAAGCCGGGCAACATCATGCGTGTGGTGGGCGAGGATGGACGCTCCGTCTACAAGCTCACCGACTTCGGGGCAGCCCGCCAACTGGAAGATGATGAGCAGTTCATGTCGCTGTACGGCACGGAAGAGTACCTGGTGAGAGTCATGGAACACTCGAAGCTCCGTGTTAGTATCAGCAGTGTTCGTGTATACGTAAAACCCCTTTGTACGACACGGGAGTTTCTCACCTCAAGTCTCACTTACAATGGTCTGATGTTCCACCCACTCTACCCGCGCAGCACCCGGACATGTACGAGCGCGCCGTGCTACGCAAGCCCCACCACAAGATGTACGGTGCTAGCGTGGACCTGTGGAGCATCGGGGTCACCTTCTACCACGTGGCTACAGGCACCCTGCCCTTCCGGCCCTTCGAAGGCCCTCGCAAGAACAAGGAAGTGATGTACGTTACGCACTCCTGCACTCGTTAGTACTATGGTGGGGTAAGTTCTTACGCAGTAGCTTTAGATGTTCGCACATTGAATCAAGCTGCTGACACATTCCTTCTAATTGATTGTGAAATGATTTGGGATTTGTTTTTAAATGAAGCTGATTATAAAAAAAATACATGTACTTGCTTAATAACAGTAACTCTAATTTCCCACTGAAACGGGAGTAACGATCCGGGCAATCCTCGGCTTATGCGCGGGTTACATTCCTGAGACTTGTTCGTAAGTAACACTTTTCATATCTCGCAACTCGATATTTCATTGTACAGTACATATGGTAAGAGGTATAAAATTCGTTATGGTTTAACAAAAATGGAAGCAATGATAAGCTCATAAATAAGAACAAATATGATAATTGGTTCTTTACCCTTCTATCTGGCAACAAAACTGACACCTTTTTGCAAGGAGTCATGTTTGCATAGACCGCAATACCTGCAGTCATAATACAAACAAAAGAACATAACTCTGATAATGTGCACTGTCCTTGAAGTTGATTGGTCCACACCCGAGACAGCTTTCCTTAGTCTCATATGGGTTGGACCAGATGACGCCAAAAGGCGTCATCATATGGGTTGGACCAGATGACGCCTTTTGGCGTCATCTGGTCCAACCCATATGAGACTAAGGAAAGCTGTCTCGGGTGTGGACCAATCAACTTCAAGGACAGTGCACATTATCAGAGTTATGTTCTTTTGTTTGTATTATGACTGCAGGTATTGCGGTCTATGCAAACATGACTCCTTGCAAAAAGGTGTCAGTTTTGTTGCCAGATAGAAGGGTAAAGAACCAATTATCATATTTTTACTGGCAAATGAGGTCCCCATAGTGAAGAACAAATATTGCAAATTTTCATGTAATACTGCAATAAATACTGTATAGTAAATCAAACATAAAATCAACTAACATGAAAATAAACTTACATTTTTACTTACCTTGAGTCCTGATGCTGGCTTACTTGTTGAAAGGGGTGTAATGAGTTCCATCGGGATGCTGGGACTCATTACATCTTACAGAGGATTGCTTCGCCGAACAAAATAATTCCGTGGTTCAGTTCTTAAGTACGACCAAACGTTCGCAAGTCGAATGGTTAAAAATAATAACATTCTTTGGCGGTTTGTTTGTAAGTGCGGATGTTCGTAAGTCAGACATTCGTATCTCGGTGACTGCCTGTAGTGGATTACCGTACTTCTCTGGTACTCTGATATACATTTCAGCTCAGGGTTCTTCAACTGGAGGCCCATGGTCCATAAGTGGCCCACTGAGAGATATGGCTCTCCAACACCTAGAGATTCACATGCGTGAGATGAAAGAGAAACCATGGATAGAGCTGTAGACAAGCGGTAAAGATGAGCGAGTTAAAATCGAGACACATGAGAGGGAGATGAGAGCCCTAGAGACCAGAGATAGACTCATGGGCACAGGTCCGTATGTGAGCGACTTCATAAAACTTGTCTACGTGACGTGGAGTCAGTGGCCCCCACTGAAAAATAAAAACGTAGATCGATAATGCTGCCTTTAATCGAAACCTCTATATCATAGGTGACGATTCTGGCAATGGCCCTTCTTCATAGCACATACAAATGTAGTTATAAAAACCTGTTTAGCTTGTAAACTGTATTGCACTTCCCATCACTGCGCATGCACAATCTCACAATGCAGTAGGTCACAATGGAGAGGTGGCATGTTGAGCTTGGCACTAAAGTTGAGGGTTATCATTCAGGTACCGCATCACAGCAGAGAAGCCTCGTGGCGCCGTGAGCGGGGAGCAGAAGGAAGAGGGCGGCTCCATCGTGTGGAACGAAGAGCTGCCCATCACCTGCCAGCTGTCCAGGCGAGTGCCCTGCACTCAGAAGACCGCCCCCTCAAAGGAAAGACTAAGCAAACGGGTCTCGTCGTGGAGACCCTTACGGAGACGACTTGCCCCGGGCTGTCAACATGAGTTTGACACTGTTCATGCGAAACAAAACTTTATGGGCATAGCTATTGATTACGTCATGGCACTTGACAATTGTCACCATGATGTCACCCCCAACTGTAAATGAAGCGATGATGATTGAGGTTATTACTCAGTATTGATATGTATTCATGAATAAAGCTATTGGTATTCTTGGTTCTTTCGGTAAAGTCACGTAGATAGACATGTCTCGGACCGTGTTCGTGAGCATAAGGCAGATTTGAAACACGGTAGGACCAACACCTCTGCCGTGGCTGATCATTATTTTAATGCGGTTGGCTCGCACGAAATTGATTTCTCTAAGACGATGGTGCTTTGCAAGCCCACTGCCTATCAACAAAGATTTGTTCATGAAACCATCCATTTGTACAGACACGGACACAATTTCAACCGAGATGATGGGTACAAACTCAGCAATCATTGGAAGGACGTCATCAACCACTTTAAGTCGTAACTGGTTGTGATGTTTCCTCCTTGTAGGCTTTATCCCTTTCCTGTCACCTTCTGTGCTTCACCTTGGTGGTTTCTGACCCCAAGGTAGATATGCCCCCCGCCCACTTCGTTCTGTTACCAGGACGCTTGTGCCACGCCCTTTTTAAACCTTTAAAAGCAGCTTGCCTTCTGTGGCCTTCCCCCCTTTTTCCTCCTGATTGACGATCGCTTGTATTGTGATCGAAACGTCGTTTTTATTTACATTTTATTTATTTTTATTTTTTCTATCCACGTGACTTTACCGAAAAAAACAAGAATATGAATTCCTGCAGTCACGAAAGTTTTGAGTCGGAAGCTATTGCTGTGTACTCCTGAATGATGTTTTGGCTGTGTGCTCATGAATGAGGCTATTACTGTGTATTACTGAATAAGGCTATGGCTGCGTGCTCGTGAATGAGGCTATGTCTGTATTCTCACGAATGAGGTTATTGCTCTGTACTCCGACATACGAGGATTATTACTATTGTGCCCATGTCAACATCAATAGGCCAGTACCTTGTGACTAGTGTCGCTCACCAGGCTCTCTGCTGTCTCGTGCTTTTCCAGGGGCCTAAAGATGCTTTTGACACCGCTGTTGGCAAACATCATGGAGGTGAACAAGCAGCACTGCTGGAACTTTGACCAGTTTTTCGCGGCCGCCAACGAGATCCTGACGCGCCACGTGTTCCACATCTTCTCCCTGTCGCAGCTGTCCCTTTTCAAGGTCTACGTCCAAATCGAGCAGCAGTGAGTGGCCCTCCCGATCACAGCTGCGCTTGTTTTCTGGATTAAGCACGGACCTTTGGCCATGTTCTTTGGTGCGGTGATGTGGCTGGGGCCGGTGAGGTGGTCGAGCGGCAGAGTGTTTGCTGCTGGTTTCAGAGGTCCGCGGTTCAAGCTCGGCAGCCGCCCTGGTTAATACTGCGGGTGTATTAACGATGACTCGTGCTGCCTGCTTCTCAGTGTATGCGAAAGATCCCACAACGATATTCTATAAAATAGGCCGTGTATGCCAGCGTCATGGTCCAATATTGCCCACAAGTTACTCAATTGGGCAAAACCACTTTGCAACAGCCCCTCTTCGTGGCAGACTTGACTCACTCCCCTTGGCTAGAATGCCAAAGGGCATCCAGGTGCTTTGGGATTCTAAGGCATTTAAGTGCCAATCCTTATCGTTATATCCATTAAAATTGCAGAGCTGCAGTGGTGTAACGCTGTAAATGCACACGATATGCCTTGCGTCATCTTTGCCCTGTACCCAGGGGCGCACTCCTGTTATTCATTGACTCAGAGGAGGCAGGGTTGGTGGATCATGCGAAAGTTAGGTGAGTCTGCTTGAGATGCTGACCTACAGAACAGCTTTGTGGCTGTGTGAGACAGTACAGCAAGTAGATTCCATGTGTGGGGAGAGCAGTAGTGTGGCGGTGTGCGCACTTCACGATGAACCCGGCGATCCGAGTTTGATTCCCTCTCATGGCCAACACCATTGACCATTATCTGAACTGGTCCTGGGCCTCCCCAAGGTCGATTTTGCCTCAAATGAGCACCTGGTGCAGTGTGTAAATATTGCCATTGGAGTAGACCAAGGCAGCCGGACGTGGTGGCCACCCACCCCCTCTTGTGCCGTGCCGGCCTTCACAGATGCTCGCTCGCAGCGCTTGCCCCAAAAGTACGTTAAGGATATACCTGGGATCTTTGTCTTGGTGTGCACCCCTCCAGATTCAAGTCCCTGCAGGAACTGATCGAGAAGCAGACGGGCATTGCGGCGGCACAGCAAGAGCTTCTGTTTGAGGGGCGCCGGCTGCACTATGCAGGAAACACGCAGCTGTCACAGCTGCCCACCACCTCCGAGGACCTACCCATCATGCTGCTGGGCCCCGACCCCATGAAGATCATTGGCTTCATCTACATGAAGCGTAAGACCAAGCCATCGCATCACCTTCCCCAAGAGCTGCTCAGAATGTTGATATATGGACATTTTTATAAAGACCCCTTTGTCACTGTACTGCTGAATACGAGACTGGAATGAGGAACACAGATTGGAGAACATTGCAACTTAATGACAAACTAAGATTAAAAGTTAGTGGTCTTGGGTGGGACACACCACAGAAGGGATGATGGACAATGGTCAAGGATAATGACAGTGTAGCAGCCAAATAATTGAATGGGTCTGAGAGCACGTCCACAAAGGGCATGGAGGAATGAGATCAGCTCACATGCAGGTGGTGGCTTAGGGAAGCTTTTACCAGTGGATTGATCGTGGCGATGTTGATGATAGATAAGTACCCATCAAACTTTAAATCCATGTATTATTCAGATGAGTTTGACTTTTTGAGTGTGCAATACATTGTGGAACTGCCCATTTGTAATTGCGTGGAATGTTCTGTTCTTGTTGCATTACAACAGCTGAGGTTCCGAAGTTTCATTCTCAGTACAACTTAGTACAGGATGCTTCTCTTGCAAAGGTACGTGTGCCCTTTGGAGATATTACATCAGCTTATTTACGTATTCTGTTGACAAACCTGTACCACAATTGTGCCTTGAGATTATGCCGCTTAGCAAGAAATGACAACTTTATTAAATCCACATACAGAGAAGCAGCATATTGCACTGAGAAATAAATAACAGAAGAGAACTACGGGGACTTCCAATGATTATCTATCTTGTTGATCTCGCCCCTCGTGATCATGAGCAGAGCACATTTATTACTTTGGCTATAACGTACCCTCCGGTTCGTGTCTTCTCAGTCTGTGACGGCCGAGCTGCACCAGGTGCAGAGGATCTCGAGCTCGCTGCTGAGCATTCAGGTGCTCGTGCGGAAAGGAGCAAGGTGGATCCTGTGAGTGGTGTGAGCGAGTGTTCATGCATCTCCCCTCTTTAGTATTCCACACACATAGACGATTCCCAGTGGACCAGTGACTGATGGGCTAAAGCCAGAAACAATGTGCAAAGGGCTTTTTGTAATTGTTCAATGCAATACTTACTTACTCCTCTTCGTTGCCTGTGGGGCATAACACCGCAACAAGCCAATGCCATGCCGGACGGTCTTTATCAGCTTTCTCTCAATGCAATAAAAACAGTTGTTTTTCCCCTACTCTTCTTTCTTTGGATAACAGTTCTAATTTTACAGGTTGTGCACTTATTTTACATTGCAATGTCTTGACAGGCATTATATGGGCATGTTCTAACAAAGGTAAATTTATGTAATTCATATTAAAATACAATTTTAGTAATTTGATCTCACCATTAATCGTCAGATACATGTTTACATGTCCCACCTTTGTCCATAATGCACTTGATATACAAAGTGTAACATAATTTTACTTAGTTGTTTATATCTCGCTGGGCGTAGTGGTGTTTACCTGTGATGCAGCACATTGTGACTTAGGGGTGTGTGATTACATAGAATTGTCAAACTCAAACCTGCTGCACTGTTAGGTAGCCAATAGATGGCAGTGATGCAAACGTGTTCTAAAATTAATGTTGGACAGCCTGGGACACGTGGCTTAATTGCTTATCTGCAAGGTAGTAACTGTCATTAATATTTTAGAGCATTAAGTCTAATGGAACGGTCCTCCTCCAAACATCCCTGCCCTGGCCAAGCAGCACTAAGGTTGCTCCTAACAGCGTCTCCTCCCTCCCAGGAATGTGTGGAGCGATCAGATGAAGGAACTCGACAACCTGAATGAGATTCTGCTGCAGAAGATGAAGGCTGTATCGACCACGTTGAGAATGCTCATGCAGATGTAAGTGCGCAGGTCCCACACGTCCAGACGTTGGCTCGTTACGCGGGCACTGTGCGGCATTTCGGACGTGTGGGTCGAAAAGAAACCATAATCGAAATGAAACGTTGGACGATCTTGTGGGCACGTGTTTCCCTGCAGGAACGACTCCCTGACGCAGATGTCGTCTGGGCATTGGGACTCAACTGTCCTCAACCACCAAGAAGAAATAAAGAAGGTAGGTAGTATACATGGCATGTGACTGTGTCCGGCACTGGACACAATGTGCCCACCTCCGATTAGCAGGGTTTACCTACGTACGGTGCAAAATAAATTCTACATACTTAGTGCCAACAGCAGCGAGACCAGTACCTTATTTACCTCTTAGACCACCAGCATCTTCAATGCCATCACCAGTACCACCATGGCCGTTATCACCACCGCAACCACCAGTATCGGCACTTCCAGAATTTATTACCACAACGACCATCACCACCATTACAATCATGTGCATCACCAAAACGACCACCAACATCGCCATTGCCAGCACCAAAATGACCATCAGCATCACACAATCACCTCTACCATCATGAGTACCGCAACCACCAGCATCATAACTACCACTGACTTCAACATAGTCACTATTGGTGAGGTTATCATCTGTACTTTCCTTTTAAAAATATCCTTCTCTACATCACCACCAATAGCACAGCCCCTGCCTAACATCACATCCATCATATCACCCCACGAACAATTCTGGCCATCAACACCATCTCTAAAGTCACTGGTACCGCTCTCACCATGACCGATATCTTCTGCCTCATCCTTGACATTTTCAACATCCTGAAAACAACTTTGGCATTAACATATCCCCACTGTCATGAGCTAACATCACTGCCATCCAGGCAACTTTCGCTGACGTGACAAAATGGCTCGTAAGAGCAGTGCATCCCTTAATTTTTAAGAACGGTCGACTGAAAGTGAACAGTTACACATAGTAAGAGGACAGCACTTTGTCCTACCTGCTCTGCCATATGTTTTTTTGTGCTGCGACTGGGCTGAGACCATCAACTCTGTACATTGAGAACCTGATTTAAGCACTGGCACCAGCCTGGATTCAAACCCAGCTCATCACTCTGAACTTGTGAGCAATATGGCCACCTCCTGCTGGGGATCCGCTTCCCTTGGCAACTGCGGTGGTGGCGGTCGGGTGACACGATGTGCCGTGGTGTGGCGAGCAGATGCAGATGGTGGTGGACAGCGTGCAGGACTGCCTGGAAGGGATACATCAGGCGCTGCTGCCCGGGAAGCCATTGACGGAGCCTTTGGAGAGGATAGGTTCCACGCCCGCCGAGCGCCAGTGAGTGCACCCGCAGCGGCATGAGCGCAGAGCAGGAAACTTCCACGTTTGAATCGCCTGCTAACCTTGCACACGGTGGGGAAAATTTTACCCATTCACTCCCACTTGGACTGAATCTTGAACGGAGAAAATAATCGCCCTTCGCATCAGTGGCGGATCCCGGGGAGAGGGTGATGGGGGCAATCGTTCCTCCCCATCCTGGCGACCCCAACATTTGGTATTTTTATTTACATTTCCCAGAGAAATACATTTAATTCATTATTATTAATGTAGGGCCCTATTTACAAAGCTTGATATATCAAAACTGTCCCCCATTGGGAAGTTTACAGATCCACCTCTGACATTATTAGGATTGACTATGAAATGATCACCCTTCACATTGAGTTCCATTCAGATTGATCGCCATTGAAGTTCCTTGGCAAAGATTGAGAGAAAATGAAAACCGATTTGAGCTATTGTGTTCTTCATGGGACCACCACTATTGTTTTTCGACAAAGTGGTTCGCATTTGATTCAATTTTGAATGGTGACCAACCGAGTTGACCCACATCCGGGACTTGTACTCATGTTTTTCTGATTATCAATTGGGTGCTTTACCACAACAAGGAGTTGCAACAAAAGCCAACAGTCATATTCCAGTAGCAGCACAATTATTTTTTTATGGACTACATAAACCAATTTTCAACAATAGTAAGGTCAACAGGGTAACTAGAATATAAGCTTATGGCCTCTGAATGCAGTTGCTTATAGGTGATACTTAGCAATTGATTGAAGCCTAGGCCTACCAATATGGGAATTTGGAATAGAAAGTGGCAGGAAACACTTGCAGAAGTGATCAGCAAGGGGAAGTTGTGATGGGTGTATCATCGGTACAGGATGGAGGAGGGATGGTTCCCGAGACAGGATTTGGAGTGGTACCCGAAGGTTGGCAGCCTTGGGGAAGGCCTAGAACCAGATTGTGGGATGCTGCAAAAGAGGACTTTAGAGACCAGCTGTTGATATTGGAACCAAAGGACTTAGCAGATGTAAAGCAGCAATGGTGATTGTGTGGACACCAACATGATCTGTAATGACCACCTCTTGACTATCCAGCCATAAATAGCAATATTTAGTAAATAAACTCATACTGACACTGATGCAATGTTTCTGTGACCTCCGTGTAGGGTGGAGAGGATCGGGGTACTGGTGGACAAAGTTCTGTCCACATACCACCAGTTCAAAAAGGACAAGTTGCAACAAAGTAAGCGCTGCTCGCTCGTCAGCCTTTAAAGTGGAACTTTCGCTTCCGTCAGTCCTGGGCAAATGAGGGCTCTTCCAGTGCCAACGGCCTCCATGCCACCTAAATAGATTTGTTCTTAAATATATAGATTAGAAAGGTAATTCGGAAGTTTGGGTGGGACAGCCATAGATATTTTGTGACGAAATAATTTACTAATCCTGTCTGGTAAAATAAATAGTATCTGCGCTGTGTAACAGAATGTGAGCTCTGTGGTGTTGTGTATAATATTTATATTCACACGCTACGAGGTCGGGTCTACGTGTCTCCGCTCAAATGAGCAATGAGGTGGTGCTTATCTGTTGGCAGCTTTGAGGAAATGGTGAAAATTAAACAATCCTCTCATGGGTTGAGTCTATCCCACGGATAACTCTGGTTAATAACAACAACAACACAGTGGCACTTTAGCATCCTCGGGGTGGGGGTTGTAGGCCCGGTCAACCTGAAACCAGGATTGAAACATTCATCCAAATGTGAGGTCAATCACTTGACCACAGTGCTACCAGGCCATATTCGGTGTTATACACTGCATAGCAGCACAACTTACATTTAGTCCTGTTAAAGGGTCTTGGAACATATTTAACACAGGATATGACATTTGGTGAATATAGATAATTATAGGTCATAGCTGGTTCCTGTAGCTGCACCAGCCAATGCATTCATTTCCTTCCTTTTTAACAACATTCAATGAGACCTCACCCATTTATGCTCATTATTCCATTCTCTGTAAATGTTGATTTCTCACCTGCCAAAAAAAAATATGCAAGTATTTTATTGTTTGGGGTGCAGGTGAGATCCAGTTTGGTTTAAAAGATTGGAGCACTTTGATAATGTGTGAACCCTGCATTGTGATTGATAGATAGTATAATAATATATTTCCTTTTAGGGTTGCAGTATAATGAAGAACAGATTCATAAATTTGAAAAGTAAGTACTTTTAAAAAATGTATCCTTATGGCGGTACCCCGGGGTACCAAATAATACAAAATGGCCGAGGCAATTAAATACTTTATTTCTGGAACACTATTTTTTCGAGGGGTGTACTTAGCTCCGCGACTGGGGTACCAATCAATCCGAAATCAGTGCTACTCCGCGATGTCGAAACGCAGCGAGGACGATTGCGCCGAAACCCTGAACGCTCGCGGTACGCGCCGTGGTGGTGCATCGTGTACAGCTCGTCGAGATGAGTCGATTGCCACATCGCCCACCATCAACAGACTAAAAATGACTGCATCACGGACATTGTGCGAGAGCCAGGGTACTTTGGTACCCCGGGGGACCGCCATAAGGTTCAATTCACCCTTTGGATAAGAATCTGTCTTTGGATGACATTGAATACATTTGTACCGAATTAATGTTGTGCTCTAAATATACATTGGTTAATTGCGCTGCATCTTATATTCATGGTCTTTCGATAGTATGCATAAACCCTAAGATATTTACCACAACAATCAAATAACTTTACCAAATTATATGCATGTATTTAACATGGTGTTTTATTGTGCAGTCTTTGCTGAAACCAGCAGATTTCTAAATTTGAAAATATTGTTGAATAATAAAGAGCAATAGCCTGAATTTAAACAAAGGACTTAAGTTGTGTCAGCTCAATTTTAAGACATGAGCATTATAAATCAATTGAGTTTTGTGTTGTGGTTCCTCTCCTGAAACTATAGTTAAGCTAAGTGAATGGCGCACCGAAGCATCAACTTTGCTTGTGGGCTGTTCACAGACAAAAGCTGGGCACTTATGCAGTGGCAGCAATGTCTTTGCTGACAGACGACTGCCAACCCAAATACCAGGCTGTCCAGCGGACCTACGACGAATGGCTGAGGTACAATTCACATAACCAGACTGGGCGTCAAGACTACGATGTGAATGACTCGCAGAACTAGGGCCATGTATGTGTGTTGAACTTTTTTTGCACCGTACGTAGCCAATGGTGCTAATCAGAGGTGTGGGAATTTCGGGCCCAATTGTGGCAACACTTCCTCCATGGGCACACGAGCAGTTGGAGGCATCGATAGGTACAAATAATGGATAATGTGCAGGGGAAGAGGGAACATTTGGACGATTGAGTATTGAGAGGCACACAGAACACGGGTATTTACAAGGTGACAGGGAGCAAGGGATACATTGGAAATTAGAAGCACCTGTGGAGTTAAGAAGGAGAGGACAGCTACATGGAAGGCGCAGGGATGCTGCACGGCAACACGAGGAACTTATTGGAATCGTGTAAACACGTGAGCCCTGTGCCGTCTTTGCAGGTCAATGTTGGATGTGCGAAATTCGATGGTGGTGTTGGCTGTGGAATGCAACAATCACTGCAAAGTGCTGGACTTGCTGCTGGAGAAACTGAACAAGGTACGATGTTTTTACTGCGTCCAGCCTGCAGCCACTCTTCTGTCTGGAGATTTAATTTTACTGAAAGCGTTAGAATTGGTTGAAGGAAGCCACATGCACAGCAGTGCAAACGTATGTTTTAAAACGTCTCCAAATGCATTCTAACGCTGTTGAGTTCAGATACTGTAGAATAAATCATTCATTAAGCTAATAACATAAAATAAAGGTTAAGAGCAGCATCTCTTCCAACCCCCGCTGGCCAGCGTCTTGAAGAATGGTCAAATACAATCCCAATACTGGCATGGTGAGAGAAGCCTTCATCCAGCAGTGGATTGAAATAATGTTGTAAAATCTATAGTTATTTTATGAACAGCAGTCGAAGAGCAATGGAAAAGGACAATGATTTAAACTTATTCCAAAAACATTTGTTTTTTAATTAAAACGCTGCATGAGCTTTGGGTTTAAAGACTGACACTTGATCCAACATGTGATCTGTGTGCGCCTGGGGTATTAATACTGAAGACCGCTAAGCCGTGTCAGACTGGCTGTGTGCATCTTGGGAATTAGCACTAATGTTACTAAACACTAAGCATTAATGATCAACCTTTAGCATGCTACAGGTGCTTTGTACTATCTACCTATTAAGTGGTCATTACACATTAAAGCATTTGCTGCCTACATTAACATGCTGAGTGTGCAATTCATGGCTACAATCACTAAGTAATGGGACACTTTTCCACGATTGTGTGTGTCTACACAACACTTGACTACTGCACATATTCGTTTGGTCTTTCGGTCTAGTCACGTAGATACTGCACATCCACTTGTTTATATATTTACGAAGTAAAATCAAAGGTCAAAGTGTCTCCTTGACCAAATAAGGAATGGGGTTTGCAATCATCTCCTTCATAGACCCTGAGCCAGTGGTGGTAGTTTCACATTCCCATAGCAGGGGTCAGTCTCTCGTTAAGACAACCACTGTTCGTGCATTTAATGCATTATTTGTTAACTGTGATAGTGGTAAAGGGTGTACAAACAGGTCGTTGTCAGATTGCTGAGGGACTCATCCCATGTCAGAACAGAGTCCTTAATTGAACCAGGCTGTCAAGTGTAGCGACTTGAACGTCTCTCCCTGGTCACCAATGACTGTACAAAATATCATCACATTAAAATTTGGTAGAACTTAATTTGGCATATTTGCAGCTCCTGAGGACTAAACTTGGTTTTATATTCATGTGAAAAACGTCTCGGTCAGTGGTTCCCAAACTGATCTCTGGTGGGTCACAAAGCCATTAGAAATGATTGGCAGACCTGTTTCAGAAACGATTATATTTTTTAACTAGATTTGCTTTCGTGACTGCAGGAATTACTCTTTGGTTCTTTCGGTCAAGGCACGTAGAGAATAAAATCAAATAATAATAAGGCCTCGGCACAGAGTCGTTGTCCTTCTGTTTGTCTTGGTGTGTGTGTCTCGCTCGTTGTGTCTTGGTGTGTCTCTCTCTACATGTGTGTCTACCTATGTTGTTTCCGTGTCTGTGTTTTAGCATTCATTCTTACCTGATGATGGTTGCTTGTGTTGCAACCGAAACGGCGTATTCTATTATTATCTGATTTTATTTTCTACGTGACTTTACCGAAAGAACCAAAGAGATGATATTTTTACAAAACACTATTTTTTACTGCATGGTGATCTGTGAAATATGTTAAGGGTTTGTGGGTTCAGAAGGTTGGGAACCACTGCTCTATATCGTAACATTAGAGAACATGGCATAAGGGTGTATAAGAAGCCAATTGAAGGAATCTTAAAGTAATTCTGTGATGTCATCTTCCAGAGGTTTTTCAATAATATGTACTGCTGCAGTGCTATCTACAATATTTTCAAGTGGATTGTTTTTGGACATGATCCAACATAACCGGACTTGTCCGTGTGCACGTCTGCGTGTCTGCGTGCAGTGGATGCACGAGTCATACCCCTGTGCAGTGAGTGAGATTATGGCACTCTACAACAAGGTCCCAAGCCCTGTGCAGGCCATACAGACGTTCAACTACTCTGACTCCCCCAACCTCGTGCAGCCGCCCATGCTGAAGAACATCTGTGTTGGGTGGGTATCCCATACGGAGATTGTTCAGCCCTTACCACATGGTCAAGGTTAATGGCACAGTTGATGCGATCAAACATCACCATAACTGTTGCAGTCTACGTCCCTTGCAAGAGAACCACTTGCTTCTGCCATTGTTACTGTTCCCATGAATGTTATTGACTCCTCCACCCCTGTTGAAGACTCACTCTACCAGTCTGACCGTTTTGTCTCCTCCATACTGAGTTCAACCACCACAGTGCAGGTCTCGGGGCACTTCTCTTTCTGCTTCTTTCCTCGCACTGCTCGACTTTGGAATTCCCTCCCAACTTGTCTTTTCCTGTATTATTATAACCCTGCTCAATTACAGAAATGTATTAACGCTTACCAGTTGCACCTTCAATCGTACTGTTTGTTAGCTAGGAAGTACCTTTAATTCACTAGGCAATCCAGAGCATTATTAAATGTGTATCATAGGCATGGTTCTGCCATGTACCTGAACAATCGTGTAGCTAACTAAAGCTATGTTTGCCCTGTCACACATTGCTTCTCTTAGCATGAAACAGCTGAAGCTGAATGTGAAAGAAATGTCAGAGGAGCTGCACAAACAGACGGCGATGATTCAGAGGTAAGGAGTCCAGCTAAAGCCATCTCCCTGCTCAAAAGAGCATGGGGGGGGGGGGGTGGTGCCCATATCTGATGCAGAGCCAGCATTGGAAATTCCACATTCCCATGGTGGGGGTTAGTTTCTCCTTAGGTCAATCAGTCTTGTCTTCCTACAAAACTATCCAAATTTTATCGACCCCGAGAAATTATGAGCTGAGTCAACCATTTAATGAGATAAGAATGCAACGAATGATTGTGATTAGAGTGCTTTTGCCACTTGTCATAGGAATGTGGAATTTTAACCACTGATGATGATTGTTGACCATCCTAATTTGAGCACAGAAACGTGCACAGATATTTTATTAAATACAAACCAGATTGGCAGCTGTGATGAATTGGAGAAATATTGCGTGTTAAGACTATAATCCTATATGAATTTGTGAATCAACAATGAGGTATTCATCATTGCCCATGTTCCATTTAATCACTGGTGATGTTTTTTTTTATTAATCGTGATCCTCTCTGTCTACAGGTTGGGAGCATTCTCTGGATCGGTTGATTTTGATGATGAAGAAAATATGTTCGACTGATTGCTGTGAATAATAAATCACAATCATTGGCGAGAGAATGGAATGCATGACCTGCAAATAGCCATTTCTTAAAATATAAACCTTTTGTTCTTTCAAAACAATGGAGTGAAACAGATGTCTGGCATTCCTGAGGTGGGGTTTTTTTGGAGGCATCACATGGGGGGGGGGGGGGGGTCTAAAATAAGAGTGGAAGGGTTGGGGGGAAAGCATCTACCTGCCAACCACAGTGGAACAGGGTTAGTATCTGCCGTTGCTTTGTTGTTGGGCGTGAAGAGGTACAGGGAACAGATGAGGGAGTGTAATTTCAATACCTGTATGACGTGTGAAAAAATACCACTCACAGCTGCATGATTACATCAGGCACCCTCCGACAAATATCCAATGTTGTTTTACTCGGGAAGCGTCTGTGAGTGCAGGTGGCAATAAGTATGAAACTAACACGTGCATGGATCTACCATTCTTTTAAATAGGCTTGAGCTTTTGATTAGCATCTCATTCCCATTTGTATGAATGTTAATAGCACCACATTTTGACAATTTGCATCCGTTTTCAAATATAACATTCAACATGAATTGTATATGGTGTTTCCCACTTTTCGACCACTACATGTTCACATTGTTAAATCATACAAAAAACAATTTATTCATAAACAAAATATATAAATTTATGTATGTCTAGCCACATTTTATGTATTCCCTGGCATTTAATTGAAAGAGCTTCGGTTTGTTACTCTGATTTAGAATTAACCTTTTCTTTTTTTGTATTTGTGTACCACACTTTCACATTTTTAAATTGTATTGCAGTGTTTAGTTTTGAAAATGTTATATTGAGCATCGGTCAAAATTTGAATGTCTGGTTCACGTCACGTAAATACAACGGTCGATGTGATGCTAATCAAGAGACTGGCAAAGTCTTCTAGGGTGTAATTGCACTTCTCTTTAAGGATTTGTCCACGTGCTGACTGCATAAGATATATGTGTTGCATAGACATGGCATGTAAATTGCATTCAGCAGCATGTTTACGATGATATTTTCTTAATCTCGTGGTCACTAGTAAAACGTCAGTGTCTGCTTAAATGAGCAGTGGGATAACACTTGGGACCGGTGTCTTGAGGCAGTTGTGAAAATTCCACATTTCCATAGCAAAGCAGTGTCTCTCATCGACGATTACTGGAAACTTCCCAAATTGTTAAATGTGTTTCAAACTGGGGGAGGGGGGGGATGGTGGGCCGAGCCAATCCCCAAAGTGGGATTTTATTTGTTAGCAAAGCTGCAGGTGTTTGTACAATTTTAGCTGACATTCATTTTCAAATTTGGGATTCGGTAGCTCACACCTTACATAAAATGGCTTACTGTTGAACTGGTATAGTACTTACGGAATGTCTAGTTAATCTCACTATATGAGACCGTATACAGCAATATCCAGGATGCCAAAGTGCTTTTTAAAATGACGTTTACTGTAAATATTTTGCTTGTATTTTGATGTATATACGTATATCTCATGTAAATAACCTGTTAAATTCTGTTCCTTTTCACTTTGCCTCGGAGGATTTAGTTTGTTTCATGAATGGAATTAAAACCATCACATTTTACTTGAGAATGTATCACGGCAGCAAATTTTTGTGTAAAATATACCAGATTTTTGTATGTGCTATTTGAAAAAGGATTGGAACACTGGGTTAATTACAATACAATTTAACCTTACGAGAAACTTTCACATAATGAACGTGTTTTTAAATTTAACATGTTTCATATTTGCAAAACTTGTATTTCTCCATGCGTGATCATTATTTTGGTTATTCGAATGCTGAGAATGACTTATGAAATCCAATGAATGTATAACGAGAAGTCGTGTTAAAATGTATCAAACATTTTGGAGTTGAATTGCTTGACGACAGAACATGTTTAAGTGTGAACAGTCCAGTTCAGATCTATCATTGTATCTTATGATGTACACCGTTACCAGTTTCCTGAAGTCCAAATCACAGCACAAGGACCCCAAGTAAAGTATAATATTACTCTACACACATATACTATGTTTAGTCCAGAAGAAAATGCTTAAAAAAACATCCACTTCATTGAATATATTAACAAATAAAAATAAGGTTTGCTTCTTACACTTCCCCTTTTGCATTTTAAGAGATCAGTTAAAGTGTGTGTTGCTGTAACTTAACGTGCCACAGCATGTGCCATTAGAAGGAGCAGCACTGTCAACCGAGGGGGGCAAGTCCACATGGGCCACCCAAGAGGGTGCCTCGAGGCCTGGGGCAGAATTCCACTTCGGGGGCCCCTTTAACATCTGAGGTCTGGGGCAAACTGACCATCCTCCCTCCCACGGGGCAGCTCTAACAACTATACATTTGAATAGGAACATCAATGTGGGGTCCTTTGTTATGGATTCAGCATACTTCTATGCACGTGTCAGGGGAAGTTGTAAGCATTATATCATGTAAATCTTATGCACAATTAAAAAGCAAATAAAACGTGATGTTGGAGTATAATTGTATTCGCGATATGCCTAATTACACACACTTGATTTGCAGTTGTAAGATGGCTGTAGAAAACGCTTTCGTCTTTAATGCTGCTCTACTGAATTTGCTATCCACGTTAGCCAATGCTTGTTTAACATCATAGACCGTGACAACTCGGTACAGCATTGCCATGCAGTGAATGCGTGTGCTTTAAACGTATGTAAAGTAGCCCAGTATTTAGCACCACTGAGCCTTTCCACACGCGATATTTGTCGACTTAACCCGCTGTCGACATTGTAAGTCGACAAGAAAACGCCACATGGCGGTTAAGTTGACGTCGATGCAGTCCTGCACGAGCGAAAAGGCCATTTTGTCTCACACTGCATGCAAATGTTGCACATTTCATCATAGGGTCCGTGATATATTGTTCGAATGGCGACATGTACTTTTAAATGTGTTTGCTAAAATGTATTCATCCCGTTTGGCAAAATGAAATGTTCATTTAACCTGAGGACGGCTGCTTGCGTTGTGGGCGAAACGTCGTGAGAATTATTTTATGTTTTATTTTTATTATTTTATTACTTCCCTTCTACGTGACTTTACCGAAAGAACCAAGAAGATGAATCCCTGCAGTCACGAAAGCTTTAAATCGAAATTCATTATTTATATTTTAGTTTTATACCAGATTAGCAAGGGGCCGTCCATAAATGACGTCACGCACCGGGGGGGGGGGTCAGACATGTGTGACGAGGGGGGGGGGGAATGTGACGTCACGTGAAAATGCGCAACTTTAAATAAATATAAACAACACGTTCTACTTAATTAAATAGACTTTTAATAAATGTTTTCTCCTACAACAGAGTGCAGCGCCACATTAAATACGCACTACAATGACAATAGTTTAAAGTGTAACATTTTGGAAAAAAAATTTCACGAACATTAATTGTCACGCACAACGAGTCTGTGTGGAAAATGTCAGCTCGATTGGATCACGGGAAGTGGGTTAAAAAACGACCGAAAGATTTGCACGGTCGTAAGCAAGTAAGCGAACTTAATATAAAGGATTTAAAAATCGTCCAAAATCGCGTGACGTCATTTATGGACGCCCCCCAAAAGTGTACAGAGCAGGGTTGATTTAAAAAAAGACATGTCTTATTATTCTTGGTTCTTTCGGTAACGTCACGTAGAAGGGAAATAATAAAATAATAAAAAATAACAGGACCCTGCGGGGTGGGCTGGTAGGAATAATACTAATACCGGTACAGGGATATCGACCGGGTATAGAGGAGTTAAAAAGAAAATGATTTGTGCATGGGGGGTGAGCAATGACGTCAACACCCCCCTCCCCACTGACTCGCGAACCCACAGAGCAATGACGTCTACACTCCCCTCCCCACTGACTCGCGCGCACACAGAGCGATGACGTCAACACCCCCCTCCCCACTGACTCGCGAGTCCACAGAGCAATGACGTCAACACCCCCCTCCCCACTGACTCGCGCGCCCACAGAGCAAGGAATGCAACAGGCGATGTCATTGGCTGCGCCGGATGCGACGGCCATCTTGTTTAGTTCATTTAGTTCACGGATTGCAGGGGGAGCGGGCGGCCATCTTGTCAGACAGACGGACGGCCTCGCGAAGCCTGTCGCAGTAGGCCTCGCGAAGCCTCCTGCACTAGGCCTCGCGAAGCCTTCTGCACTAGGCCTCGCGAAGCCTTCTGCACTAGGCCTCGCGAAGCCTTCCCTGCAGTAGGCCTCGCGAAGCCTTCTGCACTAGGCCTCGCGAAGCCTCCTGCAGTAGGCCTCGCGAAGCCTTCCCTGCAGTAGGCCTCGCGAAGCCTTCTGCACTAGGCCTCGCGAAGCCTTCTCTGCAGTAGGCCTCGCGAAGCCTTCTCTGCAGTAGGCCTCGCGAAGCCTCCTGCAGTAGGCCTCGCGAAGCCTTCCCTGCAGTAGGCCTCGCGAAGCCTTCTGCACTAGGCCTCGCGAAGCCTTCTCTGCAGTAGGCCTCGCGAAGCCTTCTCTGCAGTAGGCCTCGCGAAGCCTCCTGCAGTAGGCCTCGCGAAGCCTTCTCTGCAGTAGGCCTCGCGAAGCCTTTTCCGCAGTAGGCCTCGCAAAGCCTGCCGCACTAGGCCTCGCGCCGTGCTTTTCGTGCACAAATAAGGCGATTAAATGTATCTTGTCTCTGTGTTAATAAATGTATCTTGTCTCTGTGTAAAAAAAAACGTGCTGCGTTTCAGTAAAGTAAATTTGAAGCGAAGTTTATTATTACACTTGTTAAGCCAGGAAAGCCCCACTGAGTCAAAAGGTTTTTTTAGGGTCCTGCCAAGTGTTTGCAGTAGGGGGCGATGTTGCTACACTAAATCGGACGATACGAAGGGAGAGATTGAGGCCTAGTTCTAGGCTTTAGGCCTAGCTGTAGGCTTTAGGGCGCTGAGTTAATTTTTAATTTAAATGTTTTAATGATTTATGTAAAAGCTTTCAATTTAAATGTTTCTATTTAAAAACATGAGGGAATGTAACATTGTTAAACATAACTCTCTTTCACACACGCGGGGGTACGATACGAAGGGAGAGTTTCAGGCCTAGTTCTAGGCTTTAGGCCTAGCTGTAGGCTTTAGGGCGCTGTGAGTTGTTTTTATTTAATTTCAAAGTTTTAATTAAAAGCTATCTCAGGGAATAAGGGAATGTTACATGTGTCATGCCAAGTGTTTGCAGTAGGGAGCGATGTTGATACACGGACGGACAGTCGGACGGACGGACGGACACATTAATCTATTGGTGGTCTGGTCCACTTCGTTCCTACCAGTAAAACAATACATTTCTCACGACGTTTCGATTGCAACACAAGCAATCAACGGATGCAAATTGTCAAAATGTGGTGCGATTAACAAATATTCATACAAATGGGAATGATATGCTAATAAAAATCGAAATGTATTATTGTTTATAACGTGGTTGACACCATAAGTAGATCTCTTGTTTGTAATACCATGTAAGGCCGGTAAAGTATATCATCATCATTATTATTACTATTGTCCTGTGCTGCCTGCCCCAATGGCGATCGCAACGGCGCGTGGTTGCCAGGGTAACGCGCCTGCACGTGGCGCCTGCACGCGGCCTGGCGTGGGGCAACGTGCCAGAGGCGACGTTTCAGGCCAGTTGCCTTCGTCGTGGCATCTACAACAAAAGCACAAAACTACAGTTTGCAGTGGGCGGCTCCACGTCACGTGACTAGCGGTGGGCGGGGCCCGCGCCGTTGCCACGGGAGCAGCGTCCCCGTTGCCGCGGTAACGGCGAGGAACGAGGTGGAGGAGGCCGCGGTTCGAGTGCCGCGCCGGGAGGTCGCTCCCCGTTGCAGCAGCAGGAGGAGGAGGAGGAGGACGAAGAGGCGATGGAGGCAGCGACCGAGTCCGTGGTCACGCTCGGAGAGGCCGAGGGCTTTGTGCAGTCGCTGGAACCATTCCCCATGTTGGAGATCGCCTCCCCCAGGTAACGGGGACCCGGCCCGACTCGCCCCCCACGGGGACTGCGCCGCGCCGCGTGCTCTGCTTCGTTGCCGCTCGGGTGATCTCGATATGAAAGAAGAACACTGAAGTGCAGCCTCACGTGCACCTCATCTGGCTGTGACACGGAGTGTCCAGTGGATGCGATTACTTTCGTCCATGTGTTCAGAATCAGAATGTGTCTACTGGCTGAATCCGATGACCTATAAAGCTCTTTTCACAGATGTCCAGTAGGAATGTGTTGTCCTGCAGCACCTGTCTCGACAGTCTACATTGTCCAATGGTTCATTGTCTTTGTCGTGTGTGCGTGAGTAGGTGGATGATACAGCACACGTATATCGAGAAACTCAATATAGAGGCGATTTTGCAGGCAATCAATAAAGGTGATGAGTTTGTGAAGGAGTTCCTTGTCACATATGAAAAGGTGAGTCTTGCTCACGATGCATCGCTATTCAACTACACACTGCATGCATCCGGATCAAGAGGTCAAGGGATGGCGTCGCGTAACTGCCAAAGCACTAAATGAATAATAACTTTATAACTTAAAATCTTGCATTATGTTCAGAATTTTGTCAGAAAAGGTATGCCATATATAAGAAACATAAGGTGAACAATGATAATTACAATATCACGATATTTTCCCAAACAGACAATATTGTACTATTATGGTGGACCTTAGGACCACATACCACAGTATGTGAAGTGGTTTCATTTATCTGAATGCCTTATGTGAAAGTTTTACTAACTTTTAAAGCACATTGTCAATGTAACCATTATTTATTTTATGTTTAAACTAAATATCCATATATTATACTCTTTGGGTCTTTCGGTAAAGCCATGTAGATAGAAAAATACAAAATAAATTATAAATATATTAATCCATACATTAATCGCTCCTTCATGTTTATCTTTTCAGACCTGCGTCCTTGTCCATGAGGTTTTAGCAATAGAGGTTTGGAAGCGAAAAATATTCCCTATTATTTGTCGTGTGAAAGATTTTGAAACGAAAGCGACATTTCCCATATACATGGTGGTAAGTCACAAAGCACTCTTGTGGGTTTGCTTCTTTTCTCCATTTACACTCACCCTCTTGGTAAACGATTCACTATTTCGGAGCTCTGACATTACCTGTGTGACCCAGAGCACAATCTCTCACTGTCTCGCTGCCATTGCCACCTGGGTGGCCAATAACTACAACTCAATGTGGATACAACTCAGGTGACCACCTTAGCACCTCCCACCCTCCCCCTTATCAGTTCTTTTCCCCTATAACTCTCCAAACTCCACCATTCAGCCGTCCGTGCAGACCAATAAAATATAATAACCACTGCGTCATCTCTCCTTCGTGCTTCATACACGCCACGGCCACATAATTGATGCCTTCCTCTTCCAGAACGTTAGTGAAATTCACATTTTCCTTACAACCTCCATTTGGCACTCCACGCATTAATGCCCTTGTCACCTCATGCTCCAATAATTGATATATCCTTTCTAGTCTCCCATTCTCCCACCTCGCACCTGTTCAATCTGTCCCAACACTGCAGCTAGGACTGTTCACCAATTCCTTTGCTTTAATCCAATCTGCCCCGTCCCTTGTTGCTTTTCACTGGCTTTCTATTCAACTGTTTTCACTTCAAACGCTCTCCAGAGTATACATATCTCCTTTTCTCAGCTGCTGCCTACCTCTACTCTCTGGTCTTCTTGAATAATCTTTGTGAGAGAGAGTACCTCCTTACTTGACTCCTCTTCTGATATATATTATGTTAAATTGCACATGTACAAAATACAGCTCAAACACTTTTATATTTTTCAGATTCGTCATGAGGCAACCATAGTGAACCTGTTTGAAACTGTCTTGTACCATAAGGTATGCGATACATTTTCACGTAATTTCTCTGAAGTTTATTTACACACTTACTACACTGTATGACTTGTATACACAATGTCAGGTTCCCCAAGCACCCTCTTCGGTGCAAATTCAAAAGTGTTCATTGTCGCCAATTATTCTGCATTCACTTCCATCAGTTAATGGTTGGCAGGTGGCTCAGCGGTAGCGTTACAAGTTGGTTTGGGGGGGTTCATGCAGCCCATTATCATCCCTCTGGTGTTGAAAAATGAGGACCACGTTGTAAGGAAATCATCAGTGGTTGTCCAGTAGATAGACTCGCCTCCACCTTAGGAATGTGGAATTTCCACCAGTTTCTCAGGGCTGTAACAGGAGATGAACACCACTACAGTGCTCATTTGAGCACAACATCACTGACTTTTGTTTGGATAGGTGTTGTTATGCTTTAAAAATTAGCAGGACATTAATATTACGTAGCATATCCAGCATCTCAATGCACCGTCTCAATGTACCGTCATGCGGTGTGCAGTAGATCACAGGGTCTTATAGTTCTATTCAATTTCCATCAAGTGTTGGCAGAGTGTCACACGACAAAGGTTTGTGCTATTGATAGCATTTTTAATTGACTGCAGTGACTCAACCTAGCAGGAATAGCAATGAAATAAGATGTCAAAGGACATCTCCCACTGTTCAAATGTCATTATTTGACTACCTTTCCAAATGCAGTTTCGAACTGTAAAGGCAAGTACAGGACTATAATCTTCATATCCTGACACCATCTTTCCATTATCAAAAGTGTCACCCTGCTGAAAGTAGCACGGGGAAGTGCTCATCTCTAATTGTAGCCGTGAGTTCATGGTGCTAATTCCACATTGCTATGACAGGCTATTTACTCTGTGGGACGACTGTTGATATCCCTCAATAATTGTACTAACTTTATGAACCATGCAGATATGATACACTAAGTTGACCCTCGACCCTGATTTGATCTTGCAACCTTCTGACTGTGAGTCAGACATTCTTACCTACTTGCTGTATTGCCACCTTCATCCCATATCTTAGTCCTGTTTGTGGGTATCTTCATCTATAATACACCTTGCCTCCAAAGTTCGGGATGACCTGGCCATATCAACATCCAGTTCGTGTGTGTGCATGCATGCCTACATTGTAGGCAGCAGAGGGCAGTGCTGCAAAATACCTGTCCAGTGTCATACCGTACTTCTATTTTCCCAAATCTATGCTTCCCACCTTCACCAATCCACACTGATTAGCAATCAAATCACCCCGCCAATCTGGACGGTGTCCAGCAGAGCACTGACAAAGGGCTGTTCATTTGCATACCCATGCACGTCTGTTTATAAGTGACACGTGTGAAACTGTGGGTGTTGTAGGACGCAGTGGGGTCTCTGGACGATCAGGCACTAGACCTGCTGGACTACGCGCACAGGAAGGTGACGATGTTGGTGGCGCGGCACCAGCAAGGGCAGTTACAACCAGAGAAGGCGCGTGACAAACCATCGCCCATCCACGCCTCCTCCTTAGAGGTATCCGTGCACGGTTGCCACTACAATAGGACGCACTGTTAAATAACAAGATCGTATGAACACTATAACAAAAAAAATCATGATAAAATTGATATTGTGAACCAGAATCATAACAAATGGTCAATTTTCTCCACCATAGTGAGCTATGGTGGAGCACCTGATTCACTTTAAAGTCTCATTTCTCATGAATAAAGTTCTAACCGTTTGACAGACAGCCCAGCACACGTAGAATGTATCTCGGTATGTTTCTCCAAAAGAACAAATATAAATGTTCTGTGTTGCATCTTCCTTTAATGTTGTAAATTCACAACCCTATTGTACATCTCTTTTTTATAGAAATGTATCTTTTTCTTAAATTGTGATGATGTCTTCTCAATGCAATAATGCAATATGCACTTTAATTTTTAAGTTATTTACTTTAACACCCGGTTCAGTTTAATTTTAGGAAAACCTATCTTTTTCATGGAGACCAGTGTGATTAGTCTGTCCATGAAGTTAATCAAAGCAAGTTTTTCATCTCTGCCATTGTGGGAGTTTTCATTGACATTTGTGTCTTTGTTATGACAGGAGGTGAAGCAGCAGAGCGATGATTTGGAGTTTAATATTTCTCTGAAGTGTGTCTCGATTCTACGGTACTTGATTGATTACCTGGACAGGTGATTAACAGTAACCTTACAGCAGAAATAACACACGTAATTTTAGGAATATTTTACCAGTCTTAAGATATTTAATTGCTTCATACCAAGTGGGGCTAAAGATATTTTCCATAAAAAAAAAATACATAATTTCTCCAGCAGGAGCCAATCTCTAGATAGTACAACCACTGTATACTTTAACATATAATATTTACAGTCAATTGTTATATAGCTACATACCTTAAAAGTATGATTTGTCGACAAACACTTTTTGGGATTTTATGTTTGCATATTTTTTTAAGAAATACTTTTCTTTGGCATTTCCAATTTGCTTAAAAATAAACTCTGCACTTCAGATTAGTAATGTATTTTCCCTCTGAACAAATTACATTGTTGCACTAATTAGTCATACATTAAATATTCTGCCCAAGTGAATGATAATCTTGCATGTGATATATATTTCTACTGTAACTTAAATGGGAATAGATGTTAAGCAACAAAAGTGTATCTCTGCTCAAATGAGCAATGGGTCTATGCTGATGTCTTTTGGGAAAATTGTGGACATTCCACATTTCCATAGTGGGGGTGAGTCTTTCCATAGGATTATCATTGTTAACTTCCCATAAAGTAGAACTAATTTTATCTGCTCTGGAAGGATGATAGGCTGAGTCAACCCCAAATAACTATTTGAACTCACAGCCTTCTATTTGGGAATCGAGTGCTGTAATCGCTGCATCACTTGGCAGATTAAACTGCGGTACCTATGTACACGTGCTGGCTGAGTGGTTCAGTCGAATGAATGTGGCTGTGTAATTAATTATTCTTCCTGTTCCATTGCCCACAGCCTGCCGCTGTCTGTGCACACGCGCATGCTCAACACGCACAACGTGCCGGTGCTGCTGGTGCAATTATTAGAAAATCGCCCCTGGATCCGCACCAACAAAGACGGTTTGTGTTCTCGTGACCATGCCACTAGCAATGAGCGAAGGGTCTACATCCACTTAATTACAAGGGGCGTTGGTCTCGCATGAGGGCACTAGCAATGAGGGATTTTCTTCCAGTTTGGAATCAGACACGGATACCATAATTTAAGAATTCGTGATTACAGGATATTCAATTCCACAAGACTTTATGATTACAGAATTGCAAACACGGAATTGTCTGTGAAATAGATGCTAATTTGTACAATTGATTTGCTCAATAATTCCCGAATTTCCTTTACAATGGATAGGCTATCTCAGAACTGTCTTGACATTGCTAAGCAACTTGAGAACAAGTCTCTCACACACACCACTACACAGTGATCATGAATGTTTCACAAGATTGGATTACGACATATGGATTATCGAAACCATTCCAAAAGACGCCGCTTTTTTCATCGATACAAAGCTCGACTCTATCCCAGGCCATCCTACACGAGTTTCAATCTACATTGTAGAGAACAGACCTTAACGTTATGGTTAGGCACACAATTCTAGTGCTGTACTGACACAATTAAGTCCCTCCAGTATATTTAAATATTTAATTGCTGTGATGTCACCAGAGTTATGACAGAGTGCCTGACCATGATTTAGAAGTATTTTTTCTCATTGATGAAGCATCCCTTAATGTTAGACAATCCAGGACACACTGACTCAGTATGTATCTACAAGATCAGAGCTTCAGTTAACTCTCGATAATTATTTGTGAGAAGATTATCTGGCTTGTGGATTCAAGCGTTCTTGTGAGAAACAATATATGTGTGCATGCACACTTATCCTATTATTTCTGTTCCCCTTTTTCTCGAAGGTCAATAACTCACCCAAATAACCACAAACATGTTGACAAGTGAACTGATAAAAAACACAACATTTCGCATCTCCACCATCAATCTATGATGGTAGATTATGTTTTTTCCAGCCGGTTTTAACGACACATTTATATATTTAGCGATCTAACCCAAAAAAACCTCTATTATGAAATCTACAAATGTTTTGCATTATCCATGTTTTAGTTTTATTCGGGCCACCCCTTCCTTCCCCATTTCCCAAGGTAATCAAGAGTTTACTCTTTTATGGATTCCATATTTCTTTAAACCATCAACTCCCTACAATTGAACATTGTGTTCTAATCACAGATTGCTGCCAATTTTACTTCTCCCGAGGGAGCCTCAGCAGTGCTGCTTCACTATCCTCATCGTTTCATTAACACTGGGACTTGAACAATCAGGTGCTGTGGAACTCTATGTGGACAACGGGTGGCGTGCGCGGAGCAGTGACGAAGTCTTTAAGTTGTCTAAACTCGATGGCCAGCTGTGGATCGCCATCTACAACCTCGTGCTGCACAAGGAGAGCCTGCGCAAGTACGACTGTAATGCCTACAACAAAGGACAGCTGCTCAAGGTGTGTCGATGTTCGTTGCTTTTTACCCGTCTCCTAATTATATTTCAATTACTGGCATCAGCATCACATCATGAGACACATCTGTTTGGAGCACTTGCAGAAAGCAGTGCATCAATATCAACATCTGTGAGGTGGCATCAGTATATCGTTATGACAGAGTTGAACTGCTTTTCGAGAGGCTTTTTTCTCATTAACGAAGTTTCAAACTCTTTGGAGAGCCCAGGACACACCCTTTATATGTTCATTCTGCTGGAGTTGATCATTTTTCTGGAGCCAATAAAATCAGTACCACTTGCCATAAAATGTATAGTGAAGTTATGTGGAGTAACTGGATCTCGCCATGGGATTGTGGAATGTCCATCACTGTTTTTGGCTGTAAGTTGAAGTTGAATGTCATGGGGACATCATTTTTTTTTGTCCCTCCCAAAGTGTACTTGTTACTACGTACTGCAAATCCTTGTCCATGACTGATGTAATGTGAATGGATTTGTGCTGTGTTTTTCTCGTTGTAGCTCCGTGGATTTCTGACGGAAGTGCTGGTCGATCAGTTGCCTTGTCTGATGGACCTACAAAAGTTTCTCAATCACCTGGCCATGGTGGATCCCGCACCTCCCAAGAAAGACCTTATTATTGAGCAGGTAATAACAGCTATGGTTAATTGATCGCCAATCCAGCTTCCAAGTTGCTGGATAATTATCCAGCAACTTGGAAGCTGGATTGGTGGATCACACAACCCACCCGTGTGCGTGAGTCGCCTATAGACTTGTTGTCTGTGGAGGAGAAATATAGGCCGTAGGCTGGTGACCGATGTATGCATAGATTGCACGTGAGTTTTTTCTTCTTCTAGGGACTGCTTTGTTCTGACATTGAAAAAACTTTGAATACTCAGTAATTGTTATGGATTAATAAAGAATTACAGTGCTCTTATTTTTACGATGATGCGAAACGTGACTTAAAATACAAAGAATCTTTCTGGCTTGTGTTTTCCAATTCTTCAAATTACAGTGCAATTTTTCAGTTGTTCCCATGACATCATTTTGTAAATATGAGGCTTAAAAAAGAGTACATTAGCCTATATTATTGCGAGTAGGCTTATATAAATCTTTTTGAAAACTTAACACTTTAAAACTAAGATGAAAATCCAAAGTATATCATCTATAATTTTGTTATTTAAATAAAGTAAGCCTCATTAATTTCTCACTGGTGAAATGTGTGGCTGGGAAATGTGACTTATGCTCAATTTGGCATAAAATTGAGCATTGCTTTGGCCCTTAAGGAATCTGCAAAAAATCTGAACAGCGACAGATGTTAACAAATATGGTCTGTTAAGGAGCCTCTTTAAGAGGCTTTGTACTTGAGGAAAGCTACCCAAGTGCCCAGTTGGATAGTATTTCAATTTCATGATGTAAACGTACCCTTTGAAAAGAATAACCTTATTAGAAAGTCACTATTTTTCTTAGCCTTGTTGTTAATCTCACGTTAACAGTAAGCAAAGTGTAGTTTTCTTTCATGGATTTGTCATTTAGAATTCCAAAAAATTGCCACTAAATATAATGACTGAAAATTGTCATGATTTTATCTGTCTGCCTCTTCAGTGAGAATGAGTCAATTATTTTCTCCAATTGACGCCCAAAAGCAATGGAACATGTTCCGCATTCTCATGGCAGATACCTGTCTTCTATAGGAGACGGTGTAAGGATTCACTTCCCTGGTGATCAATAAATGTTTGTAATTCAGGGTCTTGATTCGATTCAAGAATATTGTGTTTTAACATTGTTGTGAATGTAGTTATTGTGAATTACAATCTACATAAACAGTACACATATGTTAAAATATCAGTTCTTACAGAAAAATGTATTAATACATAATGACACATGTACATTTTATCCATGATGTTCCAGTGGCAACGCATAACGGGTTTGTGCATGCTACTTCTTTATGCTTTCAACAGGGTCCCATAGTTTACGTGGAATGCTCTTGCCAATAGCATCTGGTAATATACCAGCATTAAGTTAACAAGCCTAAATGCTGATGAGACCCAGAATGTGAAAATACTGTAATGTTTCTCTGGAAAGCCAACATCCACTAATATTTTGAGGCAATTTCAAAACTTGTACATAATTGAGTACATTATTGTAATAAAAAATAATGTGAGATCGTTTCACAGAAGATGGCGTTGTGTGCATTTGTCATTGTCCATATTGAAACGAATTATAAACACAGAAATATGGATTCAACACTCTTTACAAAATTTGTTGAGTATCCTGGAGTTGCTTAGACATTTGGCCACACTCATTCTAGATTTCAGTAACTTCCTTATGGCTTTGGATTTTGTTTCAGAAATAGGTTTTCCATGGACTAAGCGTAGTAGTGCACACTAATGTTGTAAGATCGATAATGTAATACTGCAGCCATTTATGCACCAGACATATGCATTTAATCAAATTTAATATTACAAGAAATGCCCATGTCCATGAATACATAATAAAGGTTTTTGGGTTTAGATCGCTTTATATATAAACGTGTCGCAACCCTCCACCACCCGACACGGCCAATCAGTAAAAAATGTGTCATGTTGAAAAAAGACAAATAGTTCACTACTATAGCCCACCGGTGTGTTGAAGAGTGAATCCACAACATTTACAATTTTTGAGTACGACGTTTCGCTGGTAATTACATCCGGCATCATCGGGCAATTTGCCAGAATAGTGAAGCCCTCCACCTGCTCCCGGTCTTAAATAGAACAGCAGGCTGACGTCATCGTTTAACCAAATCAGGTGCAGAGATCAGAGGCTAAAGTAGTGAACTATTTGTCTTTTGTCAACTTGACATTTTTTACTGATTGGCTGTGTTGGATCACATTTATAAATAACGTGATCTAACCCAAAAACCTTTACTATGAATAATATTGGTCGCGAAAGCCTCCATTAATACATTTAGTGTTTACTGACCGAATTGGAAAAAACGTATTTTAGTGTGGCTTATGATACAATAATAATATTAGTTCTTTATTCATCTAACAGCCTCAATGAGTTTCAAGATAATTTATTGGGAGAGTGGTGCTTGGTCATTTGAGCCAATTTCTTGTTAAATATTTGCTTCTTGGAAGAAACCAAAATTCCAGGAGAAACACAAATTTAGGAGGAGATAATACAAACATTGTATGTTGAGTATAAATACAGGAGGAATGCTTGTTATCTGCATTTAATGTGTTATTCCTTGATTTCAGTTATTCCTCTACGTATGTAGAGGTCATGTATGTTTTTCTCTAAAGCACTGGTTGCCAGATGTGAACCTCCACACCGGGCATTAATGCTCTTGTTGGGAGAGAGTGATATATGTTGGTCTCTAGTTGTAATATCTTTGTTTTTAACTACTTTTGACTGTCCTTCACACGTTCAGCACTTTAGTTTAACAGCTGTGGGTTTGTACAAATTTTAATGGGATTCTATCCTTAGTGTGCATTACTTAGTTGCACTGTTACATAATGCAATCAGGCTTTTTGCACTTTGTTTAATGAAACGCAGCTTTTGTGCCGATGTGTCGTGCTAAGTACAAAAGGCTGTACCAGGCTGTACCAGGCTGCCGTGAGTGCATTTTAGACACGCAACCTTTACTTGTGTTGTTGCCGTTTTATATGAAATGTATGTCAGTGTGTTGCGGATTCATATATCTTCAGTCAAGGAATATCAAATGAAAGAGCACATCTAATGGCACTTCTCTTTTTTACCTGCATATTAATAACAGTATTTTTAAAGATGTGACTTGAAAATGTTTAGGGTTTTTGAATACTAATGAAGTCAGTCTCCTAATAATTTCAGTCTTGGAGAAAGTTATCATTTACCATTGTCAAGTAACATATATCTGGTGTGCAAGACGTTCATTATACATACATACAGCACTGAATATAACTTGCCACTTATTGTATTTAGGATTTGCATTTTCTGAGTGCTCAAATGCATGCATTTCAAAGCGATTCCAAGTGTTGTGAGACAAACATTACATAAGGAAACTCAAGGTATAAAAATAACGTCTAGAATAACATTGAGTAGCAACAGGAAATATCAAGAATCGTATGAATTTTTGAATGGATCAAATGAAAAATATACTTTTCCATGAATAATTAAACAAAGAAGTATTTCCATTATGTTTGACCCCACACAAGTGTGCCTTTAAAAATGTAAACTTCTTCTTGGTTCTTTCGGTAAAGTCACGTAGAAGGGAAGTAATAAAATAATAAAAATAAAACATAATAAAATAATTCTCACGACGTTTCGGCCACAACGCAAGCAGCCGTCCTTAGGTGAAGAATGAGGACGGCTGCTTGCGTTGTGGCCGAAACGTCGTGAGAATTATTTTATTATGTTTTATTTTTATTATTTTATTACTTCCCTTCTACGTGACTTTACCGAAAGAACCAAGAAGATGAATCCCTGCAGTCACGAAAGCTTTAAATTGAAAGGTAAACTTGCCTTCTGCTTTTTGGTTAACAGAGTTTCAATACAGGGAATTGGGTTACTGTATTTGCAGGGTGTAATAAGATTATGTGTTGATGGTAATGCGCCATCTTCTCTTATTTCATGTCAAATTAATGAAAACATCTGGATAAGAGTGACTTTAAAGCATAGGGTGGTTTTATGAGCTACAGTAAGGAATCTTAGTTCAATTTCACCAGGAAAGAGGTTGTCAAACTTGCTATTTGGACATGGTTGTGATTGTAATTCTTCAGAGATCCTTTTGTATATTATGCTGTCCGAATAAATATTCCGTAACTTTACATCTGCAATAATTACCAGATATGGACGACAGATAATTTCACTTTTTTTTCTTTTTCAAAAGATCCCGGAAATTCGGGAAAAATTCCTGCGTGAAAATGAAAACAAGTGGAAAGCCATTGCTAAGTACCAGATGAAGAATGCCTTCACGCCATCAGAAGCGGAGCTTCGGCAGCAAGCTCAAAGGTCTACAACCACACTGATTGTACCCACAATATTGCTTTTGTTGGTTAAAGGTAAAGGTGCATCCCTACAATTACTTGCTCATATCACTGCTGGCGGAATAGCCTCCACTAGAGGGCAATTTGCCCGATTCTTCCACACTGGCCAGAATTCTTGGGAGAGTATCTGCACTACCCCACCACACGCAACCTGACGTTTTGTGGGTAGTTTTGTCTTATAATTGTTTCATTGGCTGTAATGCAGGTGGGTGGAGATGTACAAATCGGATGTGATGGAGGCCCTGCTGCCGGAGGAGGCGCGCTGCTGCGTGTGCGGAGCCACGGCCAAGAAGCGCTGCTCGCGCTGCCGCAACGAGTGGTACTGCAGGAGGTAAAGTCACGGCCATGGCTCTCCACGCCAGCTACTAGAGGGGTTCTGTTGTCTGGCAAGGATGAGACTTCACAAAACCACAGAAGAGTGTGGTGAATCGCACTCTACAGGGCTGCCTTTGAGCCCAGCATCTAGGGTTGAGACACTTGACGATGTGCACCAGGTTCTGGGTTGGGTGACGCTAATCCTGAATTTACAAAAATATTTTAATGCATGCCCAACTTTACCAAAACTCTAACCCAACCTATTTATGTGCTGGTTCCAAAATTGCCAGGTTTTCACAGACTTAGATAGCACCATCATATCCCAGCTCTGCTTCCCAATGCTCTGTGAGCCATGAGGCTCTGTGGGTTTGGCTCCTTCTGTTCCAATTGCTCATCTACCCCGACAGCTAGAGGTTAAGGGTCAGAAAGTAGTCTTTAATTAGATGTTTAACAAAAGCATGGGTTAGCTTAGATTTTTTTAATTTGAAAATTAGTTTTGTTATCTTATATTGTGCACAATATTTAGAACACTGATATGGCCAAGAAGTTGAACTGACCTGGTGAGGTCACAGTGCGTACGTATCACTTGGGCGTTGACCCCGTAAAGTCACAATCGGTTCTGGGGATGGCCCAACTCAATGTGCAGTTTGAGAAGCGAGCTTGGAGGCTATATCGGGGAAACGGCTGTTTCAGCTGGGGTGGGCTGCCATGAGAATTCGAGCTCCTAGACCTGGCTTGGTGCCAACATAGAGGCAGCATTGATCGTGGGGACAGCCTGGGCCCCTTGTAGGTGACTTGAAATATGTAAATCTTGTGGCATGTGAACATCTGCACGAGGGAAATCATATATGATGTCGCTCATGTTAAGTGCTTGCAAATAGCATTTTATTCCAATTCAAAGATAATTCTAACGTTGAGATGTTGTCTTTGGTTGTGCAGGGAGTGTCAGGTGCAGCACTGGCCAAAGCACAAGAGCGTGTGTAGTCTGTTGGTTGAGGAGCTCAGTAAGAAGCTCACTCTTGCAGAGTGAGCCACATGCTGGTGAGTAGATTACTGGGCGCATGTTCTGACTGGTAACATGACCCGAAGAGAAAAGTCATCGCATAGTCTGTAAGGCTGAAGTTATCACCATCGGCATCATTAAGAAGCGCTGCTTCATAGATCAACAATAATATTAATATAAACCAATGTTTGGACAATGGCCTTTCAGAGAAAAGACAGTGCTAAAGAGGTCATTGATCAACTGTTATGTTATTTTATATTTCTCAACATTGTCAACAGTGGTTATACAATGGAAAGAATCGCCCTTGCCACAGAAATTTGGAATTGTCACCACTGGATCAGGGGCACAAATAGGTGAAATAAGTGCTGCCCCTAAACTAATTTAAGCAGAGAGGTGATTTGGCATGACAATCGCGGTATTGTATTTATTAATGACAATGGTGGGATCATATGACCAGCTTGTGTTCCCAAAACACTGCCAATGCAGTCCTCAGAATGATATCGTTTCTCCATATGCATTCTTTTGGATGTAATTGTTGCTTTGAGAAACAAAAGCTTTCGACTTTTACAGAATCCACTAAATTACTCTTGATATGGACGATAATTGTAGTTTCTACATAATTAAACACAGTTACCCAGTAAATGTGTTTGCCATTTAGTGTGTACCAAGTGCATAGTACAGACATTGATCAACATTGCAATTATTTAACTCCAATGGCAATTCAATTTATTGATGGTAATTTTTTTATGTAAGTGAATTTGACAATTATAGCTGTTGCAACATAGTCCTAAGACCAGACTATAAGTTGGCCTATGGAAGGCAGTACAGAAAATAGGTTGTTGACCTATTCTGCTTATTTACTATTAACTCGTCATATGGATTAGTTTCATCCGTGAATCTCAATGTACTCTCATCCAAAAAAATATCTCCTAAAGAATTTACCCAACATCTAGGCAAGACCTACCTAAAAATAATCTGGACACTCAGGATTTTCTGGGTAAATAGAATATTTTTATTATTTAATTACATTACTGATTTGCATTTTATGGTTGAAATATAGATTTCAAAAGCCCTTTTTTGGATAATGCAAAAATAAAAGTAATCAGATTTCAAATTCACATTTCAATTAACTCAGAGGAGTGATGCCACGTGAGACATTAATAACGCCATCTCCTTACAGTGCCCGACTGCTGAGAATGATATAAATACGCTCATAGATTACCTCTTCCTGCCCTTGCCTCCGGGGAATTTAAAACCAAGCAGTCGTTAAAAAAACACATTAACATTTCTCCTGACCCTTACATGGAAATGTATAAAATGTAACAGCATAGCGAAAAGTTAACAAAGCACATCTCTAAAAATAACTAAGACTGTGAGATAAGTGAGAAAATTATGTAAATAACATAAATACTAAAGTGCTTTGCTGTTTGTACAAGAGCCTGGATGTAGTTTTTTTCATCACAGTTGCTGAGAACAGGTCCAAAGACCTGAAATGCAAAGCGGCCAGAAACCAAGAGCATTATTGTAGTATAGCATATAGGAACTAACCTACTTCATAAAAAGAGCAAGGTTATACGAGCTGGGCTAGAGAGACGACGGGAGTGAGTTTCGTGGAGCGCATGTGCTTATGGAGACGAAGTGGTGAAAGTCTCCCTATAAATATCTTGGTGCCCCATAATAACAATACCCACGCTTGGTTGTCAACATTGCTGACTCCAGAGGCCTTATTATAGATCTGTGCATTCCGAGTGTTGGTGGATGTTTGTCTCCAACAGTGTGCTTAGTTAATTGACTTGACCCATGTATACATACGTGCATATGGCAGACTAGCAGATTCAAATGTGGGATGTTAAACATACATCATAATATCTCAGTTACCCATAATAACAATAACCACACTTGGCTGTCAACAATCGCTGACTCAGATACATATTTGTCTGCTAACAGTGTGCTAAGTTAATTAACACGACTCGTGTATACATACATATGGCTTCCTAACAGATTCAGATGGGGCATACTAATCGTGTATCATAATAAAAAATAAGGCAAGTGCACGGCGGTTCCCTTATCTGTGTGGCAGTCAAGAGCCAATTGTCGAAGTTCCACATCCCTGTAGCAGGATTCACTCATTGTATGGCACCACCACCATTGGCTTCCTAAAAAGCGGTACGTCCTTTATCCACCCAATGGGGGTGAAGAGCTGAGTTTGATACCCAAATAGAATATGAACTCGCAGATTTTAGTTGTTCAGTTTATTGCTGTGACCACAGAGCCATCTGGCCCGTTAACTGCACAGCTGTGCATAAACATTTTTTAAAATATATATAAGCGTTCTTGCCTTACAGATTTAGAATTTTCATGTTCACCATCTGAATATTTTAAAGTTATCTTAGTGCAATGCTAATGCTATGTATTGGGCTAATTTTTGATGACTTAACGATTAAACCTGTTAAGGATGCTTTATGTGACTGTCACAAGACAAGTCACATGGCTCGGACTATTCCAACATGCCAGTGAATTCATGCACAGTAATGCGTGTACTGTATGTGATTATTGCCCACTTGTCATGCACAGCCACAGCCTTGGAAGACTTGCATACAAACAATTCATTTGTCATGCAATATATCAATTAGAGTGTTATACATTGCATGGAATTTATATATGAACAGACACAATGCACAACACAAGTCATGTTAAGCGTCGACCTAACCAAAAGAGTATAAAATGTCTAATAATAAGTATGTGGCCTTTTTATAGCATTTTCAGAAAACTTTGTGGCGATAGCAGAACATGATTCTTGTTGCCAAGGACTGGGCGACAACCTTGAATGTCAATGCTCGTACGTTTACAGCAGCATCGTGGCCCTAACTGCAGATCAATCTTTAATAGGCGACAGGATACGTTTGTGAACAAGGACAACCAGGGAGGAAAGCTGTAACGTGACTACCGTGCACTCGTCTAGGTTCACGGTGAAAGATTATCCGAATATTGTCAGTCTTAGAGTCACATCTTAATGAAAGCCATTCATTGTTGGCAGAAGTTAAATGTGTTTGTTGACACTTGTCTTGGTGTTACAGTTCATGCGCCTGTAGGGAATATGTCTGGTGGGTTTGAAAATGCTGGCTTCATTTTGTCAGAATTGGTCTCTACTTCGCACTTTACCATGCGTTGGTGTTCTTGAGAAAAATATTTGTTTAAAAAAATATTTGCTGTGTTTGTGAGATGCGAGAAGTCTGTTTTGATTGCTCTATCTGCTGTTTTTGTTTGCTGTATTTGCCGTTATATTTTGTGATGGAAAATTTAAATCCAATTTTCATTGTTACAAGAAAACCCAGTACGTACTGTAGATTGCTTCTATAAAATAACTCTGAACACTGGATAATTCCCAAGTCCACAAAAATTTCATTGTCCACAGCTCATTTGCCATCACCTCTGGTGCTTCATGAAATCCATTTCTGTGCGCAAGGTCACGTTATTAATCATGCAGCTGTGCGTGTTGATGTATTTACTCAGCATGTATCTTGTGCTTGCCTTGGTGACATATATCTGTGTTAAACTGTTGAACATTTATTTTCTGCTTGTTCATTATAAGTGCCTGTCATCAAAGTATAACATATAATCTAATTATAACTGGCAGGTATTGTACATACTGTAGTTCCTAACAACTTAACGCAGCCAGACTGCAATGGAAGCATCTGTTGAAATGTGGAACATGTAGAATCCCACGTCTAATATTATTTCATTGCCTGTGTTGATCATGTTTTTTCTGTTGGTTTTATAGTGCGACACAGTCAAGTGTGTTTAAGCTATACAGTGCATTGCTACAATAAAAACTAGTTTAAAATATTATATGCATGATTTGACTTATTTCTGTGTTTGATTTTTAAATGTTTTCATCGGTAAAATTGTATGAAAGAGTACCTACAGATAAACTCCTCTTACTGCACCTCTCTACTTCTCTCCCTTCCGCTTTATCCCAGCATTGAGCCATGCAACTTCCTGTTATCCGCAACCCAATGGTTCCTGTTATCTGCTAACGTGCTGTCCGGAAGTCGAGGCGAATGTATCCTGTAAAGGGGTTCGCTGCTGGGCTCTGGCCCAATCACACGGCCCGGGGTATTGGGGGGCAGAGCCCAGTATGGGGGCATAGGGGAGGGCCCGCCGTTCACCTCGGGTCCAATCGGAAGCGAGGTGAATGGGGGTGGAGCCAGCAGGGCGCTATGGGAAGGCCGCATCTGATGGTCCGGAAGGGGAGGAGACAGGATCACGTGGTAAAGGGGATATCGGTGGGAGCCCGGAAAGGCTCCGGGTCAGTTGCTGGAGTGAAGAAGCTGGACCACGTTGGGTGGCCGGAGGGGATCCGCGCCATCAGCCACGTGGTTGGAGGAGCTTCGGCACACCGTCGGCCAGCGGTGTGCGGAGTGGGGGGGCGGAAGGACTGACGAGGAAGTGCGTGCAGGGCGCGCGCGAGGAGACGCTGGTGCGCTGTCAGGACCAGCGGGGTGCGAGCAAAAAGCTAAATAAAAGAGCAACGGAAACCAGCAGTGTGTGACGAAGTCTTTTATTACACAATGATTGTAATTGTGTCGCTATTGTCAATAAATGAAAAATTAAGTTTTACAGATAATTATTTGACTGATAAAGGTCAAATCAAGAAAGTATATCGTATCCCCTAGGACATTATGTATGTCATGCATATGTCTGAATGTGTATGTTGGTGATTGCATTAAATATCAATCACGATATTTAAAATATTTATATCGATGACAACTGCATTTCGATTCACTACATGGTAGCATGTGCATAGTTGACCCAGGCATATTTCTAAATATGAAATATAGTTATTGATATTTACTGAAATCACCAACATACATATTGAGACATGCATGAATGTGACATCTGGCCAGCCAGCATATCGCACACCCAGTCCTTGGGAATGGTATTTAAATTAAGATGCTGGGTTTAGATAATTATCATGCGGTGCATGTGGATCAGAGTGTAATTTACATGCAATACAAGCAAATATGCATGCCACTCATCTGCTGCCCTGTGGGAACGTAATTTTTAAAGTTTTTAATTAAGTGGCAGCAAATAGACCTCCGCGGAATCAGATGTGAAATTTAATTGCTCCATATTTTTTTATCTGCAAGCAAGCACTGGTGTTTGAAATATAAATATATATTAACTGTAAATTTTAACAGGGTTTCCGATCAAGGATGGTTTGATCTAATGACTTGAAGCTATTAATGCATATATCCCTGATTTTTTGCAAAATGTAAAAACGAAAATACATGTTATACAAGCTAGAAACAAATTCTATCATGGAATGTTCTATTGCATTCCATGATTGTGAGAGTTTACAGCCCATTCTCAATCCACTTCTAGATAAAGGCCTCCACTGCTGCTGTCAGGCAATGATTGACCATACTTCACTGTGCTGGGTGGGTTGTTGACGGAATAGAGAGCAGTCAAGGACCGATTCAAATATTACTGATATTAGCCATGGCTGGGAATCGAACTCAGGTTCTCAAGCTCACAGCACAGTACACAAGCCACTGCACGAACACTCAAACTGTATTTATTTTATTATTATGTTATAGAAGTATTATATGACACTCAAAAAGTCAAAGTGTAATCCCACTCAAATGAGCACTGGGTGATTTTCAGCTTCACTTGGATGCCCTTGAGTCACTGCACTCATTTTATCCGCCATGGAGGGATGATGAGCTGAGCTGAACACAACTGGGATCTTAACTCAACTTTGCAAATGTCCGATGAGCACTCCAACCACGAGGCCACCTCCTGTGATAATAATCTTCATGTTCTATCCCCATATAATGTCCAAGAGCAATGTGTATGTTTAGTATTCATTTAATTTGAATTGTTGACAACCCATCATCTCTCTAAGGTTGATAAAATGAGGACCACTTTGTGAGAAAGTCAACAGTGGTTTTCCTATGGATATACTCGCCCCCACCATAGGAACGTGGAATATATATATTACTGGCTAAGGGCTGTAGACAGCAGATTTTCTGCTCACTTGAGCAGAAAATCACTGACTAAAATCAAAATTGTGCTGTGAAAAAGTATCACATTGTGAAGGGTGCCTAATAAGTGCAAATTATGATTATGCGTGATTTTTTGCTGCAAATACAAAACGCAAACTGATCAGCAAAAAAATTCAGTTGTGGGCAACATGTTCACAACTAATTTGAGTATCAGTGTGTGATTGGAATCCGTGGTATCTGTCTGGTATCCTGGCTGTAAGAACAGGGATAGGTATGAGACAACAGCTGTGCATTCCTGCCAGAAACATGAAACACATTCCTACAAAAGTGGCAACCACAGTGGCAAAACCCATACCACTTAAAAATCCAATTAAACAGTCTTCCACCAAATTACACGTCTCAATGGCACTGAGATCTGAGTGAGATCGGGAAAATTAAAGTATACGAGTGTTTTTTCATAACTTTCCAAGGAAAATGTTTGGTTCAAATATAGTCAAGTCAAAGCTATAGTGTCTGCCTACTCAAGCGAGCAATGGGGAAACATTCGTATCCTGTATCGGGTGGTGTGGTTGTGCTTTGTATCTCTCCAATGTTTCTGGGTTTTACTGCGTATTTTTCGGTTTCATGTCCAAAGTTTACCTTTAAATGCTGAAGGCTTCTTTAAGAATGCTGTTCAAAAGCTGAACCCTGAAGAAGCTTGCAGAATCTAGAGCGAAACGTTAGACATGCCGAAAAACACGTGGTACAACCTGAACACATCAAATAGTTATCATCTTTGTTGGCAGCCCTAATCCAGCTGGGAAATTTTCTCATTCTGAGGAAGTGCCTCTGTTGATTTGCATGAAAGTGGTACTCATTTGATCATCCTGCAGGTATCCTTGGCTGAGTTAACCTCCGACTAGTAGTTGAACTTGCACACCTTCCTAGTAGGAGTCAAGTGCTCTTACCACATCACTGCACGGCCATTGGGTTTTAGGACTGTGAGAGCTCAGCGAACTTTATAAAAGCGAACTGATAAATCTGTCAAAACAAAAAAATGTCTTTACTCACAATATTTCTCGATAAATAACTTATGGAGTTCATGTTTGTCTCAGTACAATGCATTCTTGCACCCCGTGGCCCTGCAATGCCCTCACTTGGCTTTCAGCCTTTAATAAGCAAACTACGAATGAATATTAACAATTCTCAGAATGAACTGCACAAACAGCATATGCACTGGAGGCCCATTGATCGTTTTCACTATTACCAATTTATTTGACACCATTTTACATGTACACGTTACAACATATTACAGTATTTTATGTTATATACACGAGTATCTGACCACGTGGTGCTGTGATTCGTGTCTAAATGAGTTGGAAAGATGCAAGTTTAAATCCTGGTCAGGTCTCCACAGGATCATCTATCATCCTTCCTGGGTTGCGAAAGTGAGTACCACGTGGTCGGACATCAATAGCGATCATTCTGGAGAAAGTATCGTGGGCCTCGCCATGGAAATGGGGACTTTTCACCTTCAGCTCGGGGCCACAAATGACAATGGTTGCTGCCTCAATATACCTTGGACTATGGAGAAGCTCCGCATTTACCACAAGCACCCACACACACGTACACAGGCACCCCCACACACACGCAGACAGTCACCCACACACACGCACACAGTCACCCACACACACGTAGACAGTCACCCATACACACGTACACAGGCACCCACACACACACGTACACAGTCACCCATACACACGGCTGCATCCGTGTCCAGGGATACTGGCGTGGTGTGATGGTTAGCACGCTGTATGTGCAATCCAGAGATCACCGATTCGATTGATATTTAGTTGCATCTCCTGACAGGGGAAGCATTGAGCAAGTTTCTTAAACCCCCTTGTCTGTTTCCAGCCAGCAGTACAAATGGGTACAACAGCAGCTGTTGATCGGTAGGTCCCGTGTGGTGGGGTAAAGTGCGGCTACCCCCACTTCTTCCAACACGCCTCGTCAGCTTAGAAGTGTCACCGAAGCTACCCTCGAGAGGGGCTGTCCAGCGCTCCCTCGACTGGATGCCCTTCTGCCAGCAGTCGCGTGAGCAGTGCATATCAGGGCTGCACCTTTAGCGTCTTGAGGCTTAAGGATTTCCTGTTGCTGTCGACACGATGTAGCCCAGCCCGGGTGATTGTGCGGCTCTGTCTCGTGACTCCTGCTGCCCTTCTGCTTCGTCTCCTTGCTGCAGTGGCCCCCGTCAGGTCGTGTGACTCAGTCCCTGCCGGCTCTCACAAAGGTCTTTCCGTGACAATTCGTGCCCTTTGTGGTCACGCGGAATGCCACTCGCGAGCCGGCAGCAGCAGCAAACCCTCTTGCTCAGCGGCAATTCACCCACCGGTCGATTAGCCATGAACATGCCTTTATATACCGAGTGCAGGGCAGAACAAAACAATGTAACATTGCAGGCAGCTAAAAAAAACCTACACGTGACCTTTTCAAAAGTCAAAGAACAGCAGACGTTCACAAATAATAATAACACTGCTTCAAGTGTACGAACTGCAGAACATGAACCTTGTGGTGGTACCCCGGGGGTGCCGTAGTGCCCCGGCTCTCGCACGATGCCCGTGACGCAGTCACGTCGAGCCTGTTGATGGTGAGCGACGCGGCAGTCGACTCGTGTGGACGAGCTGTGCACCACGATGCTGCGCCACCACCACCACGTGGTGTACACGATGCACCACCACCACCACGTGGTGTACACGATGCACCACCACCACGTGATGTACACGATGCACCACCACCACCACCACGTGGTGTACACGATGCACCACGTGGTGTACACGATGCACCACCACCACCACGTGGTGTACACGATGCACCACCACCACGTGGTGTACACGATGCACCACCACGTGGTGTACACGATGCACCGCCACCGCCTCTCAGCGCAGTCGTCGTCCTCGCTGCGTGTCGACATCGCGGAGTGGCACCGATGTCGACTGATTGGTGCCCCAGTCGCGGAGCGAAGTCACCCCCTGGGCAAAATTATTGTCCCATAAATAAAGTATTTAATTGCCTCGGTCATTTAGCATTATGTGCTACCCCGGGGTACCGCCATGAGGATCATGTAATTGTTAATCTGGAGGTAGTAATCAAAGCGTATGGGTTGCTTGGGGTGGCACTCGTCTGTTTAAACTGCAAATCGGTGTAAATTCCTGCTCATGAATATTAATGAGGGGGGCTGGTCGAAGTGGCGTGACGTCACGAACGTTAAGGACAGACATTCCTGGGTGCTTATAGTGTTATGGGGATGGATGGCAAAGTGGATATTGCATTAGGTGTCATATGGATATTACTAGTCCCGCCATAGGAATGCGGAATTTCCACCAGTGGCCTGGGGCAATCAACGGAGGCGAACAGCGGTGCCATCCACATTTCGCAGGAAGACGCATTCGGTGAGATGTGGTACAACCCACCTGGTCGGTTTGACTCATTGTTCGTCATGGAGACGTTGATAACACTGGTCAAAAAAAACTAAGTTTTTTTTCTGGCCTGGACTTTTGCAGCTGTTTTAGACTAATTTCAGGGTGCTGATTCCAAATCTGATCTCAGATTTGCTCTATAACATCTCATTTTTATGCTATCGGCATACCCCATTTTCATTGATTTACCCGAAATTAACTCTGTCACTTATGATTGCAAGTTGTTGCGAGTCAGTGACTGCTTTAGTGTTAAAATATGGTGCTGTATTTTTAGGATAGTGTGTTTATAATATCATTTTATGTAGATATTCACATTTATTTAATATTTTTCTTCTGCAGTTTTTATTGAAAATGCAATATTTGATATCTCAAAAACCTGATGTGATAGACAAAAACTGATGCCAGATTTGGAATCAGCACCCAAAATTACCTTACAACCGCTGGAATACCTTATGACAGAAAAAGTGTGTTGACCAGTGTAATTAATTCGGCGAAACAATGAAGCTAAAATCCTGCTTATTCATGTGTTTTGGAATGCTTTCCAACATGCATTTGTCCCCAGAAGTATTTAATTGGCAATAATAACATTAATAACGTTAATTCTAGATAATAACATTACCTTCCAAGATGCACGATGAGATTACCACACACGTGGCGTGATGAGTTACGCAATCATCTTGGTCGACGAGGTTCATCCATCAAGCGCTGATTTAACCCGCAGGTTTTGGGTCACCCCAGACCCCGTGTGGCAGGTTTTCTATCGCGTAAGTCCCGAATAGCAACGCAACTTTATACTCTGGTTAAATGGACAGTATATTGGCTCTTCTGGACGAGAGTTATCGTGACCCCCCGGTACAGAGAGCACGAACGATTCCAGCTATCGTTGGGAAGCGTTAAAAAGGAGCCAAAAGGCACACCGCCCCACGTCTTGTGTTACCTCCTGGTAAAACTCTACGTTTAACCTACTCACGCCGGCTTGTGCCCGCCCTCACAGTCGGGCATATTTGCGGAATACATCACGCCGCCGTTGACCCTGGCCATTGACCGAGCAACCCAACGTTCCTTCCAGCTCCCTCCGCAGGAATGTGTTGATATGTGCAGTGTGTCATTTACTACATAATGAGCCAAGAATGTCTGTGTGTCCCGCGCGTGACGTCACTCCACGTCGACCAGCCCTCCTCATTAATAATCATGAGCGGGTGACGTCACTCCACATGGGGGGGGGGGCGAGGCGCCTCCTCCCCCCTCCTCGGCGTCAACTTACAACCCTCACGACAAAGGCAGAACCCTCACGTCACGTGGTCTCCGTCACGCTGTTGAGACATCGAAGTAAAAAGGACGTCTTGATGAACAAGGGATTATAACCTTTACATGTGTGTCACCGCGCCCTTACACATTGCACACGAATTGATGCAATGAATACCACGTCGCGCTCTGCTTGTCACATTTACTGCAATACACCCGTCCTTGGACGGGCAACAGGCGAGTTACTGATTATGTTCTCAATGTGTGTGTCAAATATATACCGTGTCAGTGCGCTGTGTGTGCAGTTTGTGTGCACGTGTGCATTATTGTTAATGTGCTGTGTCTGCTGTTCCATAATAACATTGCAGTTATTGTAGTTCACGGTGTTGTTGCGTGTTACTGCCATTGGCCACAGGAGGGCTACGCATGGTGAGACATTCCAATAACAAATGAGCGAGATGTTATTTCTTTACCGCATTTACATTGACCATGTTACGGTGCCATTAAGAGGGGCGCGTTAAACGCCTGCCTCTGGCTTCAACCACAACTCCCACCCCTCCTCGCTGTTCAACTCCACACTAAAGTCCATCTCTGCCATGCCTATGACTCATTCATCAATTCTCCCTGCGTAACGGTCTGCATCTCTTGCACGTCCCACTGCCCTTTGTGTGTGTTTCCTGGCCTGCTTGTTCTTGTGCTGTGTTACAATAATCGTCCTGTGTTATGATTTATTCTTTCCCTTCCCCATTATGCTGACTGACCCTTCCTGTCCCTGTAGTGCACAAGCGTTCTTAGTCGCTCTGCACTACACCATTGTCCATGTTGTCCCTTCTACACACAACTCTAATCATTGCAGTAGCGATTGTGATTAATCTGCTAAACACAATAGTATTACGGAAATGACCCAACCCACTGCCCATCCACTGCTAGATGAGGCATCCCCACGTCACGCTTGGGGGTTATTTGCCCATACTTCACCATTCTGGTCAGTGTGGGTTGTCTGCGGGGAGCATAGAAGTACAGTAAAATTGTTTCCCTCCACTGTCATCTGCTTCCAACAAGATAACACCTGCGACTCGTGCGTAATGGTCGCCCATTCAACAACTATCCAGGCTCAACCCCGCTTAGCTTCCCACATCTGGAGAGATCAGGCGCATTCCGTGTGATCTCGGCACAGGTCTGCTCCATGAACACGATTCACCAACACCCTTCTCCTGCACGTAGTCAGCCCATTGAGCTTGATGTACATACACGAAGTGCGAGCTCCAGCAGTCGGCATGGACGTGGTGGGTGGGAAGCCCCTGAGTCGGTGTTGAAAGCTCACCTGGACCCACACAGGCAAATGGGTATAGGGACTTTCCGCCCACCCACTGAGTGACCTTGATGGTTTATTGTACCTCGTTATAATTCTGTATACAGTATAATGCTAAATGAGCTAATGCATTATTCTCCTGCAACAATCCATAAACCACCTCCATTAGCTTATTGTTTATGTCTTGAGATGTAATAACTGCTTACAGTATTTGAAATGCGGATTTATATTGTATGGTTCTACATATGCTGCCTGTGAAATGTCACGTTCCAGTCCAGCCCACCCCACTTGCCCCCAAGACCGACCCTCCCCTCCCTCTCTCCACCAGCCCCCCTTTGAAGCCTTGTACCCCTAATCCCTGTACCCCCCTAATCCCTGTACCCCTAATCCCTGTACCCCAATAATCCCCCAATGACGATAATAAGCACATTCACCTGGCCCACCACCTTACTCATTACCTCTCTCTCTCTCTACACCACCTACCACCACTACGCTATAAATTTCCCAAGGCTTTTCATTGTAAAATATGAAGTGAAACCATTATTACTAACATTGTATTATAACAACCCCTTCATAACTCGCCCTTTAAAGTGAGCTTGACTTTACACCTGACAGATAGAGCCATGCAGATCACGGGGCAGATTGAACTGAGGGGAGTATTTTAGAATGTACCCGTGCTTATAGTTCAACATTCAGCAATGTGGAGAGACTGCGTTGGCACCGGTGCAGGGCGCAAAATCACAAAAAACCCAAACATGTTCGTCAATACCAATACGACCTTAGGGGCCATCCATAAATGACGTCACGCGATTTTGGACGATTTGTGACCCCCCCTTCTCGTCACACGGCGTCACAAAAAGTCAGACCCCCCCCCCCTCAAATATGACGTCACAAAGCTCTGCCCCCCCCCCCAAACCATATTTCCATTTTTAAAATACAACATGCTTCAAATCGCTTTAAACTATTGTCATTGTAGTGCGTATTTAATGTGACGCTGCACTCTGATGTTGTAGGAGGAAACATTTATTATAAAGTCTATTTAATTAAGTAGAACGTGTTGTCTATATTTATTTAAAGTTGCGCATTTCGATGTGACGTCACATTTCTCACCCCCCCCCCCACTCGTCACACATCGTCACAAATGTCTGACCCCCCCCCCCCCCAGGTGCGTGACGTCATTTATGAACGGTCCCTTAAGGGGAAAATATACGGAGTAGACAACGTTTCCGGCAATGGTCCTTCACAACATAATCTCTCTGGTCATTCACTGGCCACTCTATGTGCCGTGAAGAAGTGTCATTGCCCGAAACGTCGCCTGTTATAGACGCTTACTTTTGAGGCCACGAACACCGTCGGAAAAGGTGAATGGTGGGCGGGTCACACGGGAGGGGCGGGTTCTGGGGGAGCCAATGGGCGTAGCCCAGACGCGGTGTCTGGGGCGTGGCTCTAGCCCCGGGGAGCCGCGAGCTGATTGGCTGCCGGGCAGGTGGGGGGAGGCGGCGCCGCGCGGGTCACGTGGCTGCCGCTTCCCTGGCGCGGCGTCACTGGCACGTGCGCGGCGACACGTGCGGCACGCGGCGAGAGGCGCGCGCAGACACGGAGCCCCCCCCCCCCCCCGGCTTACGCAGCCCACGGGGATATGCGACGGCCCCGGGTACGTGCTCAGCATCGGGCGTCTTGCTTGGCCTCTGTACAGCAGGCAGCAGCACAAGCCGGCTAATGCCGAGTGGCCGATACGGTCGTGAGCGCACCAATATTGGTTGTTTGGCTGCTACGGAGACGACTGCTGCTGCTACAATCGACTGCCGCTCTCTCCTCCCATTGCCAAGAGGCTGCGAAGACAAACCTGGGATTCCTTTTCCTGCACCAGGCTCAACGTTTCTGTATGCAGGTGAGTGCGTGATTGATACAGAATTACAACTGAAATTCACGATCCTCGTTTACCATTGCACCTAACACAGCCCGCTAACAATCCACCGCTGGATTAAGTAAATATAATCCACGCAGCGAGCGGTTTCGGCTGGTTATTTGACCATACAGTACTTAACTTCACCTGGTCAGTGTTGGTTAGTGATGATGGTCAAGGCATAGACGTGTGAGCATAGCATAGTATGATAATTGTTTGAGTTGAACTATCCGCCCACCAACCGCCACGTAACCTATACCACATGTTATACAATGGTGGTAATTTCCATGAATATCGTCACAACACCTTCATTGTTGTCAACTTCATGGTGACATCATCGGTGTCACGCCCCGTGCGATGGACTTTAGACACCCAGGTGCTGCTGCAGGTGCGGCGTGTGCACTGACGTCTTCGTCTGTTCACGTCCTACTCGCACGTCGCTGTGTCCTATATCCACGTGGGTTGTGATGGGCTGTTTGGATGATGTGTACATGTGAGTGCCTATTTGTTGTGTTTGTGAAGTTGCAGTGCACGACGAGATTACCACACACCACGGTGGTGGTGGTGCATCGTGTGCAATGTGTAATCGTAGTTTGTGCACATGCAAGTGTGTGTGTATATGTGTGCCCGTGTGCTGTGAATGTGCTGTATGTGTGAATTGAATGTGCACACTCTATACAACACGCTACGTGCTGGGAATGTCTGTGCTGTACGTGTGGGTGCTGTGAATGTGTTTGGTGCCTTCTGTGCTCGTTGTGTTGTGGATGTCCCGTGTGTTGTTCAAGTCTCCACGCGTCTGTTGTTTGTAGTGTGAATCTGCATGTGTTGTACATATGTGAATGGTGTATGTTGTATGTGCTCGCTATGTTGTGAATGTGTTTTACATGTCACTGTTTATGCCCTCTAGATGTACCATATGTGCTTACTGTATGCCCAATATGTGTGATTAATGTAGTTGGTTTGGTACTGTATACCAGGATGGCTGTCAATACATTAAAAGCTGTGTCCATGTGCGCTCTGCACCATTGGCCTGCACGTCTGTTGTCAATGCATGCGCTTCTCTGTGAAGCGATGTGCCTGCTAAATGTGTGTGCTCTGAATGTAATTACTGAAGTGACTTGTAAATGTGCTCAATGCCCATGTGTGCTCTGGTATTGCGTTAAGTCTCCATATGTGGCCGAGTCGTGTGTGTGTGTATACACGTTTGGTCGTTTGCTTTGAATATGACGGATAGATGCATGGGTTGTGCTCTTTGCACTGCTGTAACTTAATGTGTATTGTGTGTGCTGTGTATGTGCTGTGTGCGTGCTGTGTGTGTGCTATGAGTGTGTCTTGTATGTGACATGAATGCGTGTCTCATCTTTGCTGTAAGTAGAACATCATACACTGCATGGCAGAGTATGTGTTGTGTCTACGTGCAGAACATGATGTGCTGGAAACAATGCGAACACACTTTGTGCTGGTGATAGTGGACGACTTGTCCCTCTTCACCTAAATAATATCCTCCACAAAACACTGGTATAGGGACTTCACGACCACCTTACATGTTCAGCAATTTTTAAACATTGTATGTGCTGTATTGTATTTTGCTACGGTGTGTGTGTGTGCCTCCCCTAGGTCGACTTAGCCTCAAATGAGTACATGGTGCAGTTTGTAAACATCGCCACTAGGGAGACAAAGGCGGCCGGGCGTGGTGCTGGCCACCCACCCCCTCGTGTGCCGTGCCGGGCTTCATAGGTGCTACTCGCTAACAGCACTTGCCCCTATTTGTCTAAGTCCAGCATATCCACGTTCATTCCCTTTGTTATTCCACTGCTGCACGATGACCTTCCCATGCCGTGGGTGGTTATTGCCGAAGGTGGTTACCATGGCCATTGGAGCACAGCAGTAGAGTACAACAATGTGTTTGTCTGCAGTGCCTTCTTGCTGTCTCACCACAACGCCTGCTTAGTTTGAGAAATATGATGAGATCGGGTGCATTCCGGGTGCATTCCGGTGATTTGGTCATTTGCTAAAAGTTAATATTTGGAAGTGTTACAACTTACAACATTACAGCCTAAACAGCGTCCAGATCAACGGTCATAACGCTTCGATGAAAGGGATATGGGTCACGCATCGTCAGTGTTGAATCATTACCCGTGTGTCCGGTGCGTTTCAAGGTTAGGTTAGGATGAGGTTTATTGGTGTGTTTTGACAAGTGTCCAGGGCTGGCGTTTATTTTTACGCAAGTCGTGTGCATGGTACTTGTACTCTCTGTCAACATTGAGTCACCTCATTCGTCCATACATCGTAGCGCGTCCTCGTCCAGACACACGCAGGGACAAGTTGGGGAGCACACCACTCGGACGTGGGGGCTGCCACCTCGATTGTTTTCTCAAGGATCGTCCTCTTATTTGGATAGGTGGTCTTGAGATATAATTTGGTAATCTTAGGACATTAGAGTCCCTGCCTGCTATGGTCAGTTGTATAGTTGTAATAATCATGATCGTTGACACACCACTCAAGACGATGCTTTCACACGCAGTGGTCTCCCCTGTTCAGCGATTGTGAGAAAACCTTCGTCCCATAATGTGGCCCAGTTTTTGCTCTGAGTACTGATGCGGCATTTTTGCTTACGACAAAAATTCACAAATGTCAGCAGCATGGGTTGACTTCCCCCAGCACACGAAACCCAGTGACGTCTATACGCCTACGCCTGGTACTCATTTAATTCTGTGCCGAGTTGATTTTTCTACCTTTACCATAAGAATGCCAATTATACTTCTGCAACACACTACTTAGCTGCCCCAAACTGTGTACACAGGGCATTCACAAGCGAAGCCAAGCGCCCTCTCTCCTGGTGAAAAGCACCACCACAGAAGCCACACGGTCACTGGTTACTTGGCAACGTTTGCCATGGGGTGATTGGTTTGTTTACTTGGTAAATTACTGTTTGCTGCTGCGACCGGGTCTCGAACCTAGTTCGGGAGTTAATAGGCCAAGCTGGTCGGACCTGTTGGCTGTCACACTCGATACGCGTTCCCAGGACAAGCGAACGGCGCAGTAATCTGAGCCAAAGTGCAAACCATTCTCTGGCAGCTGTTGCTCTTCAGGTTTCAGAACACTTTGGTGTAAACGGGCTGCACTTGCTGCAGGAAATGCGTTTCCCTGGTGCCAGAAGTCAAGCAGTGTATTTGGTTTGCAAGCCGTGAATGTGCTACAGAAATGTATCGTAAAGAAAATATTAAATAGTTGAAAGCCAAGATGCATTGTGGGTGGATCACGGAGTTAGCCAGACCGTTGGCGCTGCGGTTCGAGTGAGCAACTCAGAGATGGAAGTTTTCTAATTTCAAGGCTTCGTTTGGGGTCTGATCAGCCATGCTTCTCTCCGGGGGCAATAAAACGAACACCTCTATTTGGGGAGTCAACATAGGTCATCATGATTGACCCTCACCAATGTTCTGGGCAAGGCTGCCAATGGAGATACACTGACCCATTGCTTGTTTCAACAGGGAAACACTCTAATGTTTTAATAATATTTCTATGTTGTCATTCATAATATTTATATTGTGATGTACGGTATGTGTGCGTCGCTAGGAATACCAGTTTTTTTTCAAATGCATAACCTAATGCAGTACAGTAGTGCTTTATATTCTGAGTAAATACCTGTCCACAACACACCCAGTTTCGCAAACACACCCATATCCAGAAGAGTCTACAGCCAAGTCTACACACACTCACATTCACACAATACATACAGCATACAATACAAAGATCCCCCATGTAGCCTTAACAGGCTGCTGGGATAAGTGCTGTTAGAGAGCACCTAAGAAGGCTGGAAAGGCACACAAGGGGGTGGGTGGCCAGCGCCACGCTCGGACGTCTTTGTCTCCCTAGTGGCGATGTCTACACATCGCACCAGGTACCCATTTGAGCCTGAGTTGACCTAGGGGAGGCCCAGGACCAGTAAAGATATTCGTCATTGATGTTGGTTGTGAGTGGGAATGGAACTCAGGTCGTCAGTTTTAGAGAGCAATGCGCTAATTGCTGCCCTAGGCTCCCCACACGAACACTCGCTCACAGAAACACCCGGGTGACATATGACGCATTTACCGTAGTTGTGTAGGATGTTGCTTAAGAAGGCGCTATTATTGCAGTTCCGTGGTTGTGCTGTTTAGCTCTCTTGTGTCGTTCAGCACGATGTCCGACGTTTCTCTCCACATGCTGGGAGCTTCCTCAGGAACTCAGTGGAGCAGATCACACCAGCAGGGGCTCCCAGCACATGGAGTGAATCGCGTCATGCCGAACAACATGCGGCACGACACCTGCAAACACAACCACAGAGCTGTGTGTTGGCGGGAGTTGCCGGGGCTGTTCTCCGATGCGACGCTGCGCTCCGTCAACCGTGGGGAATTCCACGATGTCGTTAATATGCCTCACGCCGCGACTCCAATGGCAAAAGCGGGACCTATTTCACTGATAAAACACAAAAACGTCAAAAATACATTACGGGCGTGCAGCAGTTGTTGTAAGGCAGCGGCGTAGTGGCAACGAAGCGCTCCCAAACCCTCTAACACTCTCTCTGACTCTGTCGTTTAATTTGCAGCTCGCCAGGATGTGCAAGAGTGAGAGAACTGCAAGATTGAACTCAAGCAGCCACAATCGAAATGCCTTTGTACGCTCACCTCCCACAAATGACAGCCGATTAATTAAACCGTAGCCATCTCTGCCTTGCGTGATATTGTAGGAAGACCTCGCATCTCCACCTCCGAGAGGGAGCCCTTCAACGTGATTCCCATACCGTTTGCACAACAAGTTCTTCCCGGAAGACACGTGACTCGGTGAGAGTTGAGCACAGTTCTGCTCGTCCTACAAAGGGAACTCCTTGACCCAGACATCCGTACGCAGAAGGAAGGACGTGACATCTACGACTACGGCACCTCGCTACCCGTGTGCTGGATGCTTGGCCAAAGGTAGAGGAATTACCAGCAACTTGCCCGGTGAGAGTGAGTTGGCTTTCGCCCATTCTTTTTTCAACACCCAGTGCCTTAATTCCCAAACTTAAGGCTGGTGCCGCGTTATTGAGCGACGCCGAGACGCACGGGCTCCAGGACGTCTCGCGAGACACGGAGACGGGAGATCGAGAAGCGAGCCGCGGTGGCGCGAGAGCGAGAGGTGTGGGGGCGGCGGTGCTGTTGTGGGAGGGAGTGTGGGGCTGGGGCCTGGAGGCCACCGAGCCTGCTGCCAGTCTCCTATGAGTTGGCGCGGTCGCCATGAGCAGCGGGTATTGCACGCTGGAGGAGGGCCTGGAGATTGAGCAGTTCTACACGGCCAAGGGCACGCTGCCCACGAGCACCAAGAGCTGGGAGCACGCGGCGGTGGAGCAGGCTGGAGCATCTGAAAGAGTGAGTGACTGCGTGTGCATGTGTGTATCCTTGTGCGCTACGAGCCCTGGGAGCCGGGTTCGATTCCCACTCGTGGTCAATACCAGTGACGATTATCCGAATCTGTCCTGGGCAATTATAAGCACGTTGCACATCTGTGCACGTGTGTGGACATTAGTTATCTGTGCTTCCTTACAAATGCTTGCGTGCGTCGATGGAACTGCACAAAGGGGGAGTGGCGACATTGTGTTAGTAGCACACCGCAACTCCTTCCTTCCGCCATGGTTCAATTCCTGGCTATACACTCCAGCTATGGCAGTCACGGCAAAAATACACTTGCCTCTAACCTCCCATAACAAAAAGCTCAACACATTTGTCAATTAAACTGGCCCAAAAGGGGAAAAAATGTTTCATATAAAGTGACATTTCTTGCAAAAACTTATCATTTTTTTGCTATGAACAACATCCCTTGCCAGGAACGTCCCTGCAGGTTGACTCAGCTCCGCACAGGTACCCGGCGTGGCGCATTGACATCAGCCCTTGGAATACCAAGGCAGCCCGGCGCACTGCTGCCTATCGCACCTTCGTGTGTACTGTTCTGGCCTCAATAGGCTCTCAAAAGGTCCTCAATAACAGGGTTTGATCCACCCGTCACCTTGGTCTATAGGGGCTAACGGGGGATCATTGATCGTGGTGACTCTATTCGCCCAGCCGGGGTGCGTGTGGTGCAGCTGCCACTCTTCCCAGGCTTATTGAGCTGAACTCGCATCTGTCCCGTGACCTACTGGAAAACCGCGGCCTACGTGGCCACAGACCGCACCTATCCTGGCACGAGTGCCACGGTGATGTTACTGCAACTTAGTGGTGAATAATGGCAATTGTGCTTGTGTGAGTGTGTCTAACCAATCATAAAAATCAGTGTCAAATGGTATGTGAGTCACTTATTGGCCTCTCCTAGGTTTTCCCAGCCTTAAATGAGTACCTACATTCAATATTGTGTCATCATTCATAACAAAAGTAATTTACAACTCTTTGTCAATCCACCGATGAAGGATCCCCGACACCTTTTATCATTGGGGGTTATTTGACCATACTTCACCTAAATGGTCAGTTGCGGGTTAGTGAAGTGGGCCACTGATGTTAGCAGTGGCCAGGGAGTCAAGGTCAGCTCGTCGGGTTCAGAGTACACCAGCGCTAACCATTGTGCCACCAGTCCACCGATTGTAAACATTAGCAATGGAGAGACCAGGGTGGCTGGGCATGTGACCACATAGCCCTTTCTTGTGCCACTCTGGTCTTAAGATGTGCTCTCCAATAGCACTTGTTACTGGCTGTAGACAGCTGCGTGTGTACGTTGTGTTTGTGTTCCATACGGCTGTGTGTGTGTGTACACATTGTGTATGTGGTCTATGCGGCTGTGTGTGTGCATTGTGTATGTGGTCTATATGGCTGTGTGTGTGTACACATTGTGTATGTGGTCTATGAGGCTGTGTGTGTGTACACGTTGTGTATGTGGTCTATGCGGCTGTGTGTGTGTGTGTACACATTGTGTATGTGTTATATACGGTTGTGTGTGTGTGTACACGTTGTGTATGTGGTCTATGAGGCTGTGTGTGTGTGTACACGTTGTGTATGTGGTCTATGCGGCTGTGTGTGTACACATTGTGTATGTGTTATATACGGCTGTGTGTGTGTGCGTTGTGTATGTGTTCGTGTGCACGGCTCTCTTAACGTTGTGAAATGAATCACTGCGGCTGGGGAAGCGTTGGCTGTGTAGGAGGGACGGCGGCACACCGGCGGTGAGACTGCACACAAATGGCTTTTCTCACTAGCACACCTACGCATGTGCAAAGACAAAGATCCCCCATGTAGCCTTTAACAGACTCGGGGGCAAGTTTTGTGAGCGAGCATCTATGAAGGCCGGCACAGCACATGAGAGGGGGGGGGGGGGGCAGCACCACGCCCGGTCCCCTCTGACTCTATAGTGGTGATGTTTTATACACCGCGCCAGGTAGCACAGAACGCGTACACGGCTGAGTTGACCCAAGGGAGGTCCAGAACCGGTTCAGATAATCGTCACTGGTTGGTTTTGGCCCGCAGAGAGAATCAATCCTGGGTTGCTGGGTTCTAAAGCGCAGTGCGCTAACCACTACGCTACCGCTCCCCGCATACATACACACATGCACACACACACACAAAGACGCTGGCACTCACGATACAGCCTCATAAAAGTGCACGCTTGAGCAATCTCCCATTGCAGCCTCGGTTCTTTTTCTTTTAGAGCAACGCTTTTGCAATTGGACGTGGGAGAGTGCCCTTGCACATCTTGTAATATCTCCCCACTCGTCAAGCCTGATACATTAAAAGAATAATCTTGACGCGCAGCGACGGAACTTGTGCATGCCGCCCCTGGTCCTCTCCCCCCCCCTCGACCCGTCGCCTCTTCTCGTTCGGCGTGGCCGAGTCGTCTCGGCCATATCCATGACGGCCACATCAGCCGTCACGCTTGCAACATACCAGAGTAGCCCTGGGGTAATGTTCTCATGCTTTGATTACCTGTACGGATAGACGGGCGGGTGTTATACGTTAATGTGAAGTCAACATTTTAAAGGGAAATCGAGCACGTGGAGAATGGAGTACAATGCAGGTTGGATCTCATTGGTGGTTTTTGTTTGTGACTTCCATTGTGCGCTAACGAGGCTAATCGTGTTAATGTAATAGGTGGTTTCTTTTGTTTTTATCTTAACCGGTTCTGGGCCTCCACTAGGTCGACTCAGCCTCAAATGAGCACCTGGTGCGGTGTGTAAACATCGCCACTGGGGAGACAAATGCGGTCGGGTGCGGTGTCTGGCCAACAACCCCCTCGTGTGCCGTGCCGGCCTTCATGGGTGCTCACTTTGTGTGTATGTTTGTTGAACCTCTTTCGCACCGTACGTAGCCAACGGTGCTAATCGGAGATACTGGGGAAGGACAACAAAGTAAACACAAAAACCACTTGCCCCAACAGTCTGTTAAGGCTATATACGAGGGATTTTTGTCTTTGGGAGTAGAGAAGACACAGGCTCAATGCGGACGGGCGTTATTGACGTGCATTCCGGTAGCTCTGTGTTTCGGTGCGTTGTGAGTAAACTGTGTGTCGGTGCGTTGTGAGTTAACTGTGTGTCGGTGCGTTGTGAGTTAACTGTGTGTCGGTGCGTTGTGAGTTAACTGTGTGTCGGTGCGTTGTGAGTTAACTGTGTGTCGGTGCGTTGTGAGTAAACTGTGTGTCGGTGCGTTGTGAGTTAACTGTGTGTCGGTGCGTTGTGAGTTAACTGTGTGTCGGTGCGTTGTGAGTTAACTGTGTGTCGGTGCGTTGTGAGTTAACTGTGTGTCGGTGCGTTGTGAGTTAACTGCGTGTCGGTGCATTGTGAGTTAACTGTGTGTCGGTGCGTTGTGAGTTAACTGTGTGTCGGTGCGTTGTGAGTAAACTGTGTGTCGGTGGGTTGTGAGTTAACTGTGTGTCGGTGCGTTGTGAGTTAACTGTGTGTCGGTGCGTTGTGAGTTAACTGAATGTCGGTGCGTTGTGAGTTAACTGTGCGTTGGTGCGTTGTGAGTTAACTGTGTGTCGGTGCGTTGTGAGTTAACTGTGTGTCGGTGCGTTGTGAGTTCACTGTGTGTCGGTGCGTTGTGAGTTCACTGTGTGTCGGTGCGTTGTGAGTTAACTGTGTGTCGGTGCGTTGTGAGTTCACTGTGTGTCGGTGCATTGTGAGTTAACTGTGTGTCGGTGCGTTGTGAGTTCACTGTGTGTCGGTGCGTTGTGAGTTCACTGTGTGTCGGTGCGTTGTGAGTTCACTGTGTGTCGGTGCGTTGTGAGTTAACTGTGTGTCGGTGCGTTGTGAGTTAACGCGGCAAATGTGCGAAATGGAATTTTGGTCCAGAAGGTGAAAGGTGGCTGAGCCCGATGTGGCTGAGATCCTGAGTCTCTGATTAAACGGGGTCCTCACGTTTAATGAGCTGATGGTCTCAGCCTGCTTATGACCACACAGAAGGAGCATCGTATAAAATCAGGTGGTTATTAATTTGGATTATATTACCTTTCAGGAATAAAATGTCACGTTTGATTGCCATATGACAAGCGTGCTCGTCGCCAGAGATCTGACTGGGTTCCACCGCCGTGGATGAGCTCAGTGACCCCAGAGGAGCATCTCTGACCTCTCCTTCTGGGGCCGCTGTGTGGCACACAGTGGTGCACTGCTCACGGCGAGAGTTCCGGATCGACTCCTTACACACGCCTCTTCATATGATGCTGATTTCACACTTGGAATGCACTGTAATTGTGGGGAAAAAATAAAATAATCAAAACCTAAAAGAACAAAACAACACAGTATGTTGATTCCACATTGGCAGCGGTGTACTGTACACACATTTAACAAAAAGGCACTTGCCAGTGACGCTGCCCTACAAGGACAAAATATACAACAGGCGACATTCGAGCATTGGCCCTCTGCTGTGATTTATTTTTAATAAGAGCCGATACAACTGATGAATGAACGACAAAGATTCCCCGTATTGCCTTGACATACTTTTGGGGCAGGAGCACACACACACACGAAGCACACCATACACACGCGTGCACGAGCACACACAACCGAGCAGATTATTCCACGTAACCGCGGCATGGATCGCGCTCACACTTTTTTAAAGGCACTGAATAAACTTATCAGCAGGTGCGTTGAAAATATTTACGAATGTTTCCTTGTGAAGATGACACATCTCCCACTGCGGATCGCGGGAGCCCTGGGGACGCGCGTGAGCGACGCGGCTCCTTTCCCACCGCCTGGCACGGAGCGTCTCCGCGGCGTGCCCTCGCTGGTGTTGATTGAAGGCGCGCTCCTGGAAATTAGCTTCTCACGCGGCGGCTTGGTGTTCTCTGTTTTAGGCCTTGTGCTTCATGTGGAAAGTGAGCCGGGACGATTACCTGCCTCAGCTCTCGAGTCTCGCTTTGAAGTGCTGTCCCCTTCGTTGCCTTTTATTCTAAATGA